GAAGAAGAAAAAACATGTGCTCAGAGCCCTCAATTAATAGCATACGTTACCTGTTGAATCTTATTACCTCACACATAAAGCAGGCCACATCAAGATTTGAGCACGAAAACAGAAAAATGGGGCGTGTCTGTGTCCCATATGCCAGGAGGCCAAGGGTGAGTGGCACGCGGGACGCAGACTCACCTCTTTCAACCTCGTTGCTATGTTGTTGAGCAGTTCGCTCCCACCACTACTTGCTCTTACCCTTGAAATGGATTGTTTGCACATACAACATTTTTGGATATGTACGCAAATTAGGAATAGTCTGGTGCCTGACTGCGCTTCATATCAGACCAGTTAGTAGTTCAAACTTGCTTAATATATGTAGGTCTACTTACAATGTACATGCATATCAAAAATAGAACTTACTTTGGACAGCAAAGTAGTCCAATCCTTGGAGAGATTTCCTGATTGATGCTGTGCACTCACCAAGAATCACCCTCAACGTTGACCTGCGAAGGGGGCTGCATCCAACTTCAACACAGTATTGCTCATACTGCTGAATGATTCTTTGAGGGATCATCATTCTGACAACATTTGGCACCTTTAGACTCTCCCCAGTGGACAGCTTCATAACCTTTTCTCCAAATGGAAGATCCTGGACAATGTGCCCACTGGTAATAAACGTGAGGAAGTGGTCCACCTGTGCAGTATCTAGCTTCATTCTTGGCGTATGACTTGGAAGCACTTCAGTACCTCTTCCGTGTTCTGTGGCATGTTTCTTTGCGATTGCAACTTTCCACTGGGACAGTCCTGGAATCAACTTCTGCAACTGCTTTACTGTTAATGTATCTGCCATAAGTGACAATAGTTGCCGCCTGGTATCCCACGTACTAGCCATTCTATAACACTCGACCAGAGCCTGGATAGTCTCTGAATAAACATCATTCTTGTCTAAACCAACAAACTGATTGACAATGGTTGAGTTCTTGAGAGCATTCCACACGGAATCAGCTTCACCTGGTGCAAGAACATTTAAAACTGCACCAACTGCTTGGCCAGCATGTTTCAGGTGGTGTCTTTTTGTTGAGGACCTTGTTTCATTCCAAGGAATGCTGAGAATATGTGGTTTCTCAACTCCAACTGAAGCAAGAAAGCTAAACAACAGCTTTTGACACATCTGTGATTTGTCACGTGAAGCCTCACTCTGCTCAGACTCACTGGAGCTATAGGTACTGACAAAAGGCAGTATGAAAGGAGTATCTGGTATGAAACCAGGAGTCTCTGGTACCGGCTCACTGTCTTGGGATGATTCAGGTTCACGTTCAGTCATCTCTTCACTGGCTTGATCATCTTCTCCCTTTTGTTGCAAAAACAAAAAATAGAGCATGATGATAGGAACTTTTCAACTGAATGGCAGTATCATGTAGATTAGGCACACATTTGCATTGTTTTTCTTTAATAACATCCATTACTTGGAAAAAAATTACCAGTTCAATAGCTGCAAAATCCTCGATGACCTCTGCAATAGCACATGCTTGAGACAACCCATGTTGACTGGTGAGGATATCTACACCATCCAGTTTTGCTCTACACTGTCTGCATATTGCTGACAAAATAAAACAGGCATACAATACATAACATTCAATTATTTAGAAACAATAATCCAAGTTTGTGAACTTGAAAAGAACCTCCCTATTGAAGTTATATATAGCTCTTTTGAAAACAAAAACATGTCAAACCTGTCACCAGCAGAACCTGCTTGAAACTGATCCCGAAGGACCTAGGCTTGAAACCATCCCAAGTTAACTTATCAAGCCTGTTTTTGCTCACAATCCCTTGGACAACACTGATAGTACATTTATAGTGTCTAAATGAAGTTATAATTGCCCTTCACTAAAACCCACTAAACTATTTCTCACTAATACTTGCATGAAGTTTCATCAATAGAAATGTGAGGGTTTCCTGATATAGATTAAGCATAATTTGATAAAAATGCATGGCCAAACAGCAGCTAATAAGGATAGACAAAAGGGGTACTTAATTGGGCACTAAAGCCGAGGGTCTTTGGTGACGTCTTCTTTATTTACCTAAACTAAAAATCACTGTTACATTGTTATAAGTTGAATTCCGGTTACCTGAACCAACTGGAACAAGAATCTGTACAGACTCCATTATCTTCTTTGACTGGAAGAAACCAATGGCCCTGTCACCAACTGGTGGGATTTTCTTCTTGGAACTGTGTCCTGCAGCATCAGTTGGCACTTGGCATCGTTTTGCTGTTGGCCTCCAATGAATACCCAGGTTACCTCTATGCAAAGGGCATATGGTGAAGTCCTTTGGATCTGGTTGAAATATGCCTACTCGTGCTAAAATTAATTCAGCTTCAGATTCAAGTCTACTTGTCGGTATGTGTACAGAAGTTAAATGTGACTGGATGTCTTGCCTACATGACTGCAGTGGCACAACTATGTGGCCATCACCTGGACTTCTAGGGTGAGCTCCGCATACGGTACCAGTCATTGCATGAAAGGAGCAAGCCATAGTTATTTACTCCTGTGATAAAAACAAAAATGTCACAATGTTCAGCTCCATACAAAATTCCAATTCATTTTGATATTTGTAGTGAATAACCAGTAAAAAAAACTGCATTCTTTTCTTGCCATCTTTACATACTTTGACTCACTGTATCTCATGGCCGCAAGGTTTGACATTTTTATGGAAATGAGGGTAAAATGAAGATGACAACAACAAAATGCGGCACAAAAATGAAGATAGCGATCACTGCAATGTAAGGTGAATGCGAAAGGCGTAATGAATCGCATGGAAATGACATTACAACTGTAATCTACGTACAAAAATGATAATTTGTAGCCCAAGAACTGTCCAAATTTACCCCAAAAGGTGTCATTACAATTGACAATTGGCAGAAGTTTGCTTTAGATTGAAAAGGTAATTTTGTGAATAATACAAAAAAAATCTTGAATTCTAAATCAAAACGAAAGGGCCCGTAACTACACAATCGCCTATCATTGTCAATATGCCTTTAGTGCTTACCACAGTATGATTGTTAATAGCCCAACAATGCTTAGCCCCACTTGTGTGGCCTCCATGTTGCTGAGCTGGACGTTAGTAAGCCAACCTACTGAGGAGTTTATAGTCTCAATTTGGCGCATATGGACTCCAGCAAGATGTCTAAATTTCTAGAAAAATTTGAAGAAAGTTTACCTCATCTACCCAGGGGGCAAAAGATGAGAAATCAAAGAGTACAACCATATACAGTGGTGCCGGTAAAAAGTGCCAAAAAAGGGTGCGCCAGAGTTTTTACTAAACTCCTCATATTACATGTATTATCAGTAGGTTGGAAAACCAGACGTGTGGCCTAACGTACAGCGCAGCAATCCGGAGGCCACACAAGTGGGGCTAAATAACCCTGAGAGTACGACTTGGATACACTATTTCTTTCCTTTTATTTTCAAAAAGGGACACATTTGACGTTTTACATCTGAAAATTATATATTTAATAGAAAAGTATGTCACTTACTAGCATTATGCCTGAACTTGTAAAATAAACCAGCCCGCTGCTGTATGCTGCAGACATGTGTGGTGAATCAAAATTCCCAAATTGGTGACTGTCTACATTTTGACTGCAGAGGGCGCTATAACACAATGTGCATGAATGTACTGAAACTTCATAGAAAAAGTTGAGCCAGTTGTTAATGTAGTAGGTTGGGGGATGCAAATGGTCCTCATAGTTAGCATCCAATTTAAACAAAATATATTTTACCACAAGCTATACTTTTATCATAACCTGGAGTTATATTTTATTACACAAAGTAGCATTACTTTACCAAAAATATATATATATACATCTTAAAAAGTCCATGGGGCGGGGCTTGGGAAAGGGGGGGGGGGGGGGTTAATATTTTATGGAGGTTTTCAGTGACACAACTCAAACACTATTTGTCTTTGAGAAGGGTTGAAGAGCCATATAAGCATCATTGTTTGCGAAATTGACTATAAGAAAAGAACCGGAAAACGCTATTTTAACTTTTTTCACATTTTTTTAAACCAAAAAGGCCATATTTGAAACACTCCTGCGCCGAAAGTATACAATAACCCAAACTTTTCTCACCAGATATGAAAAGACCAATGGTTGTCTTACTTGTAGCCAGAAGGAAATTATTCTGGGTGCCCTGGCAAGTTGAGTTTTTGGGGGGTAAAAATGGGGTAAAAAAAAATCAATTTTACAAGTTTTAAATTCCACCTGTTTTGAAGGATCTAAAATCAATACAAGGAGGTGTTCAAAAATGTATTTCTTATTTTTTCAAGGAAGGGTAAGAACAGTGCTTTGCAATGATATAAGTGGTTAAGTGTAATTATTTTGCATTTTGGCTGGACAGCCGTTTAAAAAATCACCCAAATTCAGTTTTTGCAGCCCCCAAAATGGCCCAAAATAGCCAAAAACACATAAACGCCTGTTACCATGGCAACGGGCAAAAATTTGATTTATAAAGTCTATTTTGGTTACTTACTCACCAAGTACTTTCATCCAACAGAGAATAAAAAAAATTGATTTTTTGACCGTGGACACTTATATGAAGTATTTACACGAAATGACTCTTAAAAACTGTTTTAATTGGTGAAATTAAGGTCAGTGTCAGTATGTGAAATCGAAAATGTATGGGGTGCGCTCTAAAAGTGCCGCACTGTAGGGGATGTCAGTTCGTGAAACCCAAAATATCCAGGTTTTGTAAAAAAAATGCGCTTGCAGCGCTCTTACGTGCAACTGAGTGTCAGCTAGTGGTGCATATGACAAAGTTAGATAGTCACATTTCATATTTCATGTTTGAGAAGATTTTAAGTTTACTCTCATTGTTCTTGGTGTTAGGGGGATTTAAGAACCTGTTGTTACATTAATTTCCAATTGCCGTAATTGTTGTTCCCGCTCTGAATAGAAAATTCCATCACAGGATTTTGCAGTGTTAATCTGCATGTTTATTTATTTGCTTTCATTCTAGACTGCCGACAACATCTTACCAAAAGCCGAGAGTACATTCGACTCCCTATGTCCAAAGGTAACCCACCACTCGGCGATGCTTACTGCTTCATCCTCATTACTGCTGAGCCGGACCAACGCATCATCTTAAACATTGATACATTGGCTATCGAACCACCACCTGTAGGCTATGAACCCGACTTTGTTGAGGTGAGTATCGTTTCTAAACTCCGATAGTGGATCCTGCGATGTTCATTATAGCAGCGTTTTACTGTACATCTTAATACATCAACAACATTTACTTTAATTTTTTTCCCCTTTATTCGCGCTTGACAGATCCGTGATGTGTTTCTAGAAGGAGACGGTCACATTGAGAAACTCGAAGGGCATCTTCCGTCCTTCACGTGGACCAGCAGTCGCAATGAACTGGTGATAGTTGCGACGCAGCTGAGCAGCGACATTGCTTCAGTGAGACTGCACGGTACTTACCAAGTCGCACGGCGTCCTGTGCAAGGTGAGTCAAAGGAGTATAGGTAATATAACAATTATAAGGATGTACACACAAACGTGTGTTCATCGTCGATCGTGGACGTCCTATTGTCCCTCCTTTGTTTGTTCTTTATCTTTTTAGCAAGACTCCAATAGGTTTTGAACACGACCCCAATCGCGGACGTATGCTGGGAATTGAGGACGATATTGTTCTCTTTTGTTCTCTGGTATTTTTCGTCCACAGTTTGAAAAGATGAACATGTACATACATACCCTTGATTGAACTATTGCCGTTTGCGAGCTAGCCACGCCCCTTAGACAATGCTATGGAGTTTTTGTACACTAAGTTTTGTTTGTCTCAGATTGCGTGTGTTCCGCGTCCATTTGTATATCATGTAATCGGACAATATTTCACAAGCTGCGTTGACACGATTCTACCGCGATAGGTCAATTGCGTCTGATTGTAATGGGCCGGAAGGTGCCATTAGTTTGCACACATCAGAATAGTAATTGTAGAGTACAGACATCATCTACTGTCCAAGAACCTTGTCGATAAGGGAGCCGGGTCATTTCAGATGGTAAAAGGATCCTGTAGGCCTATAACAGGCATGTGACTTTTCCTTGTTTTTTAGTTCTCATGAATGCCATTACAAACTGAAAAACACTGTACGAAGTCTTGTGTGGTTTGGAATTTCCTCGTTTTCTCTAAAATCCCAGTTGCATGCCTGGTATAAGGATTACGAAAAGTGAAGTGTCATGGCCTAGCGGTTAAGAACACCGGACTCACGTTCTGGTGTTTCAGAGGCAACGGTGACGTGGGTTCGAGCCCGCTGGCGGACACTTGTGCTCTTAAGCAAGGCACTTAACCATTATTGCTTCGTCCTTCGGATGGGACGTTAAGCCATGGGTCCCGTGTGTTGTATAAATGCACGTAAAAGAACCCAGTAAAACACTTATCGCCAAGAGAAGGGGTTTGCCCCGGTGTTTCTGGCCTCCTGTATAAACTCCCACATGGAGTATTTAGGAGAAGAACCAACCAAGAACCACCAAGAATCAGCCTCGGTCCAAAATTTTGGCCACCGGTATCAACTGAGGGGAATAATCGTCATAGCGATTTTTGGCAAGGTGTACACATCCAGAGTTGGAAAATATGTGATAGCATTGCAGCGGTGGCAACTTTTTGGGTGTTATCACCCTTTTTTCCCCCAAAATGTCCATCATAATGCTTGTTACCACTCTACATGTAGGAGCGGTATACCTTGCGCATGCGCACTATAATCATTTATGCCCTGATTTGATACTGGCCAAACCCCCAGGCTGATGGCCTATACAAGGATTACAAAAAGTACCAGGTTTCTAGTTTGATGTAAAACAACAGGTTGTGGTAGAATAAAGTTTGAAAAAGCTGACAATACAAATACAAGCAACATATGACTCTGAACCATTTAAACAAATCTCAAAACATTTATTGCATAGTACATAATTTGAATCTTCACGTCAGCCATTTAGAAGACAGATAAGAGCTCAACAGTAGAGGAAAAACATATAGCGATTTAGACATTTTCCACTGTTTACATGGTTTACATGATATCTGTATAACTTCATTCTACATGTATTATTTTTGTTGGCAGTAAAAGAGAAAGGCATCTATACATCAAAAGCAAAACAGAACCATGCTAACATACATGTAATAATGAATGATGTTTAGGACAGATTACATTTGAATTATATGAAACATTTTAACATAATATGTCAAGAGATGTACCAACTAATGTTAAATGTACATTTGCATAAATTTGCATTGCTTAAATCAATCTTACCAATATTTTAAGGTGTCGAGATTGATCTTCAAGTAAACTTCTACATGTATGCTTGGAGCTATAAAAAGGCCATGATGTATGTATGTACATACCTGTACATGTAGGCCTAGGTATTCTGCAGAAAAATGACAAGTACGAGGGTCAAGTCCATAGAATGCTACAGGTATTGTGCACACTTGTGAAATGCATAACGGTACTACAGGTTACTAGACAGTAGTATTTTGTAGCTTTCTGTGAGGTTAGGGTTAAAGAGATTGAAACGTTGGTCCAACATCCAACATTTTCTAACAATTTCACTTCTCGTCTTTACCAAAATTGATTTGCTGAGTGCAACTGTGTAATGTTGTGAGATGCTCTATATGACAAGTCAAATAGTGCACGTTAATTTTGTTGTCAAAACATTTGTGAGTTTAATTTCACCCACAATGGAAGCGTATATCACATTTAATTTACTTTAACTTAACAAATGAGTATTGGCTTTATGGCTGAAGTCATGTGATTTCCATATACTGCAACATGTTATCATTAGGCTGCAGAAGTACAGACTTTAGATATTTGAAAATGCACAGCTAATTTCCATACACAGCAACACATTAACTTTGCAAAGCTATATTTGAAAATGTACAGCTAATTACATGTATCTTCAAGCAAACTCTTATGTATGTATGCAGAGCTTTGTAACTAATAGTGGGATACATGCTGCAGAGCACTGTGCACTAAAGAACATCCTACCACTAAATTATATGGAATTGACCAATCAGCATCAATGCTGCATACCCATGACTTACATGTACGCCAATTTTAGGCCACAGAGCTGGACAACCCATAGTTAGCCCCACCTGTAGCCAAGCAATACAAACAGAACACGAGTGTGATTACATTTGGAAAGAAGGTCAAAGCAAAACCAAATGCGCGGCCGAGGTGGTCCCCAGTAAACAGGTACCCAATGTAGTACATGATCCGGGCAAGGACAAACAAGCAGATGAGGATGGGTACCAGCTTGAGGTGGTTGGAATCCAGGTAGGTACCAAGGATGAGCATTAAGGGTACGTGCATCGCTGTTTGTTCCAGCGTGTTCTGGAGAGCGCGTTGACTCAGACGGACTAGTCCTTCGGAGTATGGCGCGGTTGTATCAACCCCAGCTGTGTCCATATTTTCATATCGAATAGAACCCACAAGCTACGAGAAAAAAAAAAAAAACTCATTTCTTCTTGATTTTTTGAAATCATGTAACCTACTACTAACCCTCCAAGATAAAAAAAAAATGAGGAGATTTTAGAGGATTTTGCAGGAAGGTAAAGCCAGTCACTCTTAATGTTTACATGTATGGGATGCTAGACTTGTGAAGGTGTGGGAGCCACAATATATGTATACCAGGGGCTGATCCAGGAATATTTAGGGGGGGGGGGAGGTCAGGCCTGTCAGATTTTGTTTTGATTGAGTTTTTTGTGTGTCAGAGCAGTAATTGTTATTCTTTTGTTGTGTCAGAGCAAGGCCTCCCCTGGATCTACGGCTGTATTCTGTTGTAAAAAATACTGCAGTATTTGCCAGTACCAGGTACCGGCCTTTCTGGGCAGCCTATAATCTCATCCAAATACCCCTGCCCCCTCCCCCCACAATTTTTTTTTTAAAAGGACGTCCCACTGCCATTAGAAACATTTGTGAGGTTTGAAATTCCTGTCCTATGCTAAGCTGTTGAAATCCAAAAGTTTGATTTATTCGTATGTCAGACAAGTGAGTATATAGCTTCAATTGAAGCTTACATGTAAGTTACTTAGCTCACCCGGATTCCGATAAAAATTGGTACGATGGACAGTGCCAGCCATCGCAGCGTGAAGACCAGTCGATCGGTCAAGTTAGGGTCAGATGGGACCGCAAAGGGGGCGTACACCCAGGCAATGTAGGTCAGCGAGAGGCCCAAGGTCACTGCAATACTGATACGCTTTTTGACCTCAAATTGGAGATCTGCCTTGGTCTTGGTTGTCATGATGAGTTTGGTGATGTGTCTCTTCGCAAGTTATGAAAACTAGAAATATCAAAACAATGACATGGCCTAAAAGGTGAAGTTATCAACCCGTAACCTCAGAAAACCAGCAGGAGATTTTGCAGAAGGGACCAAATGTTTCACATTGAAAACTCCTCAAATTGTAAATTGAAGTACACTGTCATGACTGTAAGGAGCACTTCAGTTGAACGTCAAGTGAGTGAACTTCAAGTGAATTTCACTGTCAATCATCCTGTCCCCAGTTTCAGTGGGACTTGAATTTTCACTTGAATGAAGGGATTTTTTTTTTACTTTCTAGAAAGAGAGTACACTGTACACACCCGATAGTGTAGCCAGGGTTCTCACCTAGGGCTGGATGTTACAGTGGGTGGATTGGGTGGGGGTGGGTTCAGTTTCTGTTAAAACCATTAATTAATGGTCAATTATAGGATTAATACCATTTCCAGTGGGGGGACTGGGGGCGACAATTTGTTTTTGTTTTTGAAGAGGCCCCCCCCCCCCCAGCTACACCCCCTGTATACACCATAACATATATGTACCACTTATAAATTTGAGCCACAGTGATAGGGGTTACAACTGACTGTAAATGTACACTTGTTGTGGACCAATTTCTGATTTTTCGGGGGACTAAATACAAACATTATAAGCAATTAGCAAACATCATGCCAATGGTACATTTACAAACTTATATGCAGGAATTACATGTTTGTAAGTTGTACATGTTCTTTTTTGGCCATTCAAAGAGAAACTATGTGTGGTTGTCCCTCCAATCCATGTTATGACTTACAGGTACACACACATGTCTTGCATTTTGTTGATACTGCATGTGCATTCACTATTGTTATACCAATGAAATAACGCACACAAATACATTGTAAACTGGGGCAAAGCATTGATGCGTACATGTATATGTCAAATTATCTCCAGTTATATTTGGTCTGCAGACTCCAAACTTGTTGCATAATGTACATATCCAGCTCTTTATATCCATGGCAAAAAGTGTACATACACTGTACATGTATACATACATTGTACATGTACATTATTAATATTAGTGAATGCATACAGGATTGCCTACCTACCTGTATACAGTGCCAGTAGTACACAAAGTTGACAGGAATTAGATCTATAAGCCTAAATTATGTAGATCTACTCCTCAAGCATACATGTACTTTTATGACTCTGAAAAGCTTGCAGTGTGAGGCACGTACACCAGACCAGTGTTGTTGATATGAATGATGGGATTATTATATCCTGGAAAGTTCAGGCAAAGCAAAATGCAAGTCATTGGTTGAACCTTGATCCCCAACACACGTCATGCTCTCTGTAAATACTTCTGTAAATATAACAGTGGTGTCTTGCAGACAAGTTCTGTTACAAACACGCTTAGTTTGTTTGAAGCCTGATCACTACTTTATCAATGGTTGAACAATTTTTAGAATACACTGTCTGTTGGATGGAAAAAAATTGAACAACAAAAGTTTTGTCACTAATTATCTTGGAAAGATTCCCGCACATGTATCTGGCCATCACAAGTTTTTCACTTCAGGGACTTGTCAGCCATCAGAAAGTGATAATAATATGTCCTAAAAAGTCAAATTTAGCAGGGAAAATATTGAAGTATTTACTGAGAAAACGCTTAGAAATTTTCAGACCCGTCTCATATGGTTTGTGCACAGGGCAGCAAGTGATGACCAGATATGGGAATCTTTCCATTATCTTTTATTTTTGTTTACTTTGTTGTAATATTGTACATGTACCAGTACATGTACGTGGTAGCATAGGCTTTATACCCTTATTTACAAATAATATCGTCAAGCAAATGGATTAAGTTTATGAAACCAAAAATATTGAGAACCTCCATGAGAAATATGGTCAAATATCAGCCATTCTTCTACCTTTCTTCCTTTATATTTTAATAAGCTCTTTTGCAACAAGTGTAGGCACATACATGTATAAGCAATCTCTATCGGCGAACAAACTTTAGGCTATATAGCGTGTTAATTGGAAATTAATGTACATGTCTAATTATCATCCAGCAAACTTATATATTCTGTTTTGAAATGTGATAGTAGGATACATACTATGTATCATTCTGCACAAGTAGGTTAATTTCGGATAAAAGTTACAAACTCATGAATTTTCAAAGTGCATTTTGTAATACTTTTTTTCTTGGAAAATAGACAAACTAAGCTTTCGGAAACAGTTTTTGCTTTTCTTCTACTGCACTTGGATTTATTTTTATCAAGGATTGAAGTTTCGAGAAACACAAGTAGCAATTTCCTCTATTTTGTGACGGAAATTGGAGTTCCCCTCTGTTACAGTTCTTACATGTAAGCTTCAAAAATTTTGTTTTTGGTTGACTATGAAGTCTTATGCCGTCCCTCTCCACCTCTATAATTTCTAAACCAAAAGATGAAGGTAACGTGCAAATTCATTTTTTAATTTCACCCACCACAGTCCAGTACATCACACAACCTAAGTTTAGGGCTGTGGTGATCAACGTACCAAATATTCGATCGCCAAATATCAAACGAATGGCCGAATAGCATGCTGTCAACTCAATTATTCAAAACGTGTGAGCGGTCTAGATGAGATGATGAAAAATGTCTACTATGTTCTTTTAATCATACATATTGTGTATACATGTAGTTCTATTGTTTGTCACGTGCCACACTTTTGTCAAAAGCCACTTGCGGGCATGATTTGAGAGCTTCTTTGACAATTATTACCTCAAATGTCTTCTTTAGAATCGGTCAAATATCAGCCATTCCAGTCTGCTACCAGTACCTTTTTCTTCATTATTTTGAAAAGCTCTTTGTCAATTTTTAACCCAGGCACGTGCAAATCCAGACCAGCAGACAGTTTAGGCTGGAGTCCCTAGGCCTTTTTGCTACGATGTAGCCTCAATCCTACAAAATCCTTCAATTGGCCACATGGAAAAATATATGTAGCCTCAATCCTGCAAATTCCTCCATTATTTTTTGAAAATGGTTCGTGGAGTGGTGACAACTGCCTGAATCCTGCAAAATCTTCCGGCTATGACTGTCAATAGGATGAGGCAAAGGCAGTGCCGTCCTGCAGCAGTGCGGAGGATTTCAAGTGTAATCAAGGACTAAATTTATGCACGGCTGAGCATTAACACAAGGTCCGGCCCAAGACCTTGACACAGTGCGTCCTCCGAAATCAGCAACGCACTTTTGCCATGTAACCTTAATCCTGCAAATTCCTCCAATTTGCAAAAAGGATTTTGGAGCTAGGATTAGGGATGGTTAGGGTTAATCTTGGTCAGCGCATTTTGGGTATTTGACTATTCATTCGAGTCTTAGTTAGAATAATCAAATACTACCAGAACATGTACATTATTTGTAAAAAAAATGCAGTCTACTTTATTTGAGATTTACCAATTGATATTTTCTTTATGATTGCAATCATATGATGTCCATTACGTAACAAAAAAATTCTAACTTTAGGCTGCAGAATTGTACATACATGTACAAGTATACATTTGGAAATTTACAGCTACTTTTCTTCAAGCAAAATGTACATCTACATGTAACTTGTAACAAAACTACACATTATTTTGTACATTTAGTTGTAAAATTAGATGGGATGCATGCTGAACAGCGTTTTGCACTAAAGAACATCAAACACCTGAATTTCTTTATAATTGACATATCATCATCATTGCTAGAGACACATAATCTAGAACAACGTTTCAGGCCACAGTACTAGATAACCCATAATTAGCCCCACCTACAGCCAAGCAATACAAACAGTACACGAGTACCATTATATTTGGAAACATATTCAGAACAAAACCGAATCCGCGATTGATGTGATTCCCAGTAAACAGGTACCCGAGGAAGTACATGACGGCCAAGAACAAACAAGCAGATGATGATAGGTACCAGCTTGAGGTGGTTGGAATCCAGATAGGTACCAAGGATGAGCATTAAGGGTACGTGCATCGCTGTTTGCTCCAGCGTGTTCTGGAGAGCGCGTTGCCTCAGACGGACAAGCTCCTCGGCGTATGCTGTGGTTGTAACAACCCCTGCCGTGTCCATATTTGCGAATCGAATTGTACCAACAAGCTGTTGGAAGAAGAAATAACAAAACCGATCATCTTAAGTTTTCGGAAATCCTACTGAAACTAACATAACCCTACAAGATTTCTAAACAAAATCCAGAGAATAAGTCAGAGGATTTGGAGGATTGAGGAAGGTAAAATAAAGTCAGTCAATTTTTATGGGATTGATACTATAGGCATGTGCGGTATTGGATTTTGGTGAGCCAATTGATGAACTTGGGTACTCGGTATCAACGGGTACACTTCTGCAGTATGGGTGTGTGGCAGGGCCAAATTTATCTTGTATATTTTTCATGTATGAAATGTATAGTGTATTGAATAGGAGTAGCTCCCTTAGAAAAGAAGACCATTTCAGTTTCACTTAAGATTCCTCCCCCCCCCCCTTTCTTGGTAGTGTGTCCCCCTGGTTGTTTACTTTAGCCCACATGTTCCCCTATAAAAGCTGCCACATGGTCAAGCCACACTTGAATCAACCAGCAGACCAACAGAGACAACTTCATAGTACATGTATTTATACCGGTATTTTATGTTCCTCCTAACTGGAGAGCCTGTCCTGTTTGAGCTCTGTCTGCTCGAGTCATTTGACTTTATTCCCGCTTGAGTGTTCTTTGAAAGATCCACTAATCACACTGCTTTTAGTTTCTGGTTTTTGTTTAAGGTTCTTGTGAATAAATTCTTTTTGGTCCTTTTTTGTTTGAAATCTAGAATTCGTCTCTGGTCTCTATTAATTCAATTTCCTCGCGACTTTTTACTTCAAAGATCCTGAGTTTAGTTTAGTTTTGTTAGTTAATCCCATAGAGTCTTAGTTTGTGCGAGTTCCCCAACATGCCCAAGTGTGTCATTTTTCACGGTGCACTGCATGTACGTACTCAAAAAGATTTTGGCAGTGGATTTAACACACATTTGACATTTGGAATAACCATCCTAAATCTTTCAAAATCCTCCCAAAAGTGATTTATTCTGATTTATTTCAGCTGTTGGAAAATGGGAACTGTTATGCAACACTTGGTTGCTGTTAACCGGTATTGAAGTAGACATCTCATTTATGGAATCTGGGCGTAAATTTAGTTTAGGTTGAATGCATTTGAGGAGCTAAGTTATAGGCCTAAACTCACTCGGATTCCAACAAGAATTGGAAGGATGGACAGTGCCAGCCATCGAAGTGTGAAGACGAGTCGATCTGTCAAGTTAGGGTCAGATGGGACCGCAAAGGGGCGTACACCCAGGCAATGTAGGTCAGCGAGACGCCAAAGGCCGCTGAGACACAGATGCGCTTTCTGCCTTCAAATTGGAGATCTGCTGTTGTCTGGGTTGCCATTGTGATAGCTCTATGAGGAAGTTAAAACACAGGAAATATCAAAAGAATGAAATATTGAGGTGACATTGTCAACCCAACCAATAATCTAAAAACCCCATCAGAAGATTAACTTGTCTCCACAACAGTCAATAACATGGTACACAGTATCTTTATTAACAACCTTAGTTAGGCAAACAATATTATTTAGACAATCCACTTTTTGGGGGAAAGACGGTCCTTCAAGAGGACTTTATGGAATATTTTTAATTTTTAAACTGAGATTTTGATCCCTGTTGGTGGTTGAAGACAACTGTGACGACCATTCTTGAAATCACATTTCACCTTGTACATGTTGTATGTACACGCCTATACATGTATATGTACAGTATGTACCGGTACACGCCTACCCATGCCTGGGCACACTTGCGCTAGGCTCCCAGCTACTTGGCTTCTCCACACAGGATGCAACTTCACTTCATTGGTTTCGCTTTTGCTCCTTACGTGTTTACTTTCTTAGAGTAGTGCCTACATGTATAGGCACTCTCCTGAAGACAATCAGGGCCCTTACAGAAAATTTAGCTTGCGGCAAGCTTGCTGCAAGTTGCAAATTCAATCATTAATCAACGCTGAATCAACGTAGAATGTCCGACATTAAATCAACGTTGAAATATCTATGTTGATTCAACGTTGTGCTTTCCACGTTGGTTTAACGTCCGCAAAACAACGTCAGATCAACTTGCAAATTCAATCATTAATCAACGTTGAATCAACGTAAAATTTCAACATTAAATCAACGTTGAACTGTTGACGTTGATTCAACATCAGCATTTCAACGTCAGCATTTCAACGTCAGATCAACTTTCAAATTCAATCATTATTCAACGTTAGTTCAACGTCGGAATCTGACGTTGTTTCAACGTTATTTCAACATATTTTGCCCACTGGGCTTGCTGCAAGCTTACAGGGAGCTTGCTGCAATCTTATCGCGACAAACTAAAATAAGTACGCGACAAATTCTGCAAGCAAAATACAAGTTTGTTGCAAGCTTGTGTGATAGCCGACAAGCTTGCATGATTGCTTGCAAGCTTGCGTGCCCAAGTGTGAGAGCCTGCAAGTTTGCATGATATCCTGCAAGCTTGTGGTAAGTTGCGTAATAGCCTGCAAGCTTGCGGTAAGCTTGCGTGATAGCCTGCAAGCTTGCGTGATAGCCTGCAAGCTTGCGTGATAGCCTGCAGGCTTGCCACATGCTGGCTTACTTCCGTAGCTGCAAGGTACGCATGTAAAATCGTGATTTTACATACAATGCATCAAGCACATTTCATTAAAGCGATGCGGCTTTAAGCGCGTGTATAACAACAAGTGGATGGACTAATTATGCTTACTGCAAGTGCCTACAATGCACAGCTAGTGTACAAATTAAGCAACTATATTTTCCTAAGTAAAAACTTCATGTACTTTGATGTGCTGGCTCACAAAGTTTCAAATTCAAACAAAATCATATCTACACATGTACATGTAGTTGTAATTTTAACTGCCTCTTATTAACCTTTAATACCTAGATCTGCTTATGAACAAAAAATTGTGTACATTTCATAGCCTGCCCCCCCCCCCCCCCCCCCCCCCCCCACACACACACACACACATCACCCACACAAGAAGTGTATAAACTCCCATGATCTCAGTCCAGTTGTTCTCTATGGCAGGTCAGGATATTACATGTAAATTCAATAACATTAGGTTTAGCCCTGCACCGACAAATAAACACTGAATACTCAGTGTGTTACCTCCAGAGTGAGTATACAGTGTTTATATGCTGGTGAAGGGCAAAACCTTATATTAAATTTACATCACCCTGACGCAAATTCCATCTTCTAAATACATGTACATTACCAGGAGTAGACAACCAACTGTAGGCTAGTACCAGGTCTGTGTATACATGTATACACAGTGCATGCATGGGCCACAAGTCACTGTGAACAAGTGACCTCACATTCCAAAACAGCTATTGTGAACAGTCAGAAAACTGTACACAGCAAGTTTGGAATTTAGTCGGTTGGACACTATGGAAGCAGCAGGGATGTGCTTGCAAGAGAACAGACATTGGTCAGTGTTGGTACATGTAGTTTAAAACTATGATTCAAAATCATTAATACTAATAATACATGAAAGTACATGTCTTGCTGTAAATTCAACCTACATGTTGAAGAAATTGGGAAAAATATGGACATAATGTAGACAAACCTAGGTCATGTAGGTGTACATGTGCATGTACCGTACATGTTGTATAACCATGTACCTGTTCATGTTATGTACATTGTAAATCAAATTTTACCAGTGTCACAGTGGTAAGTTAACTAAATGTTTTTTCTGACAATATGACATTTTATCATTTGCACACTGGCAAAGTGCAAATTGCCTTATATGATAGTACAGATTACTGAGTTCTCTCAATCAGTAATCTTTTCTTGAACACGAAAAGTAAAAAATTTGGGGCAGTAATTAAGTGATGTGACAGAATACAACCCCAACCTGTACTGATTTTTCTGCTTTACACATGTAAGTTCAAAAACAGAAATTACCCTGCGTAATAGCTTTGGCATGTTTGAATTAGTTTGTTTCAATTGACTTACAAATTGAAAAACATATGGTTATAGCCTTAGATTAGGATGGGTTTGGATTTCATTATTTTTGGATGCATAGTGACAATGGAAAGTTGTTGATGCCTGCCTGTTGTGATATTACCAAAAACAAACGGCAATCATAGAGTAACTTTTTGTTTTGGGACAATTTGTTTCCCAATTAAGGATCACTTGCTGATTCAACATTGTTTGATTTCAATTTTTGTTGGTAGAAATTTGTTGTTTACAAAATGATCCATGTGCAATTTGTCACCAGACTTCATAATCAATTAATACAAAGTCAACAGTGCACACAAGATTCCTGCCAAATTAAGCTCTAAAAATAGTATCAATTAATGGCATGCTTCATCATCAATAGAAAGTCAACCACAATTTGCCTGGAATTTTCTGACAAGACATCTTCTAGAAAGAAAAAGATTATCTCCACAATGCAAAGCCTCAAATCTTACTTACCTTAATTATTCTGAATGTATGCAGTTGTCAGGATTTTTCTAGATCTACTCTTTACTGTGATGACTCTGAAACACTGAACAATGTGAGGCACAGCAGACCAGTAAAACAATATGTTGTTGATACCCAGTATGCTTATTCATTGTGTGGTTAAGGTGACAATATTATCAAAGCACGCTGAAAAGTTCAGGCAAACATCACTTGTAGAAATAGCACAATACCGCGCCAGTCACTACTTGAACCTTGATCCTCACCACACCTCACACTCCCTAAAGAAACTTCATTAAAAGATGCACCATGCAGAAAACTTCAGTCACAAAACAAACTTTATTTGAAGCCTGATCCAGTGATTTAATTAACTACATGTATGTTAACAATAGGGTTTTTTGTGTTAAATGTGGAGTAAGGTTACAAAAACAAACAGTTTTGGCACTAATCTTGTATTTTCTTTTATTTTTTTTTTTATTTTATACAAGTACATGTGGCATATATCTAGGCTATTACCTGTTTACAAATTTTGTACATTGTAAAACAAGCGGATTCAATTAATGAAGGAAAACAAAAATAATAGGCAGTCTACTTTATTTGAGATTTACCAATTGATATTTTCTTTATGATTGCAATCATATGATGTCCATTACGTACCACACAATTCTAACTTTAAGCTGCAAAATTGTACATACATGTACAAGTATACATTTGGAAATTTACAGCTACTTTTCTTCAAGCAAACAGTACATGTAACTTGTAACAAAATTATACATTATTTTGTACATTTAGTTGTAAAATGTGATGGGATGCATGCTACATAGCGTTTTGCACTAAAGAACATCAAACATGTCAAACACCTGAATTTCTTTATAATTGACATATCATCATCATTGCTAGAGACACATAATCTAGAACAACGTTTCAGGCCACAGTACTAGATAACCCATAATTAGCCCCACCTACAGCCAAGCAATACAAACAGTACACGAGTACCATTATATTTGGAAACATATTCAGAACAAAACCAAATCCGCGATTGATGTGGTTCCCAGTAAACAGGTACCCGATGAAGTACATGATCCGGCCAAGAACAAACAAGCAGATGATGATAGGTACCAGCTTGAGGTGGTTAGAATCCAGATAGGTACCAAGGATGAGCATTAAGGGTACGTGCATCGCTGTTTGTTCCAGCGTGTTCTGGAGAGCGCGTTGCCTCAGACGGACAAGCCCCTCGGCGTATGCTGTGGTTGTAACAACCCCTGCCGTGTCCATATTTGCGAATCGAATTGTACCAACAAGCTGTTGAAAGAAGAAATAACAAAACCGATCATCTTAAGTTTTCGGAAATCCTACTGAAACCTAGCATAACCCTACACGATTCCTAAACAAAATCCAGAGAATAAGTAAGAGGATTTGGGAGGATTGACGAAGGTAAAATATAGTCATATGGGATTGATACTACATGTAGGCATGTGCGGTATTGGATTTTGGTGAGTCCAATTGATGAACTTGGGTATACTCGGTATCAACGGGTACACTTCTGCAGTACGGGTGCACTAGGTACTCAAAAAGATTTTGGTAGTGGATTTAACACACATTTCACATTTGGAATAACCATCCTAAATCTTTCAAAATCCTCCCAAAAGTGATTTATTCTGATTTATTTCAGCTGTTGGAAAATGGGAACTGTTATGCAACACTTGGGTTGCTGTTAACCGGTATTGAAGTAGACATCTCATTTATGGAATCTGGGTGTAAAGTTTAGGTTGAATGCATTTGAGGAGCTACATGTAAGTTATCAACTCACTTGGATTCCAACAAAAATTGGAAGGATGGACAGTGCCAGCCATCGCAGTGTGAAGACGAGTCGATCTGTCAAGTTAGGGTCAGATGGGACCGCAAAGGGGGCGTACACCCAGGCAATGTAGGTCAGCGAGACGCCAAAGGCCGCTGAGACACAGACGCGCTTTCTAAATTGGAGATGTGCTGTTGTCTGGTTTGCCATTGTGATAGCTCTATGAGGGAGTTATAAAAACAGGAAATAGCAAAAGAATGAAATATTGAGGTGACATTGTCAACCCATAATCTAAAAACCCCATCAGAAGATTTACTTGTCTCCACAACAGTCAACAACATGGTACATGTACACAGTATCTTTATTAACAACCTTAGTTAGGCAAACAATATTATTTAGTTAATCCACTTTTTGGGGGAAAGACGGCCCTTCAAAAGGACTTTATGGAATATTTTTAATTTTTAAACTGAGGTTTTGATCCCTGTTGGTGGTTGAAGACAACTGTGATGACAATTCTTGAAATCACATTTCACCTTGTATATGTACACGCCTATATGTACAGTATGTACACGACTACCTGTGCCTGGGCACACTTGCGCTAGGCTCCCAGCTACTTGGCTTCCACACAGGATGCAACTTCACTTCATTGGTTTCGCTTTTGCTCCTTGCATGTTTACTTTCTTAGAGTAGTGCCTACATGTATAGGCACTCTCCTGAAGACAATCAGAGCCCTTACAGAAAATGCTGCAAGCTTGCTGCAAGGTTGCAGGGAGCTTGCTGCAGGCTTGCTGCAGGCTTGCTGCAGGCTGCAAGCTTGCTGCAATCTTATCCAGCTCGCGACAAGCTAAAATAAGTTCACAACTATAATTCTGCAAGCAAAATACAAGTTTGTTGCAAGCTTGTGTGATAGCCGGCAAGCTTACATGATTGCTTGCAAGCTTGCGTGCCCCAAGTGTGAGAGCCTGCAAGTTTGCGTGATAGCCTGCAAGCTTGCGGTAAGCTTGCTTGATAGCCTGCAAGCTTGCGTGATAAGCCTGCAAGCTTGCCACATGCTGGCTTACTTTCCTAGCTGCATGGTTGCATGTAAAATCGTGATTTTACATACAATGCATCAAGCACATTCCATTAAAGTATCATGTAGACGTGGCTTTAAAGCGTGTATAACAACAAGTGGATGGACTGCTTATGCTTACTGCAAGTGCCTACAATGCACAAAAACTTCGTGTACTTTGATGTGCTGGCTCACAAAGTTTCCAATTCAAACAAAATCATATCTTAGTTGTAATTTTAACTGCCTCTTATTAACCTTTAATACCCAGATCTGCTCATGAACAAAAGAAAATTGTGTGAAAAGAAAATTTCATAGCCTGCCCCCCCCCCCCCCCCAACACACACACACACAAAAGAAGTGTATAAACTCCCATGATCTGTTCAGTCCATTTGTTCTCTATGGCAGGTCAGGATATTACATGTAAATTCAATATCATTAGGTTTAGCCCTGCACCGACAAATAAACACTGAATACTCAGTGTGTTACCTCCAGAGTGAGTATACATTGTTTATATGCTGGTGAAGGGCAAAACCTTATATTAAATATACATCACCCGGACGCAAATTCCATCTTCTAAATACATGTACATTACCAGGAGTAGACAACCAACTGTAGGCTAGTACCAGGTCTGTGTATACATGTATACACAGTGCATGCATGGGCCACAAGTCACTGTGAACAAGTGACCTCACATTCCAAAACAGCTATTGTGAACAGTCAGAAAACTGTACACAGCAAGTTTGGAATTTAGTCGGTTGGACACTATGGAAGCAGCAGGGATGTGCTTGCAAGAGAACAGACATTGGTCAGTGTTGGTACATGTAGTTTAAAACTATGATTCAATACTAATAATGCATGAAAGTACATGTCTTGCTGTAAATTCAACCTACATGTTGAAGAAATTGGGAAAAATATGGACATAATGTAGACAAACCTAGGTCATGTAGGTGTACATGTGCATGTACTGTACATGTTGTATAACCATGTACCTAATCATGCTATGTATGTAGATCAAATTCTGCTGGTATAATTTGTCACAGCGGTAAGTTAACTTAATGTTTTTCCAGACAATATGACATTTTATCAATTGCACTTTGCAGTCTGGCAAAGTGCAAATTGCATTATACATGTATATACATGAAGTACAGATTACTGCAGCTGAATTCTCTCAATCAGTAATATTTTCAATATTTTCTTAAACACGATAAAGTAAAAAGTTGGGGCAGTAAGTGATGTGACAGAATACAACCCCAACCTGTACTGATTTTTCTGCTTTTAAGTTCAAAAACAGAAATTACCCTGTGTAATCGCTTTGAATTAGTTTGTTTTAATTGATTTACAAATTGAAAAACATATGGTTATAGGCTTAGATTAGGATGGGTTTGGATTTCATTATTTTTGGATGCATAGTGACAATGGAAAGTTGTTGATGCCAGCCTGTTGTGATATTACCAAAAACAAACGGCAATCATAGAGTAACTTTTTGTTTTGGGACAATTTGTTTCCCAATTAAGGATCACTTGCTGATTCAACATTGTTTGATTTCAATTTTTGTTGGTCGAAATTTGTTGTTTACAAAATGATCAATGTGCAATTTGTCACCAGACTTCATAATCAATTAATACAAAGTCAACAGTGCACACAAGATTCCTGCCAAATTAAGCTCTAAAAATAGTATCAATTAATGGCATGCTTCATCATCAATAGAAAGTCAACCACAATTTGCCTGGAATTTTCTGACAAGACATCTTCTAGAAAGAAAAAGATTATCTCCACAATGCAAAGCCTCAAATCTTACTTACCTTAATTATTCTGAATGTATGCAGTTGTCAGGATTTTTCTAGATCTACTCTTTACTGTGATGACTCTGAAACACTGAACAATGTGAGGCACAGCAGACCAGTAAAACAATATGTTGTTGATACCCAGTATGCTTATTCATTGTGTGGTTAAGGTGACAATATTATCAAAGCACGCTGAAAAGTTCAGGCAAACATCACTTGTAGAAATAGCACAATACCGCGCCAGTCACTACTTGAACCTTGATCCTCACCACACCTCACACTCCCTAAAGAAACTTCATTAAAAGATGCACCATGCAGAAAACTTCAGTCACAAAACAAACTTTATTTGAAGCCTGATCCAGTGATTTAATTAACTACATGTATGTTAACAATAGGGTTTTTTTGTGTTAAATGTGGAGTAAGGTTACAAAAACAAACAGTTTTGGCACTAATCTTGTATTTTCTTTTTTTTTTTTTTTTATTTTATACAAGTACATGTGGCATATATCTAGGCTATTACCTGTTTACAAATTTTGTACATTGTAAAACAAGCGGATTCAATTAATGAAGGAAAACAAAAATAATAGGCAGTCTACTTTATTTGAGATTTACCAATTGATATTTTCTTTATGATTGCAATCATATGATGTCCATTACGTACCACACAATTCTAACTTTAAGCTGCAAAATTGTACATACATGTACAAGTATACATTTGGAAATTTACAGCTACTTTTCTTCAAGCAAACAGTACATGTAACTTGTAACAAAATTATACATTATTTTGTACATTTAGTTGTAAAATGTGATGGGATGCATGCTACATAGCGTTTTGCACTAAAGAACATCAAACATGTCAAACACCTGAATTTCTTTATAATTGACATATCATCATCATTGCTAGAGACACATAATCTAGAACAACGTTTCAGGCCACAGTACTAGATAACCCATAATTAGCCCCACCTACAGCCAAGCAATACAAACAGTACACGAGTACCATTATATTTGGAAACATATTCAGAACAAAACCAAATCCGCGATTGATGTGGTTCCCAGTAAACAGGTACCCGATGAAGTACATGATCCGGCCAAGAACAAACAAGCAGATGATGATAGGTACCAGCTTGAGGTGGTTAGAATCCAGATAGGTACCAAGGATGAGCATTAAGGGTACGTGCATCGCTGTTTGTTCCAGCGTGTTCTGGAGAGCGCGTTGCCTCAGACGGACAAGCCCCTCGGCGTATGCTGTGGTTGTAACAACCCCTGCCGTGTCCATATTTGCGAATCGAATTGTACCAACAAGCTGTTGAAAGAAGAAATAACAAAACCGATCATCTTAAGTTTTCGGAAATCCTACTGAAACCTAGCATAACCCTACACGATTCCTAAACAAAATCCAGAGAATAAGTAAGAGGATTTGGGAGGATTGACGAAGGTAAAATATAGTCATATGGGATTGATACTACATGTAGGCATGTGCGGTATTGGATTTTGGTGAGTCCAATTGATGAACTTGGGTATACTCGGTATCAACGGGTACACTTCTGCAGTACGGGTGCACTAGGTACTCAAAAAGATTTTGGTAGTGGATTTAACACACATTTCACATTTGGAATAACCATCCTAAATCTTTCAAAATCCTCCCAAAAGTGATTTATTCTGATTTATTTCAGCTGTTGGAAAATGGGAACTGTTATGCAACACTTGGGTTGCTGTTAACCGGTATTGAAGTAGACATCTCATTTATGGAATCTGGGTGTAAAGTTTAGGTTGAATGCATTTGAGGAGCTACATGTAAGTTATCAACTCACTTGGATTCCAACAAAAATTGGAAGGATGGACAGTGCCAGCCATCGCAGTGTGAAGACGAGTCGATCTGTCAAGTTAGGGTCAGATGGGACCGCAAAGGGGGCGTACACCCAGGCAATGTAGGTCAGCGAGACGCCAAAGGCCGCTGAGACACAGACGCGCTTTCTAAATTGGAGATGTGCTGTTGTCTGGTTTGCCATTGTGATAGCTCTATGAGGGAGTTATAAAAACAGGAAATAGCAAAAGAATGAAATATTGAGGTGACATTGTCAACCCATAATCTAAAAACCCCATCAGAAGATTTACTTGTCTCCACAACAGTCAACAACATGGTACATGTACACAGTATCTTTATTAACAACCTTAGTTAGGCAAACAATATTATTTAGTTAATCCACTTTTTGGGGGAAAGACGGCCCTTCAAAAGGACTTTATGGAATATTTTTAATTTTTAAACTGAGGTTTTGATCCCTGTTGGTGGTTGAAGACAACTGTGATGACAATTCTTGAAATCACATTTCACCTTGTATATGTACACGCCTATATGTACAGTATGTACACGACTACCTGTGCCTGGGCACACTTGCGCTAGGCTCCCAGCTACTTGGCTTCCACACAGGATGCAACTTCACTTCATTGGTTTCGCTTTTGCTCCTTGCATGTTTACTTTCTTAGAGTAGTGCCTACATGTATAGGCACTCTCCTGAAGACAATCAGAGCCCTTACAGAAAATGCTGCAAGCTTGCTGCAAGGTTGCAGGGAGCTTGCTGCAGGCTTGCTGCAGGCTTGCTGCAGGCTGCAAGCTTGCTGCAATCTTATCCAGCTCGCGACAAGCTAAAATAAGTTCACAACTATAATTCTGCAAGCAAAATACAAGTTTGTTGCAAGCTTGTGTGATAGCCGGCAAGCTTACATGATTGCTTGCAAGCTTGCGTGCCCCAAGTGTGAGAGCCTGCAAGTTTGCGTGATAGCCTGCAAGCTTGCGGTAAGCTTGCTTGATAGCCTGCAAGCTTGCGTGATAAGCCTGCAAGCTTGCCACATGCTGGCTTACTTTCCTAGCTGCATGGTTGCATGTAAAATCGTGATTTTACATACAATGCATCAAGCACATTCCATTAAAGTATCATGTAGACGTGGCTTTAAAGCGTGTATAACAACAAGTGGATGGACTGCTTATGCTTACTGCAAGTGCCTACAATGCACAAAAACTTCGTGTACTTTGATGTGCTGGCTCACAAAGTTTCCAATTCAAACAAAATCATATCTTAGTTGTAATTTTAACTGCCTCTTATTAACCTTTAATACCCAGATCTGCTCATGAACAAAAGAAAATTGTGTGAAAAGAAAATTTCATAGCCTGCCCCCCCCCCCAACACACACACACACAAAAGAAGTGTATAAACTCCCATGATCTGTTCAGTCCATTTGTTCTCTATGGCAGGTCAGGATATTACATGTAAATTCAATATCATTAGGTTTAGCCCTGCACCGACAAATAAACACTGAATACTCAGTGTGTTACCTCCAGAGTGAGTATACAGTGTTTATATGCTGGTGAAGGGCAAAACCTTATATTAAATATACATCACCCGGACGCAAATTCCATCTTCTAAATACATGTACATTACCAGGAGTAGACAACCAACTGTAGGCTAGTACCAGGTCTGTGTATACATGTATACACAGTGCATGCATGGGCCACAAGTCACTGTGAACAAGTGACCTCACATTCCAAAACAGCTATTGTGAACAGTCAGAAAACTGTACACAGCAAGTTTGGAATTTAGTCGGTTGGACACTATGGAAGCAGCAGGGATGTGCTTGCAAGAGAACAGACATTGGTCAGTGTTGGTACATGTAGTTTAAAACTATGATTCAATACTAATAATGCATGAAAGTACATGTCTTGCTGTAAATTCAACCTACATGTTGAAGAAATTGGGAAAAATATGGACATAATGTAGACAAACCTAGGTCATGTAGGTGTACATGTGCATGTACTGTACATGTTGTATAACCATGTACCTAATCATGCTATGTATGTAGATCAAATTCTGCTGGTATAATTTGTCACAGCGGTAAGTTAACTTAATGTTTTTCCAGACAATATGACATTTTATCAATTGCACTTTGCAGTCTGGCAAAGTGCAAATTGCATTATACATGTATATACATGAAGTACAGATTACTGCAGCTGAATTCTCTCAATCAGTAATATTTTCAATATTTTCTTAAACACGATAAAGTAAAAAGTTGGGGCAGTAAGTGATGTGACAGAATACAACCCCAACCTGTACTGATTTTTCTGCTTTTAAGTTCAAAAACAGAAATTACCCTGTGTAATCGCTTTGAATTAGTTTGTTTTAATTGATTTACAAATTGAAAAACATATGGTTATAGGCTTAGATTAGGATGGGTTTGGATTTCATTATTTTTGGATGCATAGTGACAATGGAAAGTTGTTGATGCCAGCCTGTTGTGATATTACCAAAAACAAACGGCAATCATAGAGTAACTTTTTGTTTTGGGACAATTTGTTTCCCAATTAAGGATCACTTGCTGATTCAAGATTGTTTGATTTCAATTTTTGTTGGTCGAAATTTGTTGTTTACAAAATGATCAATGTGCAATTTGTCACCAGACTTCATAATCAATTAATACAAAGTCACACAGACTTGTTTCACATACGTAGTGTGGACTTTCTTGTCGTGTAGTTAAGGAACACCAGTGGAAAAACTCATTTTTCTCAAACTGTGAAAACTCTTACAACCCAATTTTTTTTCTATGATTCCCTATAGTGTTTCTCTTCATTCTGCTACAGATAAACCTAACCCAAAAATGCCTCTAAACCTGTTTTCCAGAAATGGGGAAACACTGTGTGGACGTGGGCAAGTCCACACAACGTCGGTGCTACCTACATTATGTGGACGTGTTTTGTTCGGAAGTCCACACTGCGTATGTAAGACAAGCTCAACAGTGCACACAAGATTCCTGCCAAATTAAGCTCTAACAATAGTATCAATTAAAGTCAATAACAATTTGCCTGGAATCTTCTGACAAGACATCTTCTAGAAAGAAACAGATTAATTTCAAAGTTGTCTTGGAAAGTATAAACCATTTTGATTTTTTTGCCGTTCAAAATAGTTTTAAATACATCAAGTTCCTGCAAGGTACATGTACCTTATTGATTCTGACTGAAAGTTTTTTTTTTTAATCTAATAAATTTGAGTTTTAATTTGTGGAAATGACTTCGTGCCCTGACATTTCATGCATGTACCTGGTCAAAAAAAAAGGAACAGTAAATGTCAGTTTAGAATTTTGCAGCCTGCCAGATTACCTGCAAGCTTGCCTGTACATGTATGCTTGCCTGCAAGCTAAAATCCTGTGTGAGCTAGCAGGCAAGCTTGCCGCAAGCTAGCTGGCAAGCTTGCCGCAAGCTAGGTGGCAAGCTTACCACAAGCTAGCTGACAAGCTTGCCGCAAGCTAGCTGACAAGCTTGCCGCAAGCTAGCTGACAAGCTTACCGCAAGCTAGCTGGCAAGCTTACCGCAAGCTAGCTGGCAAGCTTGCCGCAAGCTACTGTACATGTAGCTGGCAAGCTTGCCGCAAGCTAGCTTTTCAGAAGCATTCACTTAGTTGAGAAATTATTCGCACATGGTGTTTCCACAAACCTTTCATTCATTAGTATCTCCACAATGCAAAGCCTCAAATCTTACTTACCTTAATTATTCTGAATGTATGCAGTTGTCAGGATTTTTCTAGATCTACTCTTTACTGTGATGACTCTGAAACACTGAACAATTTGAGGCATAGCAGACCAGTAAAACAATATGTTGTTGATACCCAGTATGCTTATTCATTGTGTGGTTAAGGTGACAATATTATCAAAGCACGCTGAAAAGTTCAGGTAAACATCACTTGTAGAAATAGCACAATGCCGCGCCAGTCACTACTTGAACCTTGAACCCCACCCCACAGCCCACACTCCCTAAAGAAACTTCATTAAAAGATGCACCATGCAGAAAACTTCAGTCACAAAACAAACTTTATTTGAAGCCTGATCCAGTGATTTAATTAACTTTATGTATGTTAACAATTGCTTTTTTTCTGTTATGTAGAGTAAGGTTACAAAAACAAATAGTTTTGGCACTAATCTTATGGTTTCGTTTTTGTTTGTTTTGATTTTATACATGTGGCATATAGGCTATTTATACCTCTATTTACAAATTTTGTAAAACAAATGGATTCAATTTATGAAAAAAAAATAATTCTAAGATTTCTAAAATGAATTTGCTGCACAATAAACTTGTATGCTTATGAAAAGCCAAACTTTTTTTATGAAAGCATTTTCAGATATGCATTTACATGTATACATGTGTACTTTGTAGCATTATTTATTGAAAACTTTTCCCACAAATATTTTGTGTTTTTATTTTTTTAATCAAACCTTTGCCTTTTATGTCTTGTTGGGTGAGTTACATGTAATTAAGCTAACAAAATGTCATCATAGTTAAAAACTATAACATTCCCACTTCCTTTTTTTTTTAACTAAAGAAAGATTGACACGTACTGCAATTTACATACTGTTACCATACGAAAAGTGTCTTAACAAATACAGCTTAGCTTAGAAATCTGCAAAAGATTTATACGTAATGGACACATATACAATAACACTAGATTATTTTGTTGAGTTTTAACTCTTTCGCTACGGAATTTAATTTACCAATTTTTCCCCGTTTGGACGTAATAAACCGCTGGAAATTCTGCCGTGTGTCGATGTGGACGCCGCCATCTTGCAATGTCTCTCTGTAAACAAACTGCTCACTAATAACGTGCAGCAGACCCCGGCGAGACGGAGAGCCGCTGGCAGCGGCTCAAACTAGGGTCAGAGGTTGTGCGATATAAATTATGTAGATAAGGCCCACGTCATGGGGATACCCTGTTTATTCATCACAGCGATGTCACCGAGCCGCAGCCAGCAGCTTGCCGTACGACATGTACAGTTGTTGTGTGCGGCTGTCAGCGGCTCGCAGTAGCGAAAGAGTTAATACAATCAAGTAGCCTACTGTATATTGTTCTCTTCAAATGCATACAGTTTGTTTATGCCCTATATTCCATAGCTTGCCCCACTGACAAACAAGCGATACAAACAGTACACCACAGGTATGACATTTGAAAAGAAAGTCAGTACGAATCCGAACGCGCGGTTGAATTGGTCACCAGTAGCCAGGTACCCGATGAAGAATATTATCCTGCCAAGGTTAAACATGCAGATGACTATAGGTACCAGCTTGAGGTGGTTCGAATCCACATAGGTGCTGAAGATGAGCATTATGGGTACGTGCAGCGCTGTTTGTTCAAGAGTGTTCTGGAGAGCCCGTTGTTTGAGGCGCACTAGCTGCTCAGCGTATTGTGTGGTTGTCATGACGCCAGCGGTATCCATGTTGTGGAAGCGTACATCTGCCACGAGCTGTGTTAATACAAAACCAAGTACAAAATATATTCAGATAAAACTGGTTTCACTTAGAAAATGGTATAGGCCTAATACTTCACTTAGAAAATGGTATATTATACAACAGGCCTGCAATTGCACGTTTTGAAGCGGAAAGATAATTAAGGTTCAAATCTTAAATTGTGAATGGTGAGCCACATAATTTGCTCTCAACATTGTTTGAATTCTAAAATTAAGGCAATCAGTTCTGACTAACTCGCCGAATGACTGGGCTAACAGTCACCACGGTCACTTGTGAGCCGGGCAGTGCTATTGCACAGGAGTACCCTGTAATATGGCAATGAATGGGCTAAATCCAGCCCATTGTGTAGAGTGACTGTAGACCAAAGGCATGAACAGAATATTACCCATTCTGAATCATTTTTAAATGTCTGCACTCTGGGTTCAGCTTTACTATGCTTGCCAAGTCTTTTTTTATGGCTTCTTCTACGGAAAATTTCAAATTCCTTATTTGCCTGTCAATTCCAAACTTAAAGATAGAGTACATTGTACATTTGTAAATTGTAGAACACTTACTTTAACTCCAAAAATAATTGGTAGCATTGAGAGCACCAGCCACCGCAGAGTGAAGACCAGGCGATTGACAAGGGTTGGATCCTTGGGTGCATCAAAGGGGTAGTAAACCCATGCTATGTAGGCAATTGATGTGCCAAATATGAGGGTTACTACGATACGACGTTGAACTTTTGCTTGCAGATTGGCTTTGGTATCCGTCATGATGGAGCAGTCGTGATACTGAAGAGATTATTCCTGATATCGTTGAAAGTATAGAAAATAAAGAGCCAGAGACAGGTTTTTATACAGGAGATTGTACAATGTTGATAGTACAATGCAGTGCACTAGTAGTAAAAACCTGCAAGCTTTTCAGTTCTGGAATTATTCAGTTTGCATTGTATGAGAGCAGTATAATACACCATGGTCAATGCTTGAACTGAAAAGAAGTGTGACTTTTACATGCAGCTCTGAGATTGTACAATGTTGCTGTTGATAGTACAGTGCAGTGCACAAGTAGTAGAAACCTGCAAGCTTTTCAGTTCTGGAATTGTTCAGTTTGCATTGTGTGAGAGCAGTATAATACACCTTGGTCAATGCTTGAACTGAAAAGAAGTGTGACCTTTACATGCAGCTCTGAGACTTTAACAAAAGAAAGGGCCTCTCTGCCTTTTTGAAATTTCTTTTCTTTTCATCTGCATGAAAATCCAATGCACCAACGAGAATAATAAAGGTCCAACTTTTCTTCGGATGTGCTGATTTACGTGTACTTTTTTTTCACTTCACACTTATGCCATTAAATTTATAAAACACTGTAAAATCTTGTAGAGTTTAAAATTTCATCCTTTTGTTACTTCCCAGTTGATTCTAGCTTCCAGTAAATATCAAAATTGCATTAAATTTTTTTGGGCATTTGTTGTGGGGTGGATCCTAAAGGACATCAGTCAAGAAAAATCTGAAGGTTGTAATTTTCTGGTGTGTCCAAAACTAGTGTGCCATATTTTGAGGTCTTGATTTTGTTCTCTTTCAGTTTTAGAAACAAATTGTAGAATAATTTAACTAAATGTGTACACATCAGGAAATTTTGTAAAGATAAGATTAATAAAAACCTTTTTAAGTAGGAGCTGCATGGGCTGCAACATTCTGGGGTTTTTTTTTTGGGGGGGGGGGAGTTTGGGTGGGGAAGAGAAGTTTAAACTTTGAATACACACATGTACAGTGCAACTGCCAGATACAAGGGATTGTTTTAATTACAGATGCAGAAATGTTATAAAAGTGCAGAATTAAATATGAGATAAACATAGAGTTTACATCACAATTTAATGAAGTTTGATGAGGTTTCATGGGGTACCTCGAGGTTCAACCTTGAGTTACTGCTTTTTTTAAATTTGGATTCTTCCCTCACCAAAGTAAAAGACTGATTTCTGGTTCTTCATTTCACAGCCTGTAGTGGGATGATACTAGAAGACACTGGAGTCGTTCGCTGGCCGACTGACTTTTCGTCAGCTTCGACAGACTGTGAGCTGACCCTTCACTCCCATCCACTCAATCGAGTCATTCTGACCTTCGACAAGCTGGACATACCAGGGAACAACTGCCGAGACCTTAGTGTTGAGGTACGTATAGATCTGCCTCCTATAGAATACCGAAGTGAATACATGACATGCACAAAATGTGTGTAAAATACATTAGCACGTGATTCAGGCTGCGAACTAACACGCGCGAGTACTCCATTCGTTTGCATGACACTTTTGGTACTCAGTTAAACTGAACTTTTTGGGGTTTTCTCTTCGTTTTTTGTTTTTCTTTTCTTCTTTTTTCTTTTTCTTCTTGCGATTATTCTGCAGCAAACTTATGGCGGCATATTTATGAACCAGTTCAATTTTAATTGTTATGTCAGTACTTTTCCTGAATTGAATACACAGAATCTGAAAACTACAACGTTGAGAATAAAACCCAGTCATTTAAGCTTTGAAACATTCCCTAGTTTGTCTGTCAGTTACATCGATAATGCATTGCGAATATCGTTAAAAGGTTTATTGGAATTCTGCATGTTTCAAACATTTGTAAATGTACATTTCATGTGCATCCAGGTGATTGATGTTGAGCCGAGTAGGACGCTGACGTACTGTCAAGCCCAGGAGCCGTTTTCGATCATTTCAACAGCCAATGAGATACGACTGCGATTCAAATGGACCAATAGCATGGCAGGGAATGCCAGACGACAGCTGTCTGGGGATAATGAGCCAGTCATTGTGAGGCATTATGTGATGGACAGACCACTGCAAGCAGGTGAGCAGTTTAGCTTTTTACTCGCATTCATGAACTTGAATTTGGCCCCGCCAATGTTCTAATTATCCCAAATGGAAGAAAAATGTTATGAACAAACTCTTTTTTTTCTTCAAAATGGCAGCTCCCTGTTCACTAATCCTACAAGGGTCATTGTTTTAACCCTAACTCCCTAGCGTCGTTTACTAGGAACTGGACCAAGTCCATCAAAATCCATCAATCACTGTTCCAATACAAAACTGTACATGTACATGATATAACATCCTTTGACGCACTGGTTAACATTCATGGACTTCCTACTCATGGCTTTTATCACAATGGCAGTACAGGAAGCTAGGCAAAATCAATCGGATACCCCTAGCACTGCTTCAGGCCATTAGGCCCAAGTCCATCATACTCCATCAATATTTAGTCACGCCAGACTTCTGGACCAAGTCCCCCAAAATCTACCACAATGGGGGAATAGGTTTTGATGGAGTTGGGGTGGTAAGGATTAATAAAAGCTCTTGAAATTCTCAAAAAATGTATTTTGACTCAAGTGAAATTTTGCCAGCATAAATCAACTTAACTTTGGATGGAGAAAACAGAAAACTTAAGCCTCAAATGAATAGGTTCTTTGTTCACAGTGTTATTCACTTTTGAAGGCCGCTGTTCACATTTTGCAACGTTTTGGAAATTATCATCACAGCAGAAACTTGTCCTTTTGAAAATATAATATGTGGATGTGAGCAAAAAGCATTTCAAAGCTTGATACAATGTGCACTGTAAAATGTACATGTTCGTATATTGGCGACCATTTGTGGAAGACCGGGGGCCAACTTGTCAAAATGTGACAAGTGTATATAACTGTTTTAGGGACGAATGCAAAATTTGGGAGATTCACAATGCAGTGCGCCACCAAGAATTTGTCACGGAGACTTCATTTGTCAAAATTACGGTCGACAAAACATGGCCTATTTGAAAGAGTGTCAGAAGACAACTTCAGCTGATTTGTTACAGGGCATAGTGTTTTGTCGCCTTACATAAAAAAACAAACATATTGATAAAAGTAAAGAAAAGGGCAAACAGATACTGGAATCATACGCTAACGAAACTACTGACCGGACAAACTAACAATTTCAAATAGCCTGCGCTGTGAATTTGTCAACCATCTCCCACAATGCACTGGGAAAAATGAACTCTCCATGGCAAACTCTTGGTGGCATACTGCATTGTGAATCGCCCGAATTAAACAAGTGGGGTTACTTGAGGTTGAAAACCGAGATAGCCCGTAAAATACTCTAAAGCCTTGTAAACCCTTGAGGTAAACCTTGTGTTACCAGCTGCCTTTTGTTCACATTCCCACCTTACTTCACTCAAGCCTATTATCCAAATTTCAGTTGAGCATGTTGCTGAGTACCACCGCATCTTCCGCAAGGAGCAGGGTGAGTTTTCCTCCCTGGATCACTCGCGAGCCTTATGGATGGACGGCAACTGCTCAGTGATGATTGAGGTTCCCTCGGACAAGCAAATCCTCATCCACTTCCAGGATTTTTTGATTGGCGAGCAGCCGCCAAAACCCGATGAAAATACACCAGTGAACTGCCATCCTGAATTTGTTTTGGTAAGGTTCAAGTACCGGTACGACTTTCAGGCATGCAACTTTACCTCGGATCCACTGATTTCCTCGTTTTCTACTGCTCAGAAATGCCATTACAGATTGAAAACACTTTATAAAGTCTTGTGTGCTTTGGAGTTTGCTCGTTTTTTTGTGTTTAATTGGATGCCTGGAGTTTGAGTTTATTGTATACTATAATAATGTGAGCATAAGATGGAAGTAAACAATCAGCGTGTTCGATTAATTCCCTCCAGCTTTCCTGTATTTTCATCTTGGATATAGATGTGCATGCGCAATCTGTAGCAAAAAACGAACAAGAGTTCAACGCACCCAATGAACGCATTGCGATATCACCATGGGCGTCGCCAGGATTTTTTCTAGAGGGGGCAAAATTTTTTTTTGCCAAAAAATGCTTGTATTTCTCAACTCATTCTCGATTTATCAGTTTTAGAGGGGGGCAGGGACATTTTGCCCCCCCCCCCCCCAACTCATTAAATTTACACCACTTTGTCTTTGCGCCTTTTTTTCTTGTCTTTTTTTTCTTTTTTTTTCCTTCCTTTTTTTTTTTTTTTTTTTTTTCTTTTTTTGCTTTTCCAGGGGGCTTGCCCCCCCCCTCGCGACGCCCATGGATATCACCCTCGGCTTGTGATGCATTTTTATTGTCCAGACGCGTGGCCGTCCTAGACAAATGAAATTACAGTATCTAAGCACACAATAATAGGAATAAGGTTCTGTTTTGCTATTAAAGGTTGAAGACATAACCAACGGACGCAAGAGTATCTTCTGTGGTCACTATTCCTACTTCTCCTGGCTCTCTGACACAAACGCCGTCCTTGTAACCTTCTTCACCAACCCTGTCATCGTTTATCATGGATTCAGAGCCAAGTACGAAACAGTGACCAGGGGCAGAGGTAATTTTATTTATTTTTTATTGAATTCATTCTCTGTTGACAAATTTTGTATATTAAAATGAGACTTTTTTTATTCATTGGGTTGATATTTCCCTGTGTTTTCTGCCAAAAGGGTTTTTTTATTACACAAATGTGTATACACATTCTTTGTGTTTACTTCACCTTAATGTGTGAATAGTTCTAATACCAGTAGTTAAAAGTTGTTTATAATAAGTTATGCATTAATTCCATATGCTTTTATTTGATTGTATTGTAAAGAATTTGTAATTGTACGTATAATGTGGTCATCTGTAATGTATGCACGGCATCAGTGAAAACCAGTTTTTAGGCCTAACTGTTTGGGCATACCCTGCATAAAGAAATCTAAAAAATAAATGGAATACATAAAACAATAGCTGTGACGAACCCATGTTGGTCAATGGATGTCAATCAAACAGTGTGCCAAGTAGATAATGAACCAGTTAGATCAGACTTTCGTTAAGGCGATTCTGCAGTATAGCTTGTGCGGTCAAATTCTGTTACAAGCACCATGAGTACTACAAATGTATACGCAAACCAAAGGTCCGTACAGCTCAAGAAAATTGAGGTTGGAGGTTTTCACACTACATATGTCGTCATATTGAGAATAAATTGAACGCGACGGACGGACCTATTTCTTTTGTTCTCTAGAGCCTTCTGAACACACCTCAGAGGAAAGCGGTAGTTTTCAATCAACAAACTTTCCAGAGGGTTACCCATCTCCCCACGAGCAGAGCTGGATGGTCCATTCTCCCCCGGATTACATCATTTCCTTGGTGGTTGATTCTTTTGAGTTGGAAGAATCTGTCGACTGCAGTAAAGATTACGTCAAGGTATGACATTTGTTCTGTAATTAAACTTAAGGTAATTGTGATGGATCATAAGTACATGTACATCACAAGTCAATTCAAAAGTCCAGTCACAAGTAATAGGGGATGAACAAGTTAAACAATGGAATGCATTTCAATTCTCTTTGGAATTCCTTGCCTGGTGCTTGTTTCCCTCCAACCTATGATCTGTCCTGTTTCAAAAGGAATGTTAATCCCTACCATCACTTTTCCTGAGTGCCTACTACTCTGTTTACTTACGCCACCATAAAAGTAAAAAAAAAAAAACCTGCCAGACGCAACACAGTGCATCAGGTGGAAAAGTCTAGTGCACTTTGCATTTAGCTATCAACACCAGTGCATAAATGGCAGGTTCCGAAAAATGAGAGCTAATACCATTGAACAATGCCACAATTGTATCCTGCTGCAGTTGGTGACCACAGACTCTGAGGCAGTTTGGCCTTGAGACTTTTGGCCTGATGAATTTTGCTACACTGGGCAGGCTTGTCTTTTAGACAAGTGTTGCATATTGCTGTTTTGGCAGGGCTTAAGTACCCTGGAGGGTAAAGGGTCAAAGAGCTCGTAACAGAAGCTTGCGACACCGTCAACGGGCGCTACTGAGGCCCTCATGTGACCTGTCACGTGAAGAGGTGGTCATACATTGTACCGTACATGTGCGCCAGCTCATATCTTCCATCTCTGTTTATCTGGAAGCAGTGCCTGCAGATTTCTTAAATAAAAATAGCTTGTGCAAAACTTATAGAACTGGATGGCACGTGATTGACTAAGGAATGCTGTTGGATAGCTTCTTAAAAAAAAGAATTAGGATTGGGTGACTTGTGATTGACTTTGATGACTTTGACTTTGATGACTTTGATGACTTTGACTTTGATGACTTGTGAGGACCTGTGAGAAATTGTTATGGACTTGTGATGACACACACACGTATTACACTTGTGATGGACTTTTGATGACTTGTGATCAAAATTGGATTTAGTCTTGTCCTGGTTAAACTGAAAATCAGATTTAGAGGCTTAAATCATTAGTCCTTGTACTGCTTCAGACTGCACTAACTGTTACTCCTTCTACTACCCCAGCACTCAATGGTATTATGGATTTATCGAGGAGTAGTACAATATAATATAAACGCTAAAGGCATTCATCCTCCATTCATCATTGTTCAAACTTGATACCATAGTTTGTGTTATTCTCCGATTCATTAGTTTGATGACTTGTCGAGTGGTTACAGCTCAGTGCTGTGTGGAACTCATGGCCTATTTGCATGGACCACATCAGGAAATGAGGTTGCTATTACCATGGTAACAGATGAAGACACTGCCTCATCAGGAATATCAATGACGCATTCGCAGGTGGATGTTTCAAAAGGTTAGTAATATTAATGTACTGACATGCACTTATTAAGGATTTCTCATGAATATATAGTTTTAACATGTTTAAAGCCCAGTTCATACTTCTTGGAAATGCGAATCAAATTTGACGTCATGAAACATTCGCTGCAAAGTTCACCCGAGTTGAAATGTGTTCAACTTTTACGAATTTGCAGCGTGAATACTCGTCATGACGTGACAAAATCGCGTTCGCTTTCGCTTTCATGCCGAGTATGAACCGGGGTTTAATGTTTCTTCCATGCTGGGTGTCTCAAAGTAAGTATACAGTTTTTTTAATGAAAATGATAAAAAATGTTTTGAATATTTTTTTGAAAGTAGCAACGACACAAAAAAGGCCAGGATGTCCTCTATCCAACCAATGGTATTAATTTCTTTACATCATTGCCATGAATGACCGAGCAAACAAGACCTTTTATGAAAGTGAAACTCGATTAAATTTAATACGTTGTTCTTTTAGGTCAAATGTATAAATAGTTTGACAAAACTGTTTTCCTCAACAGGTTGTTTCTGGATTCTGCGGGGTGAGTCCGGATCCATGAAATCTTCAGAGTTCCTTAAACCCGATGAGGTGTGGCAGGGGTCTTGCAAACTGATCATACACACCACTCCCGACAATCGATTGAGTCTACTGGTAGAGGGTGTCCATATAGTAGAGGACTGTGGGAATTCTGGGGTCACCGTAAGTAGAATTGAGCTTAGTACCTGGACCATTGCAAGGAATTGGAATCGTTTTTAACACAGTGCTCAGTACCATTGCAGGGCTGGTTAACCTGCTATGAAAAAAAAAAGAAACGAACAAGTTATGCTTTATTTATTGATTGATTTATTACATTTCTTTACTCAGGGTGTGCCCAAACAGTTCAAAACTGGTTTCCATTGGAGCCCTGCATACACTACTAATGATTATACACAAATATAATGCATTACAAAATACAATACAACACAATGTTATAATAATTTTATTATAACAATTTGTAGCTGGGAAGACATTTTTTTAGTGAATTATTTGACACTGGGGAGAAATTGGTCATGGGGAGATATTGGTTATTAGCATGATCAAGGAGACATTTTAGTGTCACTCTTAGGTTTAACTGCCATTTCTAGAAATATGTTATTGTTGGAAGAAGCTTAAACCTGTATGTCATTGTATTACAGTGTATTAATTCACTGAAAAATCAATTAAACCACAGAGTGCTTGGGCTGTTTCATGCGCTACAGTAAGTAAGGGGTTAAAAGGATTTCTTGGGTCAACAATAATACATGTATAATTACAAAGCTATTTGGAGCGAGGACCGGAGTATTTTTACAAATGGGGTTATGGAAAGGTTTTTGTTTGTACGCTTCATATTTCACTGTCCTTAACGTGTTTTGTATATGTATTTCTGTGATTATCAATGCTATATTCTCTTTGTTTTCTGCCTGTGAATGAAGTGGAAATAAAATTTAAAACCTTGGAATGTCTCTATAAGGTACCCTATTTGGTTATGTATATTATTCTTATAGCTGTATTTTACCGGTAGCTTGTAGCAGGTATGTCTATTTGTCTGGCAATGCCAATCTGTGAAATCTGAAATTTGTGAAGGCTTGACAACCAAATTGATGCATCTACAACACTTTGTTTCAGATTGTTGACATAGCGACGCTGCGCAGCAAGATCATCTGTGAGGTGTCACATGACCTTGTCTTCACCTCTGACACTAACGAGATAGCGTTTGGTTATATCAATTACCAGACCACTCTGCCTGATTTCACTGTCAGCTGGGAGTCCATTCACAGAGAAGTAACACCAGGTGAAGATGTGGTCTTGTGCTTAGGGTGTAACTTTGATTTTTACGGAGAACAGGGGTACCAGATGTGTGGTGTGGTTTGGTGTGTAGGCAGAATGGTTCGGTATAAGACAGTAGGTCTGTCTCGAATATAACAAATATTCAAATATTCGATCATCAACCTAATATTCGAATAGATTTTACCAATTCAAATGTAAAAATAAAATTAAAAAACTACCCCCATACAAGCACAGCTGTGATGGTATTATAGCCCTAACAGTCCTGAGTCCTCCAATTGCAATACGATTTTGCACACCCCCTAGGGAGTTGGGGTTAATCTTAAAGTTGTAGTGCTTTTTTTGTCGATCGTAACTTTTTTGTCGACTGCGGTTCACTATCTGACTATTCCCAACCATTTAATATGTTAAAGCCCTTGTCAGCTTCATCTTTTTGCAAAACACTCCAATGGCCCATAATATCGATCACCGCGCCGCACCGCACCGCACGCAAATTGTAACTGGCGTGCTTTGCGTGCAACTCTTAATCGGTTTGGCATGCAGTTGCAGCTGGCATGTATAAAACTTGATGGGAGAGTTTCAAACATTTGGTCAAACACGGTTTTGAATAATCGTATACTAAATTATTCGAAAATGTACAGCCCACAACAGTTCCTTTATTATTTTTGCCAAAAAGTATTTAAACAAGACAGGGTAATCCTAGTGTTGCTGTTCCCAGAACAGTTAAAAGATTCTGTTCACTGGATTCAGAATGGCTGTCCATGGGAAGTCTGTGCAGGCTTCTGGTCTAATGTACACATTGAGGTGGCTTTGGCATTACAAGTCCTATATGATAGCATTGCCCAGCTCCCAATTAGTCGGTCAGTCATCAGTCAACGGGATAGGTACGAAGAGGTCACTAGCTGCAGGTGTAAGGGGGGGGGGGGGTGACTACAGTCTGAAAAGTCTTAGACAGATTGTCTTATTTACTCATGAGGTTGAGATGGGTCCAAGGAAGGATATGCCCATATCCATGCCATGATTTGTGCTAAAAATGCTCATATTACACTGTTGATATTGCACAGGTTCTTCAAATCATGCACATCTCACAAAAGAGATATTAGTGCATGGTTTTACCTCAAAATCTTTAGGCTGTAGATCCTTTGCATTGCAGCCTTCTCTGAGGAGCTGGGCTTTTTCAACGGGGTAATGTTTGCATGAGTTGTGCATTTATTGTTACAAATGAAAATACCTCTTCCCCAACCATAAGAAAAAGATAGCTGGGGCCAATTTCACGGTGCTGCTCAGCACAAAAATTTGCTTAGCAAAAAAAAAGTATAGCTTTAATAGTAAAAGCAGGTTACCAGCCAGAACTCCATGTGATTTTCATGCCAAGCAAACAACAGCTGAATACCGATCACAAGCAGTATACATTACATGAACATTTGGTTGGTAACTCTGTTTTGCCAAGGGAGACTTTTCATGCTAAGCACATTTTTGTGCTTAGCAGCTTCATGAAATTGGCCCCAGCTCAATGCAAAGGAACCTCATATTTGTAATTCTTTTTCCACAGTCGAATGCACGGACGTCTTTGATCAAACTCCCGAGACGATATCAATTGATGAATACCGGCCGATTTTACTCTTATTACCAACGGATGCTGCCTGCCACATCCTACTCACCCTCCCACCCGAGGAGGCAGTGCATCTCATCTTCCGAGAATTCTCGCTGCCGGGTGCTGTTTGCGAGAGGCATTATGTTGAGGTATACACAAGTATCTTCTCATCGGTTATGAAGTGGAAGTTTGAAGAGACTGGGAGTTTTATGTCCCATCCGAAAGACGCGGACTTGAAAGAGCCCTATCATGTCCCAGACAAGCCACCGACCAAAACAATACATGGAATGGGTTCCCATCCGAGTACTGACCATAGTCAATGGTGCTTAACTTGGCAATTGTACCACTAGCTCTTCCATTGAGCTAACTATCTAGGACGCTTCATCGATCTCATCTTCATCTGACATCTTCATCTGACAGATGATGATGAAGCACCATCTACTGTTCATGCACATGGTCTATTGCTGTTACAAAATGTATACTTAACAGTGACTTGCTCTTTACAAAATGAGACAGAAACGTTTATACAAGTCTATTTTAGTTATTTAACCCTAGCTCTCCTATATTCATGTTTTTTTAGGAGGAACTTGCAGGGTTGTAGGTAATCATCCAAAGAAGTTTGATCCAAAGAAGTTTGAGACCTTAGCCATGTTAGCCACCTTAGAAACTGACACTTTAAGAACCAACATTCCAATGCAGGTGCAAGGCCCGTCAGGTTTCAAACTTAACAATTAGGAACACAGCATCAGGGATTTGAGCAATTGCCTGATTTCAGGCTTTTTCAAATTTTAAATAGTATATTGGCACCATGCATGTGTGTATACCTTTCCTGCGTACCTCAAATTTCAGGCAAAAATGTGAAGAGTCCACTTAAATCTCATCGGCATGTCTTAGAAGAACTCAGATTTCAGTGAAGTAGGGCCTCTGTTTGTATCCACTATGTTGAAGAGCAAATAAACAACAAATTGTTTCTGTGTGAGACTATTTGGAAGTAGTAAAGCAAACAAAACCAATTTCTTTTTTGCTTTTAGGTTGAAGACCTTGCCTCGCTGCGCTATGACCGCTACTGCGACCCAGAGCTGCCATTTTCCTGGAAGTCGGACAGCAACGAAGTCATGATTCGATTTGCAAAGACGAATAATACCTCCGCGATGCAATTAGTTGTGGAATTCTCCCACATTAGGAAACCAAAAACAACAGGTAATATACCAAACTGATTTTAGTTCTTCCTGCTAAGTACATTAAAGTTTCACATCCAGTTTTACCATTGAATGATGCAATTTTGTAAGAACTGTGCATTCAATATTGTGCATTGGGCCCCTTCATCACCGGCATTTTCTTGCCTTTTGTATAAACACTGTATATACTTGTACGAGGGCTTAACATTAATTCACAAGCTTCTCAGGTGGGACTCTAACCCCTGACCTCCTGCTTACAAGTATAGTACATTTCTTTGTTCAGACTGCAGCAAAGTGCTGGTTGGCGACACAGGGGACCTCCAGTCAGTCAACTACCCCTTACACTACCCCACAGACATAGGGTGTCAAACACTGATACACGCGGAGACAGGCAACAGGGTACAGATAGTTTTCAATGAGTTTGAGCTCGAGGAGGAGACTCGAGACGTGGGATGTACAACTGATTATCTCAAGGTAAGAATCTCATTCAAAGACTGTGTGGTTGTGTTCTTGGGCAGGACACTTTAACACAATTGTCACCCTCCACACCAGGGTATTAACAGATGAATGGGTACCTGATTGTGCTGATCTCGAGGTGCTGCAGCAAACTAGTCTCAGCAGATCAATATTTTTCGAGATTGCAGGTCCAAGCCCCGCTACAGACAATTTCTTTGTTCAACTTTCAAATGAAATATTCTGAAAAGACTTCGGGTCATAAAAGTGCCAGTTTCACCAGTTTCAAAGTGACCCAAACAGCAGTTTCCTGAGTTTCTGAAAATGCCTGAAGATTCCAAACATATTCTTATTGCCACTCGGACATGTGTTGGCAACACGCTCAGGTTTGTTTCCGGGGTAAAATGGTTGTATTTACCAAGCATGCACTCGGACTAGGAATGCACTTTGTTTTATAGTTAAATTGACAGTTGCCTGACCTGTGATCCATTAAAAGACATCAGGTGATTGTCGGGTACTAGGTCAAGGAACCAGATTTGTCATTTGTTCAAACAACTTTCCTGTCTACCTGTTTCTCAACAGCTCACAGATCTTACGACAGGTCGCTCCACCACACTTTGTGGCCTCCTTGGACCGTTCACCTGGTCCTCGACGGGCAACGAAATCCTTTTAGAATTTGAATCTGACAAATCCAACACGTACCCTGGGTACTCAGCGTATTACACGGTGTTGCCACGGATACCTGAAGTCGCAGGTTAGCTCTGATGAATTTTGAACAAATATCTTAAATAACAAAATTATGATGTGGAATATTCTGAAGACAAAACATGTTGAAAAGTGTATGGGCAGAACCTCGAGTTTCTTTCAAATTTCAAAGTGTCAGGTTTTTACTGTCAATTTGTTTCTGGTATTGTTTCTTAAACGTTTCTGTTTACCAATAGGTTAATTAATGGTCTTTAAAATGTGTTGTGTTTTAACCCTAAGCATCCAAGGTATATTGTCTAGAAACCCTGACCAGACTAGAGTGTCAGAGGGAAAACCATGCACGATGTAACAAAATCCAAAAGGTCAAAATTCCCAAGGCCAAACTGCCTCATTTATCTGTGGTCACCCACCACTGCAACAGGATCCTAATATGGCATCGTTCAAAGAGAACTAGCTTCCATTTACCATTTGTCTCAGAATTGGCAGTGTACATGTATGTACTGGTGTTGCTGGCACAAAATGCAGCAAGGCCCCAGAGACTTTAACACCTGTTGTATTGTTTTGCATCTGGGTGGGTTAGGTTGAACAGTTAAAACCTAACCCTGTGTGTAAAATGCTCAGTTAAAATGGATTTAGGTTGTGAAATGATTAAATAACTGTCTCTTTGTGGTGAGAAAAGAACATCGAAAAGATGTGGAAAGAGTGTCCAATAGGAAATGCACAAGAGCCCAGAGAAAAACTTCAATAGCAGACTGCAATAAATCGGCAATAAAAGATCATGTAGCTCAGGAAATTCACACAATTGATACTGATAGGGACAACAGCAAAGTTTCGGACAGAGAAACAGTTCAATTTACAAGATGGGTGAAAGAAGCACTCTGGATGAGGGAAACCAAGAACACGAACAGGGACGAGGGGGCTACATGTACATGCTGAGTCACGTGTGGGACCAGTGTCTGGCTCGCGCCGCCTAACGGCCAGACGTTATCATTTTTTGATGAAGTCTGCTTTGTAAAAATAACATTTTCCTTTTGAATTATGTCTCTTTCCCATTGCAAGGATGTAACGAGACCTTGACGTCAGAGACAGGTGTCGTCCAATCACCAAACAATGCCTCCAGTGCTGACCCGTATAACAACTCCTTGATATGTTACCAGCGTATAGAGGTGGATCCATCCCAACACGTTATACTGTCCTTCAGTGTGTTAAGTGTGGAGTCCGATCCAAACTGCCAGAAAGACTTTGTGGAGGTGAGACTTCCTTGTGTGGTCAATATATGGAGAAAGTTCAAATTTAAGAACCCGTCTGGCATTGGCTACGTGTGGTGTATGTGAAAGGGTGGTGCGCACAGTCTTTTTTTACTATACGCCTGAGGACAACTATTGTGTTTTCCTTTGTCCCTCTAATATAACACTTTCCCATAGACTAAGCACATAACCGTACGATCGAGGACCGGTTTTAACAATAGGCACCGTCGTCCGAGGGTCAAAGGCTCCTTTGTGCTCCTTTTGTTGTCTGTCCTCGAGCGTAATACAATACAAGAGCGCCACCTCAGGGTGGTGTGGCAACCGCAGGTACTTATTTTAGTTGCCAAATTTCTGTAAAGGCAGTGTTATTCCTCATGAGGCATTGTGTTTGCACAGTGGAACATTTCTGAAAGTGGAGGGCCAGAGTACATACATCTTTGCAGAGGAGTATACAAAAGGGGGTTGGCAAAGAAAAAAACATCAAAATGGGGTGGGAAATGTCCCTGCCCTTAATGCTGGTTATGAATTCACAACCTTTTCTGTACACGGAGAATTATGACTCATTTGATTACATGTATTTCTTAGTGTTCTCTTATAGGGGCACTAGGTCCTGAAATCCCTGAAAATTTCATGTTTGGATTGTTTACTTATCATATTTCAAATATGTGGTTGAAAAGAAACCAACCTAATGTCTTACCGTTCCCGAGAAAAGACGAAAAACAAACGGTTGTTTACATCGGACACGACGGAGTACGAATATGTTTTTCGTGTCGTTCACCTCATACAGTACGTGTACGATATACACGTTGTGTGTCTCGGGAACAGCGGCGACCAATCACCAATGGCAAAAAAATTGTGGTTTCTTCAACGTCTGCAAAAGGCGAACACTTTACGCGTACGAAAGAAATCACAACTAGCATCCAAACGGCTCGAATTTGTGGGACCCAGAAATTCGTTCTCGCACGCATAATACAGGAATAACACAAAAACGCCCAGTTTTTAAAGGATAGTTGTGTGGATGTTTCTATCCTAGTTCTAAATGTTCTTTCCAGTTAACATAATCTCGTTCAAAGCGTGTTTTGTAGCCCAATTGGGCTGTTCCAGGACCTAGTGTCCCTTTAATATATCAACAATAAATTACAAAATGAACTGTCACATTAATGAGCATGGCATTTCTTGTGTTTTATAGCTCACAGATGCCATCATTGGAGACACAGATATTTATTGCGGTGACAAAGACCCCTTCACGTGGATCTCTGATGGCAATGTGGTGATCGTCAAATTCAAGACTGATGACCAGAACGGTTACCAAGGTTACAAGGCCACATTCAAAGCTGTCACCAATGAGCCATTCTCTAGTAAGTCGGTGTACATAATAGTAATAATAATAATAATAATAATAATATATATTTACACTTATGAACGCATTACATTAACATTTCAATGCGCTTTACAACTAAGATAGTTATTACTGTTGCATTGCTGTTATTTATGTTGTAATGAACATTTACCCTAACAGTAAATGTAAATGCTCTAATTTGAACATGATTTTTCATGCACCCCATTAAAAGGATTAGGGTAAAAAGAGCTACACTTTTCATGCAATTTATTGTATTTTTCAGAAGACAAAAAGAATTAGTGTATATGTTGTGCTGTTTCTTTTGAAGAGCTGATAAATATATACTTGATTTGTATGTTTTTACTGAATAATTCCACCAAAGGCCAATTTTACAGTGGCCTCCGTGCATGAACAGTAGATAACACTTTATGGCAACTTTTGAGACTTGGTACATGTATATATGGATACTGCACATATGGCGTAAATTACACACAATTACATTTATTCTGAATGTGCACAAGCCCATAGTGTTTTCACATGAGTGTCAGGCGCCATGCATTGGCAATTCGTTCAAGAGTCTTTTCCAGTGAACATGACATTTACATGTATGTAACAGTTGAGGGGGCATGCACAGTCCATACAAGTACATCACAAAACCATTTCCATTCACAAGTACGGGATACTATCTTCAACAAAAATGCATTCATCACAGTTCATTTGTATAGCTTGTTACTTATGTCCAACTTTTGATGAACTTGTAATTGCATATAACTGGATTTGTGATGGGCTTGACTACGACATTGGTTAATGCTACATGTGACATCCTTTGATCTTTGTCACGCAGGTTGTGATAGCAGCCTCACTGCTGATAAGGGCACTGTCCAATCGCCAGGCTTTCCGTCCCTGTATGGCAACAATCTCCACTGTGTAACCACGGTAACAGGGCAGGAGCACCACCTGATCCAGCTAGTCTTTGCAGTATTTGATGTTGAGGAGTCAGAAAGCTGCTCCTATGATTACGTAGTGGTACGTCATTTTTGTTATTTGACATTCAGCTGGGAAAGCCCATGAAGGTCTCTTGCTTATTTCAATTGGGGGTCATTTTTGGTAGATGTGGAAGGAAGTATAAATGGGCACCTGTGAGAGTAGAAGACTAAATGTCGGCTACCGTGTGGTCTCATGGCCTGATGAACGGGAATAATTGATCGAAAGTGTTGATTTTTTGTAGAGGGAGGAAAACCGGACAACCCGGAGAAAAACTTAAGGCACAAGAGACAATCAACGAACAACTCTACTCACATATGACCCAAATGACCCGAGACGGGAATCGAACCCGGCCACAGCAGTGATAGGCGAGTGCTTTACGCACTATGCCACCCATGCCACCAGAATGAATTCAAATCTATTGGAGTCAGCTATTGCTCCTAATACACTTGAATGCTACTCTGAATGCCAGACGTAAAATGGGTGTGACTTTTGATGAAATGAAAATGATAAACTCCTTTTCTCCTGATCTCAGATTCGAACCCAGGGCATTGGTGCACCACAAACCTTCTGCGGTGTCAAGGCTCCATTTTCCTGGTTGTCATCTGGGAATGTTGCCATAGTTACCTTCCACAGTGATTACATTGTAACTAGCACGGGCTTCAAGGCTGACTATGAGCTGGTTGCCAAACCCAGCCACCTCAAAGGTTGGTTGATTCTGACTGTGGCTACGGCTATTATTTATTATTCCAAAGTTATTGTTTGTGGTTTACAACAGTTTACTATGAGCTGGCCGCCAAATTTAAACCAGCCACCTCAATGTCGGTTGATTTGATCATGGTTAAGGCTATACCCTCTGGAATATTCAGCTATGGGTGATGGTTAATGAGTTACTAGTTATGTTTTAACGGTTATGGTGAACTTTGGTTTACTGTAAGCTACTGGTTGCCAAACCCAGCCGCCTCAAGGGTTCGTTAGATTTTATCATGGTTAAGGCTATGCGTTGCCAGTTTAATATGGTTTATAGTTCATGAATGTGGTTTACTTTGGTTTACCACCAGTTGGTTGCTACCGGTACCCAGCAACTTCAAGCATTTGTTGAATTGATATTATTGTCTTGGTTATTGATTTGCCATGGGAATGGTAATTGTATGGTTTATGGGTTGTAGCTTATATGCTTATGGTTTCCTATAATTTTTTGTGCAGATGGTAAATGAACCCAGCCACCTTTGAAGTTGGTTCTTTTATGTTGTAGTTATGGCTAGGGTTATTGCCATGGCCATGGGATGTTTCCATGAAATGGTTCCATACATTTTCGGGTGTAATGTACTTCATAGTTTATTCTTTATGGTACATTGGTATATTTTATGGCTTGTTGTTTATCATGATCTTTTCATATTTTGCACAGCTTGTGACGAGAGTCTGTTCACCCCAAATGGTACCCTATCTTCCCCTCTGTATCCTCAAAAATATCCAAGCAACAAGGATTGTCGCACGACAATCACAGCGGAACCAGGCTATGTCATCCAGATATACTTTTCAGAGTTTGAGTTTGAGTTTCATGAGACTTGCGATTATGACTATGTTCTGGTGAGTAGGCCTATAAAGTTTAATATCAGGAAATGGATTGTGTTTGCCGATGAGCATTTTTACATCTATATTTGTAACTAAAAGAAACCGGAGTGTTTCTAAGCTGGGGCTGATAAACTGTAAACATGACAAACGATTCACAATCTGTAACCCATTACAGTCGACTGCCGTTATTACGAGCTCGGCCATAATAAGATTTAGGATATAATTGACTACATATTATAGGTCCCTGCAGTTTTGTGCACATTTCTATGGGCAAGCACGTCGCTTATAACAAACACAGAAAGTATGAGATCTTGCTGAATACGAGTATTTTCACCAGCTCAATGGATAAATTTGGTACTGTTTGTCGCATGGTTGTACAAATGTAGCAAGCATGCAGGATATTGCTCCCCCCACTCGGCAAGATTTTGACGTTGCTTGTCATTTCCTCGACTATATATAGTAGGGTATTTCATGATTTTCAACTAAACTGAGTCCTTGAGTCCTTAAGAAAAACCCACTGATTCATTGAACATGTACCTCCCAAACCTTCAAAATCCATTATGGAGTCTTGGAACATTCCGTAGTATTAAGTGGGGGTGTGCATTTACGGGTAGTACATGAACCAGCTACCTGATTGAAAAAATAAATGGGTAACCAGGTATCACACACCAAACCCAAAAATTCAATCTTCGAAGTTGCTATTCAGATTGTTCATAAAGGTCCTCACGATAACACACCACATCTGTGTGTCAAAACAGCAAGACACAAGTGTGTACAGTAACTTATAGCTTTCCGATGTATTAATTGCAAATTTCGCAAAAGTCATAAACATGAAATTTGTTTTGCTTTCCCTTGTGGTCTGGTTTTCATTTTTAAAATCACCTAAAAAAAATTAGCTTCAAAACCTTCCTTTTCATTGTCTGCAAAGTAACTAAGTAAATCAGAAAGTTGGTTACACTGCAGGTGCCCGATCTATAATCTGGAACAATTCAGTTCCTGATATTAACGGTCGGGTACTCGGGTACCTGGTTCCGATGCACAGCCCTATTTAGGAAGATAGACCCCATCTACTTTTACCTTGCATAAAGCTTGATAACCCTTGAGAATTAGAGAAATCTGCCATAATTTTCCTATGAATTTTTGGGTGGATTCAGAAAAGGTCCCCTCAAAATGCATATCAGTTAGGACTAATTATGAAATGGCTGTCCTTCACTTTGCCATTTTTAGCTGAAAAACTTCCCGGAGGGACCCATGGACAAATATTGCGGCACCTTGGACCCTTTCAACTGGGTATCCAGGACCAATGAGGTGGTGTTGGAGTTCCATAGTGATGCTAGCACAAGGATGAAGGGATACACTGCTCACTATATCACCTATCCGGCTCCGCTCGTGCCTGCACCCACAGAGAACCTACCAGCCATAGGTAAGCCAATTAGGAGTAACTTGAGAATCACAAATCAACTAATTCTGATCGTGTACATGTACTTGTCAACAATAGACACGTTTGTTATGCCCCACCCACTGCGCACACATGGGCAACAACACATGCACCTCTCCATGTCGCGCTGTATGCTTTAGATGCACACGCCTTATTTGCCTGGCACACGTTGGACATATTGGCTTTGATTCGGTCAAAACATCATGGGGCAGGGCTTAGTGAATCACTCTGCTGTTGAACTGATGTAGTTGAGAACTTATCAGATCAATACATGTATTAGGCTGCATCCCGAGGCTTGTGTGGAGCAAATTTAATAATGTACAGTTAGCCGTAATGTAACTAATTCTTGTTTAACTTATGCCATTTCCTAGTCGTGTGACTAGGAAAAGGATGTAAGCAGCCCAGGCACGCAAACAGCACTTTTGGAGATAATAGAGTTGAAAGGTTTTGTGCTGCCATTTCTAGATTAAAAATCACATAAGGTTGAAATCTCAACTGATGACATTCGTTATTGATTAAAATAATATGGTGCATTTTCATGTCAGAATATAACTTAATTTTGAAGTTATTTCAATTTTTATGCTAACGACCTTTTACCGGGAACTTCCAGTGCCTTAAATGTACGCTTAAGCGGCATGTTAAATCCTTATGTCCTTTTGCCGGAAACAAAATTGGCTTTGCGTATCACTTGAGTGGGACGTTGGGGCACTTCGAACATTTTTTGTTACATAAGAATTACATGCTTACGACCTTTTGCCAGGCACAAATAATGAAAAACCTCCTTCCGTCCTTTGTTTACTGTTAATTACATCAAAACTACGTAGCCGCTTGAGACAATATATGTATATCGAATGAAGGATATTTCCAAGCTCTATCGATTACCTGCAAAATTCGAATTTGACCTTTTGACCCATTTTTCGCCCTTACTACCTTCTTCCAGGCACCCGACGAATTGTTGGCCATCAAGTGTGATCATTCAGATCAAGCTGAGAGCTTGTGAGAAACTGCTGTCGATAGGTTTCATTTTGCGGCATACTTGGAACAAATAAACAAATAAGAATTATTTAGGTTCACCGTGTAAAACTTCAAGTATTTACATTGTTCTTCCAACAGTGTCCAAGTGCAACGTTGAGATGTCAGCTGAGCGGGGCGTGATCACGTCGCCCAACTTCCCTTACGAATACGACAATGATCAGAACTGTCGCACAGAGATTGAGACAGACGTGGGTACGCGGATCAACGTCACTTTCCACTTCATGGACATTGAGGAGCACCGCGGGTGTCAATGGGACCGGGTGGAGGTAAGAACCCACCAAGCCCCCCAAAAACTATTCATCCCTTGTGCTTATAAATATTTGTAAATACTCAACAAAACATGTTACCCATCCAAACACAATCGGTCACAAGTGGTGGGGTGCTGTGGTCCAATGGTTACAGTGTTCGACTCGTGTGCCGTGGTACACGGGTTCGAATCCTGACCGTGGGAACATGGTGCTTGTGCTCTTGAGCAAGGCACTTTACCATTATTGCTTCGTCCCTCGGATGGGATGTAAAGCCGTAGGTCCCGTGTGTTGTGTAATGCATGTTAAAGAACCCAGTAACACTTGTCGCTAAGAGGAGGGGTTTGCCCCGGTGTTTCTGGCAGTGGCAGCAATTATGCGCCGCAGCACCTAGCAAAAAGGTGCTACATAATGGGTCTCATATGTTCATATACTTCATTTACCTGGCTTTGGTTGCATTCTCCCCAAGCGCTTTGTATCCTCTGGCAAAAAGCACTATATAAATACTATTATTATTATTATTAAGTCAAAAGAGCTACTTATGAGTGAAAGGCCTTTTCATACAGCATTTCACAAACTGGAAATCAATAGTAACAGTTGACCTTTTCACCCATATATCTGTAAAAACTGAGATGTAGAACTGAGTGATGTATCAGAAAAGAGCAAAGTATGCACTTCCTACTGCATATGGAAAAAAAAACCTAAATTATGAATAGTCTGTAAGACTCCCCTGCCATGGCTTTTACACAGGCCAGTCACCAACATTCAGATCATAATTATTTCTTGTGTGTACTGTGACATTCATATTCCATTAACAGACAAACGCAGCTAGTGACTAGGAGGCACAGTTGGCTTACCAATCTCATATAGTCAAAGCATAGATATAATTTCTTTCATAACAATCACAGCCAGGCAATCCTGCTTTATGAATGCAGGGAGCACTCAACCGTTAAAAACAGTCACCTGATTTATTTTTGGGGTGTTGAAAACGCCAGCCAGAGGGACTCGAATGCATTGCTGTCCAAGTGCCTTGTGCTCATGCTAAAACATGATAAGGGTTGTATTCAGAATAAAGTTATTTGTGCGGACTGCATGCCAAGTACCCCTAACCAGTGCCGCATGCAATCTGCCCCTCCATTGGAGCTTCCACAAGTGGTCATGAAAGCCCTATACTGTTCATGCACTGAGTCCTAAATGCTACACCCAGAATGTGCATCATGGAGGATCTGGAGGACTTGTCAACTGTGTTATTTATGGTACTGAAAGGAAAATTGTACCCCGTTACCCCCAAGTCCTGTATTGTCTCAAACTGCCCTGTTTAGCCTTGCTCAAGGTGTTGATTATAGTGTCCAATGATGGATGTCCAGCCACTAACCACAGCCGCACGCCATGACTCGCACATACTGCATGAAGTGCGAACAGCAATCTTACACAGCTAGGCTATGATGTGCAAATCAGTTGGTGCTGGTTTGAACGCCGTGGCGCAACAGTTGCAGTGGCCTATCTTTTGGGGGCAATTACAGGGGGTATCATTATTTTGTCGCTCACTGGATATTGAGTTATATTTGGTAATGCGGACTTCAAACTTGTTGGAGATGTAGCCACACTTTGCAGCTCTCTATCCATGTAAAATGTGAGCCACATATGTAAAACATGTTTGTTACTCCTTATACCATCCCAATCTGCCCAAGGACTGTGTGGTTTTATGGATTCATAAGGGAATAAATACAGTGTAATAAGTATTACCCTGGATTTGACATTTGGGAAACATCACTATAGACTTGCACACACAGTTTTTCAAACTTAAATGTGCCCTAACCCAATATTCCCTTGTCCTTTTTCCACAAATTTCGGTATGTTTACTAATTAGACCACGAGCAACAAATATAATCTAATTGCGACAGTAAAATGTTGCCTCTAAAGGGGGGCTGTGACATTAAGGAGACATGAGAATGTCTCCCTAACGAAGAAATTACGATAACGTGTCTCCTTAATGGTACCTTTACACGTGTAAAATTTAGCATAGGTGCTTACGGGCCAATATATACACTCATCAACTTTAACTGTTTTGGAAATTCAATGACGTCTTTTCCCATTTGTGTCCAACAGATTTTGGACATCGGCTCTGGTCGCAAGTCCGAGCCTTAAGGAGACAGAAGAATGTCTCCCTAACAAAGAAATTACGATAACTGTCTCCTTAATGGTACCTTTACACGTATAGAATTTAGCATAGGTGCTTACGGGCCAATATATACACTCATTAACTTTAACTGTTTTGGATATTCAATGACGTCTTTTCCCATTTGTGTCCAACAGATTTTGGACATCGGCTCTGGTCGCAAGTCCGAGCCTTAGGGAGACAGAAGAATGTCTCCCTAACAAAGAAATTACGATAACGTGTCTCCTTAATGGTACCTTTACACGTATAGAATTTAGCATAGGTGCTTACGGGCCAATATATACACTCATTAACTTTAACTGTTTTGGATATTCAATGACGTCTTTTCCCATTTGTGTCCAACAGATTTTGGACATCGGCTCCGGTCGCAAGTCCGAGCCTTAGGGAGACAGAAGAATGTCTCCCTAACAAAGAAATTACGATAACGTGTCTCCTTAATGGTACCTTTACACGTATAGAATTTAGCATAGGTGCTTACGGGCCAATATATACACTCATTAACTTTAACTGTTTTGGATATTCAATGACGTCTTCTCCCATTTGTGTCCAACAGATTTTGGACATCGGCTCCGGTCGCAAGTCCGAGCCTTAGGGAGACAGAAGAATGTCTCCCTAACAAAGAAATTACGATAACGTGTCTCCTTAATGGTACCTTTACACGTATAGAATTTAGCATAGGTGCTTACGGGCCAATATATACACTCATTAACTTTAACTGTTTTGGATATTCAATGACGTCTTCTCCCATTTGTGTCCAACAGATTTTGGACATCGGCTCTGGTCGCAAGTCCGAGCCTTAGGGAGACAGAGGAATGTCTCCCTAACAAAGAAATTACGATAACGTGTCTCCTTAATGGTACCTTTACACGTATAGAATTTAGCATAGGTGCTTACGGGCCAATATATACACTCATTAACTTTAACTGTTTTGGATATTCGATGACGTCTTCTCCCATTTGTGTCCAACAGATTTTGGACATCGGCTCTGGTCGCAAGTCCGAGCCTTAGGGAGACAGAAGAATGTCTCCCTAACAAAGAAATTACGATAACGTGTCTCCTTAATGGTACCTTTACACGTATAGAATTTAGCAGAGGTGCTTACGGGCCAGTATATACATTCATTAACTTTAACTGTTTTGGATATTCAATGACCTCTTCTCCCATTTGTGTCCAACAGATTTTGGACATCGGCTCCAGTCGCAAGTCCGAGCCTTTCTGTGGGAGTCTCTTCGGTGGTCACCGATCCTGGCAATCGGACACTAATCACATCGTTGTCATCTTCGTCAGTGACGACATCGTGACTCGCATTGGATTCTACGCAACATATGCAGTGGTTGGGTCCACAGAGCAGAATCGAGACAGAGGAACTTAGTGGTGCCTTAGTGGAGATATTTGATTCCAGTGTACAATGTGATATTTCAATATTATAAGTTTTTCAAAAAAACCCAACTGATTAAACCTTTCAAACATTTGGTACTGTTATCCCAACTGTTTCTTTCTCCGGTAAGGGTGATTTTCAAGCTTTTCCATACATGTTTTTAATCAATACCTAGAAAAAAATGGTGTGCCTTTTTGACTGGAACGAGTGCTTTTCCACTGCAACATTACAAAAATTCAACAAGCAACTGTTTCATCAGTTTTAACACAAAATGTTGGGATTAATTTTCAAACGTACGAATTGGCATAGAAAAAAAAACACTTTGGGGAAAGCTCATGACATTTGGAAAAATGAACCTAATACAACACATCAACACAAGTCAATAAATAACATGCAATTATGAAACAAATTCTTCTTGTGAAAATAGTAATATTCAACCGTTTAACTTTAATCAGTTATTGTCCAATTGATATACTGAAACATGTAATAGTAATATGGAAAGAATACGGCATATTGATATACTGAAACGTGTAATAGTAATATGGATAAGACATGCAGATATATAAAAAGGTTAATGATTATAATATTTCAGCATGTTCAATGTAAACAAAAAATATGTAAGATAACACTTAGGGGAAAGGTTATGAGATTTGGGGGAATGAACCTAAATACAACACATAAAAAGTCATTTAACAACATAAGGGAACAAATTGTTCTTGTAAAAATAGTAAATTCAACCGTTTTATGATTTTTTTAACCAGTTGATATACTGGAACATACAATAACAAAATGGAAAGAATAAGGCATTTGGATGTATAAAAAGTCAATACAGCATGCTCAGTGTTAAAAAAATATGTAAGAGAACACTTTGGGGGAAGGTCATGAGATTTGGGAAAATGAATCTAATACAACACATCAACGTCAATAAACAACATGCAATTAGGAAACAAATTCTTGTGAAAATAGTAATATTCAAGCGTTTAACTTAAAATCGTTTTTTGTCCAATTGATATACTGACACATGTAATAGTAATATGGAAAGAATAAGGCATATTGATGTACTGACACATGTAATAGTAATAGGGAAAGAATAAGGCATATTGATATACTGACACATGTAATAGTAATAGGGAAAGAATAAGGCATATTGATATACTGACACATGTAATAGTAATATGGAAAGAATAAGGCATATTGATATACTGACACATGTAATAGTAATAGGGAAAGAATAAGGCATATTGATATACTGAAACATGTAATAGTAATATGGAAAGAATAAGGCATGCGGATATATTAAAATGTAATGATTATAATATATCAGCATGTTCAACTTTAAAAAAAAAAAATGTAAGAGAACACTTTGGGGAAAGGTCATGAGATTTGGGGGAATGAACCTATAATACAACACATAAAATGTCATTTAACAACATAAGTGAACAAATTGTTCTTGTAAAAATAGTAAATTCAACCGTTTTATGATTTTTTTTAACCAGTTGATGTACTGGAACATGCAATAACAAAATGGAAAGAATAAGGCATTTGGATGTATAAAAAGTCAAAACAGCATGCTCAGTGTTAAAAAAATATGTAAGAGGACACTTTGGGGAAAGGTCATGAGATTTGGGAAAATGAACCTAATACAACACATTAAGGTAAATATTACAACATGCAATTAGGAAACAAATTGTTCTTGTGAAAATACTGTAGTATTATTAACCCATTTTATGAAAAAAAATCCAGTTGATATACTGAAACATGTAATAGTAATATGGAAAGAATAAGGCATGTAGATATATGAGAGAGTTCAAGAGTATATTTCAGCATGTTCAATGTAAAAAAAAAAATGAAAGAGATGGATAATACTCTGTCTTGATGACTGACCAAGGATTGGTGAAATAGTAATATGGTAAGGATAAGGAATGTGGATATATGAACAGTTTATCAGAGTATATTTCAGCATGGTCATTTTACAACAACTGAAAGAGATGGATAATAAAAACTGAATTAAAAACCAGTGGCAAAATTTAAAGTTGCATAATGAGTGTCCAAGGAAGAGAAAACAAATAATGTAGACCTTCTAACTTAATTATTCCTGATGTTTTAGTGGCAACGATACGAATAATGCAGAGTACTGAATAAAATTTTACATGATTCATGGAATTAATGGAATTTGAAATATCACTTCTTTTTTTTTTGTTATTTTGTTTTTTGAAGTACGCTTTTAAAATTTAAATAATGCTGTTGTCCAAACTATGGGAATTATTTAAATAATTTAATATATTTTGCACAAATAATATGAAGTTCATTTTAAGACCCACGCGTGTATACCGTGTACTTACAAACAGTACCTAGAATTTATTATGGTGTTTGCCCTTCACCGACATAGTTTGTCAAGTTTATTGGTCCAGAAAATGTTAAATTATCATGGTTACTCAGGAAATGTGAGTGCCAAAAAATTGTCTTTTCTGCGAAAGTATTCGTCCAGGCGAATTCTTGAGTACCTAAGCCAGAGGAATTGAAAAAGGAAACATGATGTAAATATATTTTATGCTTCTCAAAGTAATGGGCGTTATCGGTTCAAGCTTCTTGAAATCTGTAAATTTTGATATCAATATTGAGGGGGCACTCGTGCAGAGATCCTAGAGTCCACACACATGGACTCCGTGAGTGGAAAGTAGATGGGTAATTCCACGGTTACTCGCGTTACATTTTTGATGTACTTTTGAGTTTTCTTGGGCTGTAATTACCTTACTGAAAAGGTTTGATAACTGTTATCCCCATGGTAGATAGAGTAGACCTAGACCTACCTAAGCACCAAAGATGACATCCAGAAAAATGTGTTATGTATGATAAACAAGACGCACACCATCGGTTACTCACGTTACATTTTCGTAACGTGAGTAACCGATTTTGTGCGTCTTGTTTATCATACATAGGCCTAACACATTTTTCTCGATGTCATCTTTGGTGTTTAGGTAGGTCTAGGTCTACTCCATCTACCATGGGGATAACAGTTGGTAAACCTTTTTAGTATGGTAATTACAGCCCAAGGAAACTCAAAAGTACATGAAAAATGTAACGTGAGTAACCATGGAATTGCCCAGATGGTGATCACCATGTGCACATGTCGGCAAGCATGTGTGCAAACCTTGCCGTCTTTGTCTGAACCTGAAAACATGTCCACATGTTGTGGACTAAGTCAGGTCCACACGAGGTTTTCCCCTCCCTGGGAAAACAGGTTTAGAGGCATTTCTGGGTTCGGGTTATTTGTCACAAAATGGAGGAACACTCGGCGAAATTATGGAATTGGGTTAAAAGATTATTCACAGTCCGCGTAAGATAATTTTTTTCCTCCCGGATTTTCTTTACATGAAATAAGGCAAAGGAAGGTCCACACTAGGTCTGTAAGGTAGGCCTGAGCATAGAGCTAGGTCCTTGCTCTATGGCATGAGAGTGTGCGTACTTGCATGTGTGTTTGCACATTGACTCAAACTACAAATTGTGTTTGAACGCTTTAAAGCATTCAAACACAATTTGAAGTTTGGAACTTCAAGGAATTAAAATTCCTATTGAGTAAGAGGGCACTTTTGTAGAGTCACATAGACACTTCTAGATCAGGGGCGAATCTAGCATTCAGGTTAGGGGGGGGGTAGTGAACATTTTGAAATTTACGGTGCTGTCTCCTGCATTGTGTGGCAATTTCAGAGTAAACTGAAGAACTTAAGCATTCCATTTGTAAGTTGTTGCCCCATTTTACTAGTTTCATAACAGTCAGCGACCACCCCCTTTAGATTCGCTATTGCAGATACGTGGGTAAGACAAATGTCAAGGTGTACGCTCTACTGTTATGGGGTTTATGGTTTATTAATCGTTTAAAATATAAAACTTACTCAAAAAAATCGAAGTCGATGGTCGAGTAGTGTGCAACTGCCAAGGCCCAAATGCCCCAAAACATGTGGGCAGCCTAAAAAAATATATATACATATAAGAATTAAAAGCGGTAAACGTATGTGTTTGTCATTTAATAAAATGCTAGGATTATACATGAAATGAACCTAACTTCTGCCAAAGATCAAATCATTACCGGAGATTATTACAGCTCTTAATAAAACCTGTAATGTTTAAAAAAAAAAAAAAAAAAAAAAAAAAAGAGAAGTTGTTCTTACCAGACCAAATTTGTTTACTTTGACATACAGGGTTTCCACTTCTCTTTCTGTGACTTCTTTCTTGATATTGCAGGCCTCATTTTGAGCTGTCAGAAATTCTTGCAACCACTTCATCTGAAAATCCTTCTCAGGATAGAGGTTGTAGTCGACATTCCAAGGGCGTAAACTTGTGTCTACAACTGAGGAGGTGGTGGTGATGAAAAAAATCCTAAAATCTTGATTTGTTGGGGGTAGGGGTGTATTGTCAAAACTGTTTCACAAAAGGGACCAGTGCTAATGCTAGAAATATGAATGTGAAAGGAATGTAGTTTGACATCAAATTGAAGGGGACTTACATGCAAATCCCCAGAAATGGTTCCCGATTTCAAAGGCTTGGTAGTTGAAACCAGCGAATTCATAATCTATGAAAGACACTTTACCTGTAAAATTGAAAAAGAAAGAAACAGTCAAGATCGCGAAAGTTACGTTTAGAGACGGCAGCTTACAAGTGTGTAGTAGTCCCATATCTTGATGCAAATTTGTATCATCTGTAGAGTCTGTTACCATTTTAGACCACCTGAGAAGCGATTAACACCTGTTCCAGCAAATTCATAATCTATGAAAGAAACTTTATCTGCAAAATTGAAAAAAAAGAAAACAGTCAAGATCATGAAAGTTACGTTTAGAGACGGCAGCTTAGTAGTCCTATCTCTTGACGCATTTTTTTTTTTATCATCTACAAGTAGTAGACTCTGTTACTAATTCAGACCACCTGAGAAGTGATTAGCACCTGTTCCATCCAGATCGTCCTTCCAGCATGTCCAGAGTGTAATTGGCCAAACTAAAAAGTGTGAGGAGCGTCTCGGTTTGACCCAAAATAGAGTCGTTTCAGAGACAGAGAGGCAAACTTGATCATTTTGCCATTGAGTATAGACTCTTTGGATACTTTTGACATGGTCGGTCCTGTTTCAAATGTGGAACTGTTCAACTGCTTAATTCGTTAACATTTGGTTTGGTGCGACTCTGGAGTGCCAGTCTTATATAAGTTGAAGTAGATCTATCAGTCATTTAAAGGAATATACAACATTTGCAAACATCGAAAAATAAAACTACCAAGTTTTTGCGAAATACCTTAATAGGACGTTGGTAAATGACAGTCTAAAGCATCCTGTAAAATTATGGCACCTGGTATACTGTCATTTTCAAGAAAAGTGGTATTTTTGTATCAATTTCCAACGCTGATCGGCCGATCAGCGTTGGAAACAACTGGCTTTTTTTCAAATACTGGCCCCAATTGACTATTGCACTTGTTTGCAATCGATTACAAACCTATGAACGGGTACGAGCCAGCTAGACTGGTTCCCTGACCTTACAATTCCCCAATGTATGTAAACTGCTCTGTTTCTTCTTATATGGAGTCAGGGAACCAGACTACAGGTAAATGATCGTTTTTCTTGGTTTTTATAGCATTTTCGAACCCAAAACCTCCAAAAAGTCAGTGTAACTATATTTGCTTTATATTTCCAATCCACCAATTCCATCCATTTCTGAAAATTACAGCAAAAGCAAATGATGTATATTCCCTTTAAATACACTCGCTAGCAGTAGGTCTTTGTGCAACCTATTACCACAACAGCCCTGTGACTAACAAATCATGGAAAGGCAAAATTCTGGTTCTAAGTTCCCACTGTCAAAATCCAGCGTACATGACCTGGCAGGAAATCAATCACAGACATGGATACGCGTAGTGTCACCTTTCTGCTCGTTGAAAATGATGTTTGCGGGAAGGATATCATTATGACAGAATACAATGGGTGTTTCTAGACATGTAAGAGCGCTCTTCAGTTGGCTGACTTCCTTACGGAGTTGGTCCTTCGATGTGACTGTTCCAATGTACCTATATAATTCACATGACCAGAAAAATGCATTAGATTGACAAGAAGACTACACGTAGGCAAACTTAGTATTAAAGCATGGCCACCACAACTGCTAAAGGGCAGGATTTATCCAATCCTATAGACCATGTGCCACTTGTACTTGTTTTGTATGTGGTCATGTCCTCACAACTTTCAGCAAAACTGTCCTCTTCTGCACTGCACGTGTATCTCTTGAAATGCGATCGGTATAAAACTGTTGACATACTGTTTAATGCGGAGAAATAACATGCAAAAGATGCTTATATAGGGTTGCCCATCGGTTGCCTGCTGGTATGACGTCACAGGGCACATGGTCTATACAAAGGCCAACATGTACATGTACATGTCTAAGCAGTGCCGGGCTGTCTTGAGACACTCAACCAACCGGTTCTTTTCAGAACCACACTCACTTCTTCCGAGAAGAGATTTCTTTCCACATGGTGTTACCCGCAAATGTTTCTTATTTTATCCTATCCGCCATACAAAGCTTCAAGTGTTATACTACAACCCCTGCAAGTGTCAGTCAGTACACTAGGCTCTGGTTCTCCGGTACCAGCAAAATTCAGAAATCATCTGAATAAGTGAATGACCTTATTCTATCTTTCCCTTCTCTTCAGAAGTACTTGCTTAACTCACCTTTTCTGTTTTTCTTTGCCCTCAAATGTTTCTGGAAGGATCGACAGCCATCTATCCATCAGGCGGAAGAGGCAAGGGGAAGTCACAGCGCCATCCTGTGGCTTGATGCTGTGCATTTTTATCATCTCTTTGATGATGAGCCTGAAATGGACAGATTTCGAAGCCACAAACAAAATATTGTAGATGTGATTGTCAATTAAAGACTTTAACTGCAATTCTGCAGGTGTGTACAATGCATCTATATATTTACATCCCATTATTCTCTAAAATCAAATCTGAAGCCAGTCACACTCTGTCGCTTAGGATAGAGTACTTTCATCAAGGACCCCTTGAAGAATTTGCATAATTGTCATACTAACCACTAACATATCGGAGGAAAATGTGTTTCCAACTGAACAGGAAGTTTTTTCAATCAGGATGTGAGAGATTTGTACCGACACTAGCCTTGGTCAAGGCGCTAAATGTTATTCATCCCGGCCGTGGCGCGTAAACGATATCCTCGCTAGGGCCATGCATTATGCAGTGCATTAAAAATACAGCGCGAACAGCGACCTCATGCGGCCACCATTTCTATGCAAATTAGTTGGACCCTATATCGCGCCTTGGTTCAATCGTCGGCAAAAGCTTATGTTTTTCTTTATTTTGCGCTGGATTTCTAGCGCACGACCTCGTATGCGAATACAGATAAGTGTAGGCGGGGCTAATATGTGGAGTGTCCAATCACACCTTGGTAAATCCGGACGTCATCAAATTGTTTGCAGCTAGCTATTCGCCTTTTGCGGACGTGACAGGAACCACAGTTTTTGTGCATTGGTGCCGTGTGCAGAGACACATAACGTGTACGTGTACATGTATGGATTATGTACGGTGCCACGTTTTACTAAGCAAGTTTCCCCGCAACGATCGACCAATAAGAAAACGACATTTAAGGTCAGCTAAGGCTATTAACATAATGAGCTCCACCCCCAAAACCTCACATGGACGACTGAACCAAGGCGCTATATTGGGTCCAACTGATTTGCATAAAAATAGTGGCCGCGTGAGGTCGCTGTTCGCGCAGTATTTTTAATGCACTGTACTGCATGCATAGCGCATAGACATTATGACTGCATGCATTACCTCGCTACGGCCGGATAAAAAAACAATTAGCGCCTAGACCAAGGCTATACCGACACCCATGTTAAGACTCTTTCACACTATCCAATATCTGTCGGACCAAAAGGTCAAACATAGTCCGAAAATTTGGGACTCTCTGTACTGTGTACGAGAGTCCCAAAACTTAAGATAGTGAAAACATGTATTACAAGAAAATGGACTGTTGCAATGAAGACACTAGTCGAACACCCCTTAGTAGTACTGCATCAAAGTTCTACACATTCTCTCCATACATGCACTGAGCAGGTCATGCCACCAAACTACTGAAGGGTCAGTCAATCTTTTCAAAAAGTTGGACATGTACGGCACCAGTCTAGTCTTAATTAGATGAAGGCTTCAAATTGATAATCACTTGGACTCTTTAAGGTGTAAAATGTTAAAGAAAAGTCTCCTTTAAAAGTTGAATTTAGATGTCAAACTTGGCCGGTGATGAACTGAGGACTTTGTCTTTGCCTAATGACAATTTTGGAGAATTTTGTTGGAGAGTGAGTAAAGTTGACCTGATTTTGTTTTGCATGTTTTTGGGGTTTTTTTCCCGCAAGGTCCCAGTCTGACTTGAGCCTGACGACGATCAAAGCTTTATAGACAAAGCCAGGGTTTTGTAAACCCCCAAATTACATGATGATTTACAAAGAACATACTTGTAGATTCTCTCTTCCCTGACCGTCTTTGGATCCAGAATGACTCCTGGAAGATACTCATAGCACAGACCGTTGTTATATCGAGCGTACAGCTTAGCTCCGCATCCTGCTTGGGAGGACTGGTGAAGAATCGCAAATGTCTGGATCTCAGTCTCGTGATCGATCAGAAGATCTAAATTCTTGCCGTAGATCCGAATCAGGACAATATCCGACTTAGCCTCGGGACGGAATCCGGCTACGACTTTGTTGGAGATACCCGACGTAAACACCTGCATAAGAAATAGTTATTTGCTGAAGTATACATGCATGTATAAGCGCTTTCCATCGTATCAACAATCTCAAAGCGCTTTACAATTATTACCCCGTCCATCAGGCCACGGGATCGGGACCACGCGAGCAGATATCAGCGCTCAATTGGTACTCGACCCTCACAGGTACCGGTACCATGCATTTAAAACTCCTAGGTGGAGAGAGTCAATTGTAGTTAAGTGTCTTGCCCAAGGGCACAAACACTATGTTCCTGGCAGGGTTCGAAGCCACGAACCTTCGCACATGAGTCAAACACCGTACGGACCAGCGCGCTCTACAAATAGACACATATGACAGTGCGTATCAGGATAATGCCGTCAAGTCCATGTTTTTAAAGTCAGTCACATGTCAATCACAAGTCAATCACAAATTACATGTCAATCACAGTTTCTATACAATGGTCATTTATTCTTCACAAAATCATTCAGTGTCTAATCAAGTCACGTGCACTAACGTATATAATGTTCAGGATCATTAACAGCTTTGTAAGTTAGCGTCGATCATTCATATTATATTCATTATTGGAAAGAGTGTCGCATCATGACGCCACATTTTTTCCTCATCCTATGGGAGTCGACAGGATGGGGCAAGCCCCCCCCCCCCCCGGAAGAGAAAGTAAAAACGTTGAGGCCTTTTGATTTAATTATTAATTTAATAAACATTTAACATAATGGGCTACTGCAGGGGTGGCAATGGGGGTGGGTAAATGTTCCCCGCCCACCCTAAAAAAAATGATAAATTGACTATGCTGGAGGAAGTACAAGGTTTTCTTTTTTTTGGGGGGGGGGGGTGTGCTTTTTGGGAAAAAGGGGAAAAATCCTGGCGACGCCAATGCATAATTATCCCAATGAAGGTCAGTCATTGCCAAAAAAAATGTTGAGAAGAAATGATTCTGGGACTGATTTCCAATTTTGTTAGGAAATACTGAAAATGTTCTTGACTCTCCATAGACTTTAAAGGGAAAATACAACATTTGCAAACATCAAAAAATAAAACTACCAAATCATTTTGAAATACCTTGCTGGACTGTTAGTGAATGACAGTGTAAAGCATCCTGTAAAATCATGGCACCTGGTAAACTGTCATTTTCAAGAAAAGTGGTATTTTTGTATCAATTTCCAACGCTGATCGGCCGATCAGCGTTGGAAACAACTGGCTTTTTTTTCTTCAAATACTGGCCCCAATTGACCATCGCACTTGTTTGCAATCGATTACAAACCTATGAACGGGTACGAGCCAGCTAGACTGGTTCCCTGACCTTACAATTCCCCAATGTATATAAACTGCTCTGTTTCTTCTTATATGGAGTCAGGGAACCAGACTACAGGAAAATGATCGTTTTTCTTGGTTTTTATAGTATTTTCGAACCCAAAACCTCACAAAAGTCAGTGTAACTATAGGGCCTATTTGCTATATTTTTCCAACCCCCCAATTCCATCCATTTCTGAAAATTACAGCAAAAGCAAATGATGTATATTCCCTTTAACCACTGGAATGGCGGCTGGATATACTACATTCCGGCGTTCACCGGAGCCAGAACTAGAAGAAGCCTTTAGAGAGTCAGGGTACGTGAAGACAAAAACAGATCTAGTGGTTATAGTTTCTAGCTACATTGCCCATAAAGACCTACATTTGAACAATGTTCATCCGACTTAATTTGCATCAGTAACCTAGACATCCCTTGCAAAGAAAAGTGTTAAATTTGCGAAAGGCCCTATAAATAAACTCTGGAATTCCCTTGCCAATTTTTTGAAGAAATCGATACATTCAAAATTAAGAAACAATTATTTTTAACAAATTTAATTAATATTCATATTTGTGAGTCCATTATCCATTGTTGGTAAAATTGTTTCGTTTGATTCGTTCGTTTGATTTTGTTTCTTGTTTTAGTAATGCTAATTAGACCTAAGCCATGCCAATCATTAAATTGCTTATATTTTGATTATTTTCTTTCTGTATATTAGCATCATTGTCTATCATGAGCCCTCATTATAGAAACGCAGCTATTCATATTAATTTAAGTTTCTTTAAAAGTCACCTTAAATTCATTTGTTAAATTCATCGTCTTTTGAGATCAGTAGATCTATACGTTTGTTATTTTGGGGTTTTTTTGGTCATGTATCCTGTAAATAATTAATATTGTTTTATTTGTTGTTCACAAGTTGTTTTTGTCTGTTTTCCTGCATGTCGTTAATTCTTTCTTGTTCAGGGGTCCCGCATTTGACAAGCTTTGCTTTTTGTGGGTCCCCTGCATCTCTTAATTGGTATTAATAAGAATTAATTCATAGCTTACCAAAAATGCTATGCACATTAACAAGGGCGGATCCAGGGGGGGGGGGGGGCCAAAGGGGGCCATGCCCCCCCCCCCCCAAACGAAACCATTTTTTTTTTTTTTTATGTGACATCGCAATAAAGGCAGGCAATGAGTACACCACCATCTTTTCCTCAAAAAAACATTGGTTAAAGTGGTCAGAAATTGCCTCAGATCGCACCACAGAGCATCTAGAATCCAAAAAAATTTCGGGGCCCTTAAGCGGGCCCCGAACCCCACGCCGTAATTTTTTTGACCCACTTTTTTGGCAGAATTTTTTTGGGACAAAATTGTTTTGGGCCCCCCCAAAAAAATTGTGTTCTGGATCCGCCCTTGCACATTAAAATTACATGTACTGTATTTACAATTCAATTAAGTTGTAGGCCTATATAATCTATATTGATTTACCATGAGATGAAAATAAAGTAAAGTAAAGTGAAGTGTAATCCCTTCCTCCATAGTAATCCCAAGCAAATGCTCAACTTGGTGTTTCCCATGTTACATTGGGGCTCTGATACAGCTAGCCAGCTGGCTGCACATGATGCATTTCAAATTGATGACCCACACGCGTGAACACACACTCTCAAATTTGTATCCTTGTGGAGACATTTCTTTGTTCTCGTGTAGTAAAGTTTTCAATTTTGAAAGTGAAGTTTCAAAATGCTCTTATTTTAACCAGAATTAATTCCCTTGGCTGAAATTCGGACTTAATATCCCTTTTCTAAAACTCTTCCATTTGCGACACATCAACCCACCTTGGAAATTCCTTTTTTTTGAGTAAAATCCATATATCTATTTCGTGAAAACCTTGCAGTGGAGACCTATATTCATCTATAGAAATTGCCTTGTGGAGACCTTTACTATGTTTTGTTCCCTATTGTGTGCGTGTCTCCACAAGGATACAAATTTGAGCACTGCTGCTCTACGTTACTTGACTGACCTTGAAATTGATCTCTTCCTGGTTCCACTCTGGACGCACCAAATACAGTAATTTTCGCGCCCCATCCTCTAAATTATTCTCATCCAGCGTCAAATCGATTCGCAAAACACCACCGTTTGACATTTTGTGAAGTATATCGGTGTATCACAGGTTGAAATGCAGCCAAATTCGTGCGGCAGATGTTAGGGTGGTTTGTCAGGGTCGATGTTATTTCTCAAACGCCACAGGTCGAACGCTGCATCAGCAGAAAGATCCGAAGGAAAATGGCGGGGTTTCGTACGTACACGAGGGCGCCGTGCGAGGCTGGTTTAGACTTGATCAAGTCATTCACTGGCTTAGCGTTGATAATTTAGCCTGGAAGTGTTTCGTTATAAAAAAGTTTGTTGTGTGTTTTTCTTTATTATGTACAGGCTGATTTCAATTTTGGAATGTTTTACGTGTCCTTTTTGCCAAATGTATCGTGCTTAATTTGTATTATAAGTTACGTCTGAATTAAGTGCATATTATCAATATTTCATGCAAGTTATATGGAGGTATAGAAAATTTCCGGCAAAGTAGCATGCTTACCAAAATAATTCTCAAGCGTTCGGACCCGGTCCTTCTTCAGTGGTTTATTGTTCCTGAATCTTTTTCATGTATTTCTGTGGAGTCATAACGAATAAGTCGACCTGTGTTTGGCACTGGCCGCGGAATAAATCTGCATGAGTGCATCGACCTGTGGCGTTTGAGATGGTTTTTGTACATGGTTTATATGCATGTTCAGGCTCATCGACCTGTGGCGTTCAAGTTTGAGATGGTTTTTGTACATGGTTTATATATGCGCATGTATAGGCAAAATCGACCTGTGGCGTTTGAGATGGTTTTGAACATGGATGCATGTTTGGGTGATCATTGTTGTGCGTTCCTAATTGGTCCGCTACGGCGGTTGAATCCCTGGGTTATCTGTGCATTTGACAAGTGGTTGGTACCCCTAGTGCAACCCCCACGTGTACAAGCCTATGTGGCCTTCGGGCCGTAATTGTCAGTCTTTATGTAAACCTTCGGGTTTTAATTGCGTGTTGTTTTATCCTGGGCAGGTTCGCAACCCTACTAATAACTGTAGATCCAGGGTCAGACGTGGTCCACCTGCCTGGTCCCCCACTTGTGGTCTTGGGGGGGGGGGAGGGCTATCAAAAATAAGTTGCTTAATTACTTGAGAACTACAACTTGTATTGATTATAGCATGGAGCTATAAAAAGGATAGCTCCATGATTATAGTGGCAGCCACAGTTAATAATATTATGCATCATTTATATGTACATAATATTATGCCAACAAAAATAATTATCCATAATTTGTACACGTGTACAAATGTACAGTACAATTTATGGAAAGTGTTCCACACCTGGACATCACTTGAGTCTTGACACCATGTGCACAATTAAACGCCAAGACTGGTCAGAAAAATGCCATTGTGTTTTCTCAGCAAATGTTTCAGCATTTTCCTAATGATTTGACTTTCTAGGACATGCTATCGCTTGATCAGATTGCTGATAGCTACATTTGTAGGTCACTGCAGAGAAACGTGTGTGATGTCGAATTCGTCCGCAATGATATCCATTGTCATTGTCAACGCAGCGTTTATTGTTGCCTCCCTCCCCCCCCCCCCCTCTCTCTCTCTCCCCCGCCACCGTTCCTTGGGAAACTCAATTAATTACTTAAACCCTTCAGAAACCTCATCTGCAGTAGGCCTAAAGTTAGTTCATATTTGGAGATATACATACATGTAATATTACCAAAACCAATCCACTTGTTGCGGGAAAAGGCTCACAACACAATCAGCACACTTAAAAACTTGCCATCAGAAAACAAAATTGTTCTTGTGAAAGTAGTTTATTTCAGCCTTTATTTTATCATTTAAAATTTTATTTTTATATTTACCGGTTGATTTATAAGTCAATATTTACCATCACGATTAAAAGAAAGAAAAAAATTGGACCCATGAAAATGTTTACGCGGAAATTCAGTACGGTATATAACACGGATGGATCAAAACCTGAATTAGGAATTTTTTTTGCAAAGTTTCCAAATCACACATGACATCATAGGCCTAGGCCTAGGAGAAAACAATTGAAATTGATAACAAAACACAGGAATATATTATAACCTCTAGTTCCTACTTATTTCAACATTCCTGATACCGCGATTAATACTGCTGTGTTCCTTCCTCCATGATTTAATTACATTTAGACTTTCATCAATTGGATGAACAGCACACAAAAGCTTGAAACATGGATAGTTTACCAAACTATACATGTTTGCACTGCAGCTTGTCGTTGTGTTTTTGCTCCATTGTGATACCCATGGAGACCTTTTGCATTCATTGTCAATGAATTAACACAGCGAATTACATCAAAGATTGCTGCTGAATGCAACCGATCTATTCAGACCAATTCACATGAAGTTATGCTCTCTCGCGACATGTATACAACACATTTTATACGAGTGTACTTATCAAAACCATGAAACAAATATCAATGATCGGACACAAACATGAGGTAGAACTATTGACACCTTCAGTTCCATATTCACACATTGTAGTGAACCAGCAACAAACCCAAGATGCAGGATTTAATACATCTTGTATGTATTGAAAGGGTTTAATACAGGACATAAGAAATATAATGTTTTTAATAAATTCAAAACTATGATAAAAATACTACATGTACTACATTTTATTAAATTTTGTGAATAAGTGAAAAATGCATAGTAACATTAATGAAAGTAACTGCCCCTTTCAAATGACAATGAATCAATGATGAACTTCAAAATGAAAACAACAACAAAAGTAGTCGCCATCTTCAATCTTAGAGGCATTTCATTTTAATTCTGTACCGATGAATGCACAAAATAATCCTGTGTATCCTAGCAGAACAAAGGCATAGCCCTCCAAGATGGCTGCTAGGCATAAGGTCAATACTGACTGTCATGCAAATAAATCTAAGAACATCCAACAGTGGGACATTCTGTTGGACATTCTCAAACACACATTTACTTCCTCTTCATGACAAATGAAAAATAATATAAGTATTGAACAGGATAGGAAGGCCGCTAGAGGTGGCAAAACCTTGAAAGCATAGCTTGTATCAGGCATGCCATTACACAAAAACTGACGAATAACTACAGAAAAACAGAAAAACAATTACAGACATGTATACTTCTACATTATGTTATGAAAAGTGACAAATAGGCCTTCATAAGATGGAATGATTCTGTTGGATAAGGCAGGTTTCTTTACCTTCATTATAATTGGATACTATTAGATTCAGAGATGTCATCATAGCTAAATAACTCAGTACGGTTACCGTTACTTTTACATTAAAAAAATGTCAAAATCTGGCAAAATGGATTTAGTATTGGAAGAGCATATACACGTATATGTACCAGCAGAAGAAATAATTCATCATATATTATCAAGTTGATACTTATTCATATAATTTGTGCAAATCTGGCAAAATGGATTTAGTAACAGAAGAAACAATGCATCATATATTATCAAGTTAATACTTATTCATATAATTTGTGCAAATCTGGCAAAATGGATTTAGTATTGGAAGAGCATATACACGTATATGCACAAACAGAAGAAATAATTCATCATATATTATCAAGTTAATACTTATATAATTTGTGCAAATCTGGCGAAATGGATTTAGTATTGGAAGAGCATATACACGTATATGCACTAACAGAAGAAACAATTCATCATATATTATCAAGTTAATACTTATATTCATATAATTTGTGCAAAGGAATGAATTTACATGTATATCTGTATCACATCACATAAAAATTACTCCACATCAATTTAAAAACTCCCTCAGAGGCAACAAAACCAATTTCTCTGAACCTAACTGAATCAATCTAGGGCCTGTTGGGTTTCATTGACCCGAGCCGAAGACTTTTTTGTTGTAGCTGTTGGACTCTTGAGGATTCAGCAGGTCTCATGCTTGATTTAATTATATAAGTTAGATTCAGCAGAGTGCATGTACTGAAAAATTACTGGCAGTCAGGTTATGGGAAAGAACTTGGCAATTTGCATACTTTGTGACGAAATCAAACATTTGATATATTTTTTTTCCAGGACCCAAGCACCCAGACCTAGTACATGTACATTTATTCATCCATTTGTTAATTCACTTTTGTGATGACTTGATGAGCTTGGACCATCTGTCCCTGTCAAGCATAGTGTTGGAAAGAGATGGACCGCTCAGATCAGTTTCCAACTCGATGGATATTTTCAGGGTCATGTTAGGACCGACCTCTATGATGAGGGGCATCAGGATTCCAGAGAAGAACACGACTAGCTGGATCATTATGGCAGAAAACCGTACATTGAATTGAATTTTTCTTTACCTTTACTCCTCCACGATACCCTTGACCTTTACAATATTATTTGTCACAGTATAAACATGTAAACTACTTGCGAGTGCTCGACTACTCGCAAGTAATTTCTGTGCGAATACTTGAGTTGGAAAATTCTCCCCTCGCCCAGGACATCCTGCTAAATTGTAATCGTCAGCATTGGTGTATTATTAGTTATCTTGCGAGCGCGAGTGGAACACGGAATAATGTAGTGCGTCTGTGTCCCACATGCCACGAGGCCGAAGGCCGAGTGGTATGTGGGACACAGACGTACTACATTTTCCGGAATAATGTAGTGCGTCTGTGTCCCACATGCCACGAGGCTGAAGGCCGAGTGGTATGTGGGACACAGACGCACTACATTTTCCGTGTTCCACTCGCGCGAGCGTGATAACGAATTTATCTTCAAGCAAACTTGACGCACAGTAAAGTTGAAACACGCATGCTGTGTAACCTACATGTAAGCGCAACTTTTGAATTCACAGTGAATTGTGCAGCACTAATCGCGTCACGTAGGCTTAGAATAGCACAATACCCGGAGTGCGGTATGGACCGTGGTCGTGCGGTATGGTTATATGTAGCACGGCTTGTTGCCATGGATCGACCAACCAGGATCGAGGAATCAAGTTTGCTTGAAGATAAAGGCCTTTATCATGCTGCCACCATTTCTGTCAAGTTCCGTGTACCCAATAACAGTACTGAATAATAATTGTTTTGTGCAAAAAAGGAACCAGCCTAGTTTTCCTTGCAGCCTTGCTTTGGTTCCATTGATTTGAATGGGAAAAAACCCAAAGCTGTGATGTTTTGTTGTTTCAGAGTTGCACTAAAACAAACCTCATACAGTTAAGGCCAAAAAAAATAATAGTTCTGCTTCCGGTTTCCCTACCTACCCTTCTCTGACAGCCCTACCCTATTTTTTTTATTGTAAATAATGAGAAAAAACACCCAAAACCATCACTTTATACCTTTTACCCTTGACTGCTTGCAGATGCCTCCATATGATTGTACACAAAAAAAATTGGCCAAAAAAAAAAAAATCCCAACCTACCTACCCTATTTTCAAATGCCATGCAATCGGAGGCAGAACTATTTTTTTTGTGGCCTAATGTAATAAAAGTGTGATATTTAACCTAAACTTTAACAGCTCATCTTGTGTCGCATACAGCTTGAATGAAGGCTCATGTCAATGTCACGGTTACTGCGGTAGTGTCAGTGCCAAAAAAGCATCTTTTCTACGCAAGTATTCATCCAGTCTGAGCTTCGAGTACCTAGGCAAGAGGAGCAGAAAAGGTAACAGTTGATGACTTGATTAAAAGGATTGAAAATATTTATGTACTTCTCAAGAAATGGTTGCATCGAACTTATGACCTGGGGCTAATTTCACGGCACTGCTAAGCACACAAAAATTGCTTAGCACAAAAAAAAGGCTGGCTTATAAAAGCAGCTTACCAGCCAAAACTCCACGTGATGTATATTGCTCGTGATTAGTATTCAGCTGCTGTTTGCTTAGTATGAAAATCACATGGAGTTTTGGCTGGTAACCTGCTTTTATAAGCCAGACCTTTTTTGTGCTAAACAAATTGTTGTGCTTAGCAGCGCCGTGAAATTGGGCCCTGACTTCATATTATTCACGTATAGACCTATTTTATTAAACAGGCATTTTTTTTTTAATGCAGCTAAATTGAATGCACAAGAGTCCCTCAGGTAATATCCCTGTGCCATATCAGATAGCTCCAATGCAAAGGATCTATATGAGGTCACAACACCCTATTTAGGCCTTAGTTACACCATCAACTCGCCTACATGGACCAATGTTGGCATCATCACGGGTCTATCGAATTGAAACCAGCGCCCGTGATCGAATACAGGTAGGCAAGAAATACAATTCACACTATTGTATACACAAGTCGGCTGTAGATTTTGGATTTTCTACCTCTTAATCCTAGTGCCAACCACAGTGTAACCGTGGAAGTGTAACCGTGAAGATCGAGCACCAGAGCCATTTTGGATTCTTGTTAGTGTGAAAGGGATTCCCAAATCCTACAAGTTGGGTCCAACATAGCGAGTGACAGTCCCTGATTCTGACAGTGTACAAGTTGATATAATCTATGACAATGTGATAAGATTTGAGGCTTTGCATGGTGGGGTATCAGTATCGTTTCAGTTTGCGGTAACACCATGTGGTAATAACTACTGCTTAGAAGATATTAGTTCTGAAAAGAACTAGTCCTGCTTATTATCAACTTTGCTACATGTTAAAGTAGTTGTTTTGTTCTGATAAGAACAGTCCTACTGAAAGTTCTAAACGAACTTGTCATTGGTCTCAACGTTTCGACTAGCCTGCTCTAGTCATCGTCAGGAGACTGACTGTTCTTATCAGAACAAAACAACTGCTTAGCAAAGTTGATAATAAGCAGGACAAGTTCTTTTCAGAACTAATATCTTCTAAGCAGTAGTTATTACCACATGGTGTTACTGCAAAATGAAACGATATGACAATGTTGTTGTGATTGGCCTCATTCTCAATAACGGGTACAATATATGGAACACAGTGTCCATTCAACCTTGTTCGGTTTACTTTACATGTATTAGAGGTCATATAAACTATGAAATGCTGGCTTGGCCTACTGCAGCCTACTGGATTTTGGCAAACTCAGAAGATTCCTAGTAAAATGCACAGGAGAATGTTATTGAACCTATTACTCCATTTACTGCTCATAAGTGCCCTGCCTGTAGTACTTGTTATACTGCCCAAACCTGTCCCAGCATTCCATAGTTTTATGTAGTAATCAAGGAGTAATTACAGTGTGGTACAGTCATAGAGCTATAGTAATTACTAGAGCGCTAACTCCTCATGCTTTGAAGCCGTTCTGGGTGCAGACATTTTGAATTCATGTGCGTGTTTGTAGAACACAGTGAAATTAGATGGATTGAATTCTAAAAGTGTACTCTTATTGCAACGCGCAAGAAGAACATAAGCAAACACACGGCAAGAGGCATCTGCAGCGGATATGCGCACGGATATGCGCACGGGTTGCGCTGTTTGTACAGAACAAAATGAAATGCTCATTTGCTGATCGTGCATTTCGGTTTTGGTCGTATCAACTTCGGTAACGCACCTACATGAATACAAATGCAGATATTGCAAATAGCTGTACAAAATTTCCAGTTTTCCATAGGTTTAGGCACAAATACGGATGCGCCCAGCAGGCATCACTTTGTACATGAGTCAGCGATCTAATAATTTAATATAGCTGTATGAGCACAATGTACTAAAAGGGATTACGGCTTAAACAAAACAATGAAATCGACAAGAAGATTCCATGCCGAACTGATTTGATGACACTTACTCTAAAAAGTCAAAGTCGATGGTCGAGTGGTGAGACTGCACCAAGGCCCAGATTCCCCAAAACATATGGGATGCCTAGGAAAACAAAATTTGAACATGTTGAAGGAAATAAAAATAAGTGAAGGTTTCATAGTTAACATAGCATGTGAGTGTGGTTGCTAATTTTGAGGAATTCTGTGGACAATCCAATAAAAGATAGAGATTATGCTTAATAGAAGATCCTTTACACAGCAGCCATCTTTGAGGTGCGTGCCTTTGTTCCTGTGGGATTTACATAAGCAGACCTCTTGTGCTTCTAAATTAACAAACACCACCTCAAATTAGGCTGCTGAATGCAAAGGGTCTATCCATGTTGTTAGTAAAAACGTCCGTGCGTGCATTCATGATTAGTAGCACCCATTGGATAAAAACTAAAGTTGCATTAGCTTCAGGTTTGGTTCCAATGCTACTTAACGACCAGTGGGCATGGTTTAAACTGAACTGACTTCCCACTAACAAACCGCATACATGTAGCCCTGTAAGTACTGAGTGCTTGAAATGCAGTACTGAGTGCTTGAAATGTTCATATGATGCAGGTGAATGATTTGTAAGAAGGGGAACTTTGTTTTCTTACCAGTGCAAATTTGTTCACTATGACGTACAAGCTTTCCACATCTCTTTCCGTGACTTTTTTCTCGACGCTGTTAGCCTCGTTTTGAGCTGTCAGGAATTCTTGCAGCCACTTCATCTGAAATTCCTTGTTGGGATAGAGGTTGTAGTCAACCTCCTCCACACCTTCAATAAGAAAACATAGCACAAGTTGACGTGAGTAAACAGTTATTCAACATAATTTCAAAAAAAATGACAGTTTTTAACAATGTGACTTTTTTGTCACATTTGACATTAAAGTTTTTTGACATGCTGACACATTTCCTATTTGGCAAGTCAAATGTGACACTAACACAAGGACATCTTATGAAACAATGGTGAAATAAAAAAATGTTTTTCTCACCAACCATCCAATCCCATCCAGCTGACCCAAGACTATTATTTGCATAACGTAAAATATACCAATTTTCCATTTTCTTTAGCTCCTGCAATAATATGGTCATTTCTGATTCTGTTGCTTCAGCATTTTTGCTTTAGGCACTATCTTTAAATTTTCCATCCTTATATGCTAGCTTGGGTTTTTACACTTTGGGACTGTCGCTAAGGAATGACATCCAAAGTTACATGTAAAACTGAAGATGTGTTTCAGCCCTTGGTTAAATCTGTTAATAACGAAACTTACCAGCAAATTCACAGAAATGATTCCCAATATCATATGCTTGGTAGTTGAAAGCAGCATATTCATAATCTATGAAAGAAATTTTACCTGCAAAAACGAGAAAAGTAATGAAAGAAAGTGGGTCAAGAGCAAGCATCTGGCAGAAATGTGCCATAGTCATCTCTTCATGTAAAATATTATCATTCATGGCAACAACCTGATTCCGATAGTCCAGGGAACCCTAGCGTCTTGCAAGAGTTTCAGGTACACGCACGTTCGCTAGTCTTTCGGCATTTAGTTAGAGACCCATTTCCACTTCAAACATCCTAACGAAAATACCAAGGAATTAAAATTGATCTATATATAAAGTAGACAATTATTTTAACTCTTGAGGTGGCAAGTCAATATTCGGATCAGTATGTAAAATCCTTTAAAACCCTGCTGAAGGGATAGGAAGTGTTTAAGTAACTCTGTCACACAGTAAAAGGTCTCCGTACACACAGTGAGGCGAAATCGCATCCGCCTCCTTGCCTTGAGCTTAATTAAACTATCCATATTGCACAGAAGATTACCTCAAAGGAATTTGAAGTGTGGGTACTACAACTCTATTCCATGGGCAAAAGTGCAAAACTTGAATGGTTGTGAAGTGCAAGACTAGGATCCAGGCATGTGTACATGCAATTATGCAAAAGTTTAACCATGTCGAAATCCAACAGACTTGATCTGGAATGCATTCCAAAACAAGTACTAGAAAGTCAATTCACCTTTCTGCTCATTGAAAATGATGTTGGCAAGGAGGTTATCGTTATGGCAGAATACAATGGGCATTTCTAGACATGTGAGGGCGCTCTTCAAATCACCGACTTCCTTACGGAGCTGATCATGAGATGGCACGGTCTTGATATACCTGAATCATGTGAAAAGACAATGTAAAATGCTTGAAAAGAATTTGAGATACATGTACAGTGAGTTAATAGTGTTGGGCGGTTCCGGCGGGTACTCGGTTCTACCCGGCTCAAAGTCCAAACTGGAATGCTCCAATGAAGCGACCAGGGCGGCAACGAAGCCTGTGCACAGAGTAGTCTTATCGCGGTCGTAAAACACTTGGTCAGTGGGCGCACAGCGGGAGGCCTCCATGCCTTTTTCACTGGTCAGCCAGGGTCGCTAATTGGTCAGTAAATACCCTGTGGCGGCTTGGCGGGCCGTTCAAACTCCTGTTAATTCCTTCCTCCATGGGCCAATCCTTTAAAAAACTGGGTACATGTACAATGTATTTAACAACATACATGTACATTTTGTACCGGTACATGCATACAAATGGAATAACACATATTGCACAATAATACAATGGAGCATGGACTTCACAATGTGACATACTTTACATGTATGTTTTGCAAGTTCAAAGGCTTGTTTTCCTTTAAATTTCCAGGAAGTCGGTTCTGACTTGGAAATGGGGCTTTGGGGGGGGGGGAACTGGAACCAGCTCCAAAACCTCTGGACCTGCCCAACACTACTGTGAGTGACTCTGATAATATTTAAAAATATAAAAAAAATTGAGTTACATGTGTGTTGGGCGCGATCATTGGATTTGTGCTAATAGTAGATCAGGCTGCACTATCGGTCGATCCTGCAAGATGTCGCAGACTTTACTTCTCTTTTTTAAAACAATCCCCAGGAACCATGAAATGAATCGATCACCTGATAACGTAATTGACCGATAGCGTAGATCCACAGTTCGTACTCGACAAGTACATGATGTCTGAATGTGCAACCTTTGGAATACTGTACAGGCACGACAGGCGTTCTGCCAACTGAGCTATCCAGCCCAGCCCTATGTTGGAGGGCACGATCGCCTGATAGCGTATGATCGCCTGATAGCGTATGATGAGGGCACGATCGCCTGATAGCGTAATTGACAGATAGCGTAGATCCACCGTTCGTATTCAACAATTACATGATGTCTGAACGTGCAACCTTTGGAATACTGTACAGGCACGACAGGGGCTCTGCCAACTAAGCTATCCAGCCCTGTGCCGGTGCCGCGGTTTTCCCTTTTGTCACTGCATTTGTTCAAGGGCACAAGTCAAAAGCCATAAACCAGTATAGCCAGGGATCACACTCAAGGTCATGATGTTACTAACTCAATATTGTAAAGCATTCTCTCCACCATGCTTAACATGATATTCAGGATAACCCACAATTTTGTTGATATTGACTACAATGTAAAGAGCAACATCAGACTGACACAACAGACGAGATGCCATCATCCTCTTATTTACACTAACAGCTTCATTCCTAGGCTGGACAATCCCATGCTGGAACAGCTTGCCACACCCAATCCCAGACGTCACCAACTACAGCTTGAAATCTGCAGTGACGAACAATCTTAAGTAAATATCTGCTCCTGTCCAGTAATCAAAGTTCAAAGGTCAAAAACTCTGATGTAAAATATCAAGCATGGGAACAGCAACCAGGGATCACTTGTATGGAATCTTGGAGGTCGCAGGTTCAAATCCCACTCATGTCACTTTCTTTGTTCAACTTTTAAAATTATCAAAATGCACCTAGTCAGGTTCCCTATTTGGTTCAATTGAAGATTTGTTATTTCTTTCTTTGTTAATTTCATGACATTCTCATGTTCTTAAACTCACCTTTGCTGTTTTTCTTCATCCTCAAATTTGTCAGGAACAATTGACAGGTATTTATCCATTAATCGGAAGAGGCACGGAGAAGTCACAGCGCCATCTTGTGGCTTGATGCTGTGCATTTTTATCATCTCCTTGATGATAAGCCTAAAACCAAAATAAATATCAAATGTATGAAAAGTCAGTTTGCATTTATTTTAAGACTAATAAAGTACATCTGAATAAAGCGTAAATAATTTGTAAAAGTGGGTATCCAAATTACAGCCCATGTTCTCTAAAATGGTATCTTGATTACAGAGACTTCCAATTCTCCAAATATAAGGGTATCAAAAAGTCAAAACCGTCTTTCTTGTAAGAACCCTCTTTTGAGTAATGTCCCAATGTGCTCCGTTTAGTAACCCCTAACAGTAAGGAATTGAAAGAGTTAGGGAGACCACTCGACGTGACATTGGAAAGCGTTGCCAACGACGCCTGATTGCTCAACACGAAGATGCTGTGGTTTTGTGCCAATCACAGGGAGCCTCGATTATGCTGTGTACGTAAGGAATTGAAAGAGTTAGGGGAGACCACTCAAAGTAACATTGGAAGGCATTGCCAACAATGCCTGATTGTTTGCTCACCACGAAGACGCTGTGGCTATGTGCCAATCACAGGGCACCTCAATTATTTATGCTGTGTACGACATCCAACAGTCGTTGGGTCAGTCCTCTGTACTGAGTATGCAGAATGTACTACTGACCCCATGGCTCTTGTATATCATACTCGAATACTAGGGTTACCCTTGGGTAAAGTGGCGGGTACGAGCAAACTTGGCAGGGCACATACTTGTAGATTCTCTCTTCCCTGACCGTCTTTGGATCCAGAACGACTCCCGGCAGATACTCATAGCACAGACCGTTGTTGCATCGAGCATACAGCTTAGATCCGCAACCTGCTTGGTGAAGAAGTACAAACGTCCTGATCTCAGCCTCCCGGTCGATGAGGAGCTCCGTCTTCTTGCCATAGATCCGGACCAAGACCATGTCTGACTTATCTTTTGGAAGGTAGCCACCTATGAGTTTGTTGGAGATGCCTGCCGTAAAAACCTGCAAAAAGAAGTTCATCGAGATAAGGCCAAAAAAAATAAGTCTCCGGTTTCTGGTATGGAGCTTGTCCAAAAAGTGGTGCGGCGACGCGGCTTTTTTTTTTTTTTACCCGACTTTTTTGCTTCAAATGTCGGCTGATGACTGCAAATGGTGCCCGACTAAACTAGTGCAAATATATGGGAGTCCAGAGAGGCCACATAAAGCTTATTCTCGATCATAACCCCATCTAAAAACATGTTAAAATTGTGCAGTAGCAGGATTCCAGTCAAACCAGTGAGTTTGGCGGTTTTGAGACATCATCTTTCATTGAAAAAAACTTTTTCATTTTGCCGACGCGCATGGCTACGGCGACACGCGCGCATACCAGAAACCGGAGACTTTTTTTTTTTGGCCTAAGAAAAGTTCTATAATACTTTTCTACTTCTACTTTCTATATTTTGTTTAATAGAAATCCATTGGGGAACCCAAAGCACATACAGAACCAAGTAGAATGCGACAATAGTCAATCTAACTTAAAGTAAAGGCAGTGGATATTTTGCCGGAGACGGCAAACCTTTAGTAAACGTTAGTTTGCCGGATATGCACTGAACATGCACAGTTACTGTTTTTTTTCACTTAAACATTTTCCGGTAACAAATTTTATTCTGGCTCCATGCCAATATTATCGTTGTAACTTCATATTCACAAGATGGGAATCAGACCATTTTATAATTTCGGACTTTATTTCCCTTTAAAATAAATCCTCCAGAGCCACAAATCTGAAAAAGTAAATGTAATACTCTGCAATAAAATGTTTGAGACATGTTAAAATAATAAAAGAAGAATATTCTTATTTATTTGGGGATGGGAAAAAAAACCTTAGAAATGTGGCGGGGATCGGGATCGAACCCAGGTCATTCAGCTCACAAGAGTTGTTGCTTAACCACTACATCAGATGTGCTACACAACTTTTGGTAGGAATTATGTATCTTATAATTCAGCCCTATTTTAAAGAGTACAGCGCCCTCTGTTGATATGGATTGCCACCGGCAAACCTTAAGTAAACGTTAGTTTGCCGGCATTACCTCCGGCAAAATATCTACCTAAAGTGAACAAAGACACTTGCAAAACTTTGATAGCCATCAAGATTTGCCATCTGCAAAAAAATATTCACCGATCAAGCTGATCATTGGATTGTATAATAAACTTTAATTTATAAAACTTTTATTAAACTACATAGGCCTAGGCCTACAAATGTACATCATGCAGAACATGTGAAACATCTTGTTGCTTAATTGCTGTTTAAAATAATGTTGGAAATTGTCCACACATCCTGCAGATTTCTCTAACATACATGTCTAGGCCTAGGGCTAGACTAAAGGCCCCATTTCTGTTTTGCAGATTTGTGTCATTTATTTTCCCTACTGGATATCTTCTGAAGTTCTGCTGGGGTTAAGCGTGCTTTTGTTGTGCTAAGCTTACACTGCTTAACGGTCCCTGTGAAATAGATGAATGCTCGGTTAGCACAAAGTCGGCTGTTTTAAGCAGCGCTGATGAAATCGGGCCCTAGCTGGGGCTTGCTACTGCTACATCAGTACATGTAGGATGGAACGCCGTATTATTGCGGTACTTATCACGTTTCTCGTTCGGAAATAGAGATTGCCCACTAACCTTCCAGAATTGTCCTGTCTTATGTGTAATATAACTCTTCCTTTTTAAATTAATATAAAAAAATCTGACGGGTGGTGTGGTTTATTCCGTGTACGATGCCTGTGAAAATAGACATGTGCGGCGTGTGCGAACGGAGGTGGACTCCCTATTATCGCGGTATGCGGGAAGTGGTTTTTATAATGATCCCAACTTTTTTTGTTCATCATGTTCATAGTTTATCTTTGACCAAAACACCCCCTGAATAAATTCTGATATTTTCCCTGTAACGTTCAAGTTGATTAAAGACAAAATGTCTGCAGGATGATTTCTTAAGACCCTGCCCTTCCCCCGAAAGGAGAACACAAATCCCTGAGGCAAGTCTACTGATCGGCGATTGAGGGCGCCATTCACTTTACACAGTGTGCCGTTTTATTTTCGCGGTGCTTATTTTGATCCCGTAAAAGTTGTTACGATTTCGCGCTGCAAATATCGTCGTTCGACTTCATTTTAGGCGAAGTAAAAAAAAAAACATGTTTAGCGTCCCCGCCCGCTTCCTTTTTAGAGGCCGCCTCCTTTTTTTTTTTTTTTTTTTTTTTTTTTTAAAGACAAAAATTGATAAATTTTAACGATCTCTGCGCAGAAGAGATGTTCGGTTCTGCATAGTTACATCATTTTGGTCTCATTTTCTGTTGCATCTTGCCCATAAGAAGCCAATATGTCATTTCCTGAGTCCAAGTGGCGGCCATTTTGAAAAAAGCTGGTAACCATCTTGAAAAATAGCCCGGCCGCGTTGTCTTGAAAAATGTGTCGGGCGGCCATTTTGAAAAAAAAAAAAAAAAAAAAAAAAGGGCCTCCTCCTTCCTTTTTGTCAAAGAGGCAGGACGCTAAACATGTTTTTTTTTTATTTCGCCTTACATTTGCAGCTGAAGAATGGGAACCAGACAATGGAACTTTCATGGACAGAGCGCAATTAAAGATTTATGTTAAAATATAACGAAGTGGCTATCGTTACGGCACTCGTTGTTTAGCGCCCTCTACGATATTTTTTTGATACGCACGCAGGTATATAATTATTTGTTTCCCCACGTTTTATCGAGCAGTGCGCCAGCTCAGCCGATAGAGGGTAGGATTTTGCACCGCGAGGTTGCGGGTTCGAATCTCAGTTTTGCACTCAAATTTTTTTCCTTTTCTAACCTGAGGCTTTGGAGGATTTTTTTTAAAAGGGAAATAAAGTCCGAATTTCATAAAGTTCAAATTCACTTTTTTCCTTCTAATTTTATATTTTCTTGTCATGTTTTTTTATAAAAGTTGCCAGGTTGCAGTCTACCGTAACGATAGAAAATGGGAAATGCGTTACGGCTGCCGTAACAATAGCCACTGCGAAAATATAAACGGTACCTTTTATTTAGCAGACACGGTGAGGGAAAATTTTGCAAGTTTTGGAAAACGTTAATAATATTTATTAAAATCGTTTAAAGTCCCGAAAGAAACAACATTTTTTAATCGTCCTTTTTATACATGACTGGTGAACTGGATAGAAATCGCCACTTGAAGGAGTTTTGACACTGTAAAAAGAGAAATTTCCCATGCCGCGATAATAGGGAGTCCGACTATACATGTACATGTAGTTGCTACATACAGACATAGTACAGACTACAGTACAAAAACAGGCCTAGTTACCTTGAACTTTATCTCTTCCTGGTTCCATTCTGGCCGCACCAAACTCAGCAACTTCAGCGCCCCTTCTTCTAAATTATTCTCATCTAGTGTCAGATCAACTCGCAACACACACTCATTTGACATTTTGTTAAATGTCGCAGGTTAAAAAAAGGCCAATTTATTACAAACACGAATGTCATGGACGTGGTACGTGCCGCAAGGGTGACCGTAAGGTCATGACCAAATTCTGCTAAATGCACTTCAAAAATCTGTCAATTTTATCAAAAATCTGCCAAATTCCCCAGAATTATTCGAAATACAGTATAAACACTTTAAATCACATGAAGATTTGTGATATTGCCTTAATTAAGTCTAAAATACCGTATTATAAACAATCTATAGTCACATAAAGATGTTAAGAAATTATATTGCGTAAATTTCAGGCAAAACATGGTTGCGCGTCACGACGAAGTCCGATTCCCAGTGAACCTCAAACAATTTCTGTCAAATTTTCTGTCAACTCATACTCTTTTTTAACAACCACAAAAATCAAAGTTAGCCGAAAATCGGCTAAAACGGTCACCGTGGTGCCGCAGCACTTCTGTCATCCGTGTTCACTGTTCACCGAACTTGACGTCTGGGAACAAGCCCGTTGATCACGATTGTCAAACATCGGTTTCGTCTGCAGCGGTGGCTCTCGCTCCACCATCTGAGCTCAGTAATAATTTCCCAATGAAGTGGACACACGCTAAATTTTTGCCATCGGTCAAGTTTTCGAAAATAGCATACATTGTTCATCACAGATTCATTTTTGAGCCGGAGTAATCGTTCAAAGTCTGGGTCCCAATTTGTAATCTTAAACCAAGCTGATGTTTCGAAAATTGCTCTACGTAAGCACCCGCAAAACTTCGCGCACTAACTTTGACCGAATAGGATCACGCGGGTTTTTCGTCGGAATATAAACCCGCGCTTTGTTCGGGCACTCCGATCCTCGCGTACTTTTAAATTTGGAACTTTTCCAACTGCACCACTTTTCATAAACCACTGTCAATCTTGGACGATTCTACAGTCTTTGGTAGCAAAACAATGTAGCTAACCAAATTCTACAAAAGGCCTACATCAATGAAGTCATCATAAGACAATCAGATTCAAAATTATGACCCGGCCGTCCAATGACTGTGGATTTTTGGTGGGGATGTTCAGATTGATTCTGTTAGGCAGGCTTCATACCTGGTATGGGTTATTACTAGAGTTTCAGTGAGGTGAGTGATAACTAAATAATGCAGTTAGGGTTACGGTCATGTTACTTTTTTTATGGAAGTGTCCATCAAATCTGGCTAAATGTATTTTGTATTGGAAGAGCATAATGAACCAACAGGAGCAACAATTTATCGTAAATAATAAACAGAATGAATATTTAATACATTGTGCGCCAAGGAATGACATTATAATCGTGACAAGTCATGTACAGTATGTACCCGTACATCTCATAAAAAAAAACAATCAACATACATATATCATGTAGACCTAGATCACTTAAAAAACTAGTAGAAGCATTAAAACTGTTTGCTCTACATATACCCTCCTGAATAAATCTAGGGCCTACAAGAGTGTTATTGGGTTTCGTTGGTCTAAAAGGAAGAATTTCTGCGGTAGCTGTTCGATTCTGTACGATTCAGCATGCTCCAAAAAATCTTAGATTTAGCAGAATGCATGTACTGCAAACTTACTGGCAGCCAGGTATGAAAGAAATTGGCAATTTGCATAGTATGTGACAAAATTCAAAATGATGCTTTCTTTCAGGACCCAAGCACCCAGACCTAGGTACAAGGAATTTAATTTTTCTACAACCCTTACTCCTCCACTAGTGATACTCCAGACCTTTAAAAGGTCAACCACGGTAAACATGTAAACTACTTGCGAGTACTCAACTTTTCTTGAGTAATTTCTGTGCAGTGCTCGAGTTGGAAAATTCACTAACTCGCCCAGGACAATCTGCTGTTTTGTATCTCATACCAGTGTACATGTATCAGGTGCACACAGAAATTTTTAGACAATTCATATGGTAAACCAAAGCTGTGATGTTTTGTTGTTTCAGAGTTGCAGTAAAATAAACCTCATAGGGTTAATATAATCTTCTTCTTGCTTATGGCATGCACAGACTACAGTTGTAGGCCAAGGGTAGACATCCAGGCCAGGGCATCATCGGTCACGGTGTAGATGGCTTCGATGCCGCCAGGGAAATGCCTCAGTGGGCAGTCATTCACGATGTGCTGGATGGTCTGGTCTGGATGTCCACAGTCAAAGCAGGGCTCTTCCATGACATCCCCCATTTTTATGCAGATGATGGGCGTTTTTTGCATGGAGGGTGCAGATTTTGTTCAGGGTTAGACACTGCTTGTGGATGTCAAATCCGGGTGGTTTTAGTTTGGGATCTGTGATGATCTAGAGCTCCATTGTTGGTGTTCACATCTGCCAAGAGTCCGCGCCACTACGCAGGGTCAAAGTCATCCAGGAATTTGACTGAAGACCAGAAGGGCTTGCGGGACTTCAGGCGCATGTTGAGCAGGTTTTCCAAATCAGCATGGATGGGAAGGTCAGGGTTAGCCTCGATGGTGCACGAATCCTTCAACATCTTCTGCGTATGTTGGGATGGCAATATAACGAAACCTTGATATTCAACCTTGTTCTTTCTTTAATTTGACAAGAGCTCTCTTTGTGTCGTATACAGTTTGACAATGTTTGAATGAAGGCTAACCCAGAAAAGTGTCCGCCTATACACCCCGAGGGCAGTTGCTACTAAAAAAGTCAAGTTGCCATTGTTACTTTGGTAGTGTCAGTGCCAAAAAAGCATCTTTTCTACGCAAGTATTCATCCAGTCGGAGCTTCGAGTACCTAGGCAAGAGGAGCACAAAAAGGTAAAAGTTGATGATTTGATTAAAAATGATTGACATTATTTGTGATGCGATCAAGCTTAGCTACCGGTAAATGAGTCATCTGTCAACCCTGGTCATTTTTTTGGTGTACAGATTTAAAAAGAGTACAATCTCAGGGGGCCGTATCATAGCTTCGACGCCTCATAGGTCGAAGGCCTCATAAGTCCGAAATTTCGGACCTATGAGGCGTCAGACTTATGAGGCATAACATTTATTTACTTCGCCTCATACATGTAGGTCAGACGCCTCATAAGTCCAACGCCTTATAAGTCCGACGTCGGAAAAACGAGGCGGTTAATTTGTCGGGCCTACAAGGCGTCGGAGCTATGAGGCATCAGACCTATGAGGCTTCCGACTTATGGGCCTTCATTTGGTTAGGGGATGCGATTTTGTCAGACTGATGAGGCGTCTGACTTATGAGCAGACCCCAATCTCAGCATCATACTGATGTGAAAACTGCATGCTGATACCATCTTTTGTTCAAGAATTATGGAAGTCAGAACACCTAGAGATGTGATGAAGTCTCCAAATGAAAATTCCTGACAAACGACTCATTTGGCCTGATCCCATCACATTTGCTTTGCACATTCAGCAGCCACCTTCGATTTTTTCATTTTTTTTTTTTTTTTTATTCAGATATATATACTGAATGCTCTAGATTCTACAGGTGTTCTTAGGTATCCTTTGCCATAAGCATGTATCTCAAAGCTGGCTGCAATGCAAAGGATCTACATGAGCACGACATCCTCTTCAGGCCTTAGACTTCAACTTGCCCAATTGTGGACACCATTAAAGACCCAATGCAAGGGAACAGGGTCCCATGATCGAACACAGGTGGGCAAGACATATAATTCACACTAATAAACTATACAGTATGTCCCGAAAAGTGTCCGCCTAAATATTTTGGAAAATAACAAAACAACTTAGTAAATTTCGAAAATGTTTAATAGTGCAGATACTCCTGAGCATTTGCCTCAACCCCTGCGACTTTTATTTAGGTTCCTTCACACCTCACTGCACAATGGTCATCTGATCACAACAATATTGTCTGGACACTGTGAACAAGTTCTTTGCCTTAATCAATTTCAGTGTATTGTTATGCAAGCTGTGTACAATCCTTCAGCGGTTGGGGATATGAATCATTTGCCTCAGGCTAACAGTCATCATTTGCACCTGCGCACTAAACTGAGGTTACATTATGAGAGGTAATACATTGTTTTACTATGAAATGCTGGCTCACTCTCTAAATTCTAAAGAGTGAAAATTCACTCCATTTGAGCGAAGATTCACTCCCACAGTCGGAACCTAGGGACTAGATGTTTTAGAGTGAAATTCCTTCAATCGTTAAGATTGAGTTTTCACTCGAGCTTCAACTGAAGTGGTTCTTTTTTCAGACTATTTCAATCAAAATGAGAGTGATTTTCACTCTTAAACATCTAGTCCCTAAGTTTACTCTTTGGAATTTAGAGAGCACTTTACTGCAGCCTGTTGGATTTTGGCAAAATCAGAAGATTCCTAGTAAACTGCCTAGGAGAATGGTATTTAAGCTGTTACCCCCTCTACTGCTCCAAAGTGCCCTGCCTGTAATACTTGTTATACTGCCCAATACTGCTCCAGCACTCTATGGTTTTATGTATGAAAGGAAACATGCAGTTGAAATTCAGCTCATCTTGTTTTCATGCACATTACTATGTATTGCGACAATACATACAAGATCTTATTTTCATTGGAAGTGACAAGAAAGTGGTTATTTTTCAATTAAAGGGCGCTATTTTGCATGTCACACAAGGTCATCTTTGTCAAAAGTACAAAAATTAGTCCTTCAATTTCAAAATAACCCACAAAAAAAGTTTTGAAGAAATATCGGTCACTTCTATCGTCCAAACAAGCTGTTTAACATGATAAACAAGTAAAAAGTGGAACTTACTCCAAGAAAATAAAGACAGTTTGATGTATTTCTACCCAAATCTATAGAGAAACTATACTGTTCTGCCTTGAGTGACATCACTCTTTGCAATTGGCTCACAAATCTGGACATTTTCATTAGCATACAAACTAAAATGTTGAAATGTCTCCTTTTTACTGCTACAAAGGCATGAAAGGAGGTGGAAAGTCATAGTACCGGTAACATGGCAAGAAAGCTGCTTTATATATGTATTAATAAGTCATTTATAACATTTCTATTGCATGTTTCCTTTAATACAGGAATAATTACAGTGTGGTGCAATGTACTAAATGGGCTTACAGCTCAATACAAAAAAGACACTTTACTCTAAATGCTTTTGACAGAACACTTACTCTAAAAAGTCAAAGTCGACGGTCGGATGGTGAGACTGCATCAAGGCATAGATTCCCCAAAACATATGGGATGCCTAGTAAAACAAAATTTGAAGGAATACAAATAAGTGAACTTTCATTGTTTGCACAGCATGCAAGTGTGATAGCTAATTTTGAGGAATTCTGAGGACAATGTAATTAAAGATAGAGATCATGCTTCATAGATCCTTTACACAGCAGCCATCTTTGATGTGCATGCCTTTATTCCAGTGGGATACATAAGCAGGCCACTTGTGCTTTCACCATGTTCGCCATTATTGAATTAGAATAAAAAGAGCACCTCAAATGTGGCTGCTGAATGCAAAGGGTCTATAGCCCTGTCAGTACTGAGCAGTGTTGTAGGACTCGAGTCCAGGACTTGGACTCGAGTCGGACTCGAGTCAGATTTTCCGTGACTCGGACTCGACTCGAGTCACATTGGAAAATGACACGGACTCGGACTCAACCATGATGACTAAGACACAGGCTTGGTGACTCATGACTCGATTCAAGTGTTTTCATCAAAAGAAAAAAACACAACGTAGGGATGGGAAAGGATCATTGAGGAATAATGTTTGTATGATAAAACATGGAGGGACGGGATGGAGAAGGTTTTTTAGGAATGGGAATTAAATGGAAAAAACATTTTGGGTCTAAACAACATGGAGTGGTACACACACAATGTAAACTATATACTCTGGGATTTACTTAAAAGACAGAATGGATGATTGAAAAATAATCTAAAAAAATGATTTAATAGTTTGGTGAACAACTAAGAACAAGGGACTTGTGACTGGGACTCGGACTCGAGGTTTGTGACTCGAGGCTCGGACTCGCTGTTGGTGACTCGACTACAACACTGGTACTGAGTGCTTGAAATGTTGTTACAATGAGGTGAATGATTTTACAGAAGGTGAACTTTTTCCTTACCAGTGCAAATTTGTTCACTTTGACATACAGGGTTTCCACATCTCTTTCCGTGACCTCTTCCTCGACGCCATTAGCCGTATTTTGAGCTGTCAGGAATTCTCGCAGCCACTTCATCTGAAATCCCTTCTTGGGATAGAGGTTGTAGTCAACCTCCTCCACACCTTCAGGAAGAGAATATAGGACAAGATGACGTGAGTAATGAACAGTTCTCTAACAGCATTCTGAAAATTTTACCTTTTTTTGTTGTTGAAAGTTTGACATTTTTGACAAATTTTACCATTTTTACCCCTCAGCCGAGAGGCTCGAGGGGTATTGTCATCGCCTAGGGCGTCCGTCCGTCCGGATGTGTGTGTGTCCGTTCTGACCAGACCACCCTTGTGGGGTGATGTTCCTTTCAGAACACATCACCCCACTTTTTACACAATGGAAAAACATCACCCCAGAAGGGAATCTTTAGAAAAAGGGATAATGGGAACACAATGCTATCACCCCACAAGTCCGTCTGGCTAGAACGGCCGTCCGTCCGTCCGGGCAGCTTATTTTCCGGATGATAACTTGAGTTAGAAATGTTGTTTGGGGTTGTAACTTCGGTAGGGGGTTGCCCTTGGGAGTAGGCAAGTTGGGATTGGTTTTGAGGTCAAAAGGTCAAAGGTCAAGGTCACCGTGGTGAGTTAAATGTAAATGGTTTCCGGATGATAACTTTAGTTAGAAATGAGATTTTGGTGTCTAACTTTGGTAGAGGGTTGCCCTTGGGAGTAGGCAAGTTGGGATTGGTTTTGGGGTCAAAAGGTCAAAGGTCAAGGTCACCATGGTGAGTTAAAGGTAAATGGTTTCCGGATGATAACTTGAGTTAGAAATGAGATTTTGGTGTCTAACTTTGGTAGAGGGTTGCCCTTGGGAGAAGGCAAGTTGGGATTGGTTTTGGGGTCAAAAGGTCAAAGGTCAACATGGTGAGATAAAGGTAAATGGTTTCCGGATGATAACTTGAGTTAGAAATGAGATTTTGGTGTCTAACTTTGATAGGGGGTTGCCCTTGGGAGTAGGCAAGTTGGGATTGGTTTTGGGGTCAAAAGGTCAAAGGTCAAGGTCACCGTGGTGAGTTAAATGTAAATGGTTTCTGGATGATAACTTGAGTTAGAAATGCGATTTTGGTGTCTAACTTTGGTAGAGGGTTGCCCTTGGGAGTAGGCAAGTTGGGATTGGTTTTGGGGTCAAAAGGTCAAAGGTCAAGGTCACCGTGGTGAGTTAAATGTAAATGGTTTCTGGATGATAACTTGAGTTAGAAATGCGATTTTGGTGTCTAACTTTGGTAGAGGGTTGCCCTTGGGAGTAGGCAAGTTGGGATTGGTTTTGGGGTCAAAAGGTCAAAGGTCAAGGTCACCATTGTGAGTTAAAGGTAAATGGTTTCCGGATGATAACTTGAGTTAGAAATGCGATTTTGGTGTCTAACTTTGGAAGAGGGTTCCCCTTGGGAGAAGGCAAGTTGGGATTGGTTTTGGGGTCAAAAGGTCAAAGGTCAAGGTCAGCATGGTGAGTTAAAGGTAAATGGTTTCCGGATGATAACTTGAGTTAGAAATGAGATTTTGGTGTCTGACTGAGGTAGAGGTTTGCCCTTGGGTACAGGCAAGTTGGGATTGGTTTGGGGGTCAAAAGGTCAAAGGTCAAGGTCACCGTGGTGAGTTCAATGTAAATGGTTCCGAATGATAACTTGAGTTAGAAATGAAATGTTGGTGTCTAACTTCAGTAGGGGGTTTCCCATTGGTACAGGCATGTTGGGACTGGTTCTGGGGTCAAAGGCCAAAGGTCAAGGTCACCACGTTGTGTTAAAGGTTAATGGTTTCCGGATGATAACTTGACTCTGGCTGAGGGGTTTCAACAGCAACGCTGTTATTTTTTTTTTTAATTTGACACATTTTTGGGGTCAAATTTAGCATTGGAATTTTTTGACAACAAAAATATGACATGAACCCAACCCAAGTATACTTTATGCAACAAATGTGAAATGGTCATTGTTTTCTGTCACCTTTCTACCCAACCAATTATCTATTACTGACCAATGTTTATTGTTTACATAGTATAAATACTTTGCTGAATTTTCATTTTCCTTTGCCCCTGACAACACACCAACATATTTTTGTAAATCTTGATGCATTGCTTCACCCCTTTTTGGTTTTATGGATTGACTGCAGTGCCTCAACCTCCTGCCCGCCCCCTCCACCCCCCCCCCCCCCCCGAAAAAAAGGGGGAAAAGAAGGAAAAAAGTGAATCTATCTTTACATTTTCCAGGCTTTTTTTATGCCGTTGTGCATCACTCTGGACCTGTTACAATACAGAAATGAAATCCAAACTTTAAACTGAAGAAGATGTGTTTCAGCCCTTGGTTAAACCTTTGGTTAGCCAAACTTACCTGCAAATTCACAGAAATGATTCGCAATGTCAAAGGCTTGGTAGTTGAAAGCAGCATATTCATAATCTATAAAAGAAACTTTACCTGTAAAATTGAGAAAAGCAATGACAGAAAGTGGGTTAAAAAGCCAAAATCTGGCAGAAATGTGCCATAGTTGTCATATCTCTTCCTGCAAATTGTTATCATTCAGCACAACAACCAGATCTGGATAGTCCAAGGAAGCATCTTGCAAGAGTTTCAGATTTTACACTAGTTGGCTGGTAAAGGTAGATGCCCATTTCCACTTTAAAAAAATGGCAAGGTGTTCTTTAAATACAATACATCTATACATAAATGCTTAATATTTTACTAAAAACAGGTAGACAGTTATTTTGACCCTCCTAGTGGGAAGTCAATATTCAGAGCAATATGTAAAATCATTTAAAACCCTGCAGATCAGTTCTGGGTGAAGGGATAGGAAGTGTTCAAGTGACTCTGTCAAACAGTACAGATGGTCACTGCACACACAACAGCACTGTGGAGAGCAGTGAAGTGCGATCGAATCTCCCAACGTGTACTTGCCCTGAGCTTAATTAGGCACACACACTTATTGTGCAGGGATTGTTCATACATGTATTGGTCACAAAAGATTACCTCAAATGAATTTGAAGCGTGGGTTCTCACTGTACATGTATGGGCAAAAGTGGTTTTGCAAAACTGGAAGGCGGGTTGTGAAGTGCACAGAAGACTAGGAGGGTTAATCATACATACATGTATATGAAATTGTGCAAAAGTTTCACCGTGTCAAAATCCAACAGACTTGATCTGGCATGCAATTTAAAACAAGTACTATTAAAGTATCGAAAGTTCATTCACCTTTCTGCTCATTGAAAATGATGTTGGCAAGGAGGTTATCGTTATGGCAGAATACAATGGGCATTTCTAGACATGTGAGGGCGCTCTTCAAATCACTGACTTCCTTACGCAGCTGATCGTGAGATGGCATTGTCCTCATATACCTGAATCATGTGAAAAGACAATGTAATTGCCTGAAAAGAATTCTAAAAACATGCAGTGAGTTAGTGTCAGGCGGTTCCGGTGGGTACTCGTGCAGCTCTACCCGGCTCCACAGAACCGGAACTGCGAGTACATGGGTACATGATTATATGTACCGGTACATGTATAAAAACAAGTCAGGTGTGTTTACAAACACAAATGCCCCGCAACCGTGACTGTTTCCATGACATAACACCACTCTAACATCAACTTACATGTACCTTGGTCAAATGGAACGTTCATTGACAGCATTAGTGTCTTCTGTAGGTTTTATATGAATTAATCCCTAATCCCTATGATCTCAGAATAAATACAACATTTCTATTGTTTTAGCCACTGTGACCTTGACCCTTGACCTTTCGACCCCCAATGCGATAGGCTCCTTAGGATTGCCAAGGACAATCCACAAACAAATTTGAAGTTCATATGTACATGTAACGTATATCTCAAGTTATCATGCTGACAAAATTTCTTTTGTTTTTGCCACTGTGACCTTGACCCTTGACCTTTTGGCCCCAAACGCAAAAGACTTCTTAGGATTGCCAAGGACAATTTCCACAAACCAAATTTGAAGTTCATATGTAAAGTATTTCTCAAGTTATCGCGCTGACAAAATTTCTATTGTTTCAGCCACTGTGACCTTGACCCTTGACCTTTCGGCCCCAAATGCAAAAGGCTTCTTAGGATTACCAAGGACGATCCACAAACCAAATTTGAAGTTCATATGTTAAGTATTTCTCAAGTTATCATGCTGACAAAATTTCTATTGTTTCAGCCACTGTGACCTTGACCCTTGACCTTTCGGCCCCAAATGCAAAAGGCTTCTTAGGATTGCCAAGGACAATCCACAAACCAAATTTGAAGTTCATATGTTAAGTATTTCTCAAGTTATCGCGCTGACAAGATTTGTCTGGACACACACACCCACACACCCACCCACCCACCCACACACCCACCCACCCACCCACGGAAGGACAAGGCGGAAACAGTATGCCCCTTCGGCTTCGCCGCGGGGCATACAGGTCCATACAATGGAATAACATTTACACGCCGAAAATACCATGGAGTATGGACTTCACAATGTGTCATACTTTACGTTTTACATGCAATTTCAAGGCCTTATGTTATTCTTTGAATGTCCCTGGAGCCGGTTCTGACTCGGAACTTTTCTTAACTAGAACTGGCTCCAAAAACTCTGGACCTGCCCAATACTACTGTGAGTGTGAGTGACAGGTTTTAAATTGGATCAAATCCAAACTCTGAAGGTATTACTGTTTTAATCTGAAATTTGAAAAAAGAAATCGAGTCACATATATGTTGAGCGCATTTGGTGGATCTGCGTTAACATGGTTAACGGTCGATCCTGCAAGATATCTCAAACTTTACTTACCTTTTTCAAAACGTGTGTGCTTTCCTATGGTGCTCAGTGGACCGTGGGCCCCCACTGGCTCCATAGGAAATTGCGCATGTAAACAAAGTGTGACGTCATTAATACAGAGGCTTTTTGATCATGCTAATGTGTGCGTGATTGAAGATGATATGGCAAGATTGACCAATAGCGTAGTGCGATCTTTCAATCGCGTAGATCCACCGACTGCATCCAACAAGTACATGTATCTGTGTGTGCTAATTTCAAGAAATTGTAATGTTTTTTATAAACTCACCTTTGCTGTTTTTCTTCATCCTCAAATTTTTCAGGAAGAATGGACAGCCATTCATCAATTAATCGGAAGAGGCACGGAGAAGTCACAGCGCCATCTTGTGCTTTGATGCTGTGCATTTTTATCATCTCCTTGATGACAAGCCTAGTTAAAAGAATAATAATATTAAATGTATTTTTTAAAAGTCAGTTAATATAACTGTCTAATCCCATATCATCCAGTCCCGGGTCAATTCACCAGCTACTTCTGACTGTGCTCCTGACTTGACTTGTGATATACTTGTGATTCATCCTTTAGTAACTACAACACTGCCTTGAGTATGTATACGGAGGGTTTTAGACCGAATATTTGAATATTTGAACATCAATCAAATATTAACACCTATTTCCCAACAGCTAGGCTTTCTCTGGCCACCCTGCCAAATGCAACAAAAAGGCAACTTGGCTGAAATAAGAATGCAACAAATTTGCAAAAGTGGATTTGCATTTTCCCTGCTAAATGCAACCATATGCAACAGTGGATTCTTTTGTATCACCTAGGCACTATATGAGCAGTGACCCTGCAATAGGCAATAAGATGAAACAGTGCACAGGGACTTTATGAGTTGCCTGCTAAGTGCAACGATATGCAACAACTTTTTACCCACCTTTGTTCCTTTATGTTGCATTTACCGGTAGCAGAGTTAGCTGCTAACTTACTGCTACTGTGAATATTTGAATATTTAACATTTTATCCCAACTAGTTGTGACTACTTAAATTCCCTAGTTGCCCATGCCCACTACTGAGCTGGAATCCCCAACGGCCAGGAAGATCATGCATACAGGTAGCCTGAAGCCAACCCAGCTTAACAGCCAAGGTACATGTATGGGACATTGATAAACTACCAAAATGAAATTGATGGGGCTCCACGGCTTCATTTATACCTATTGGACCTCTCCACGGGTGCTGGTGACCTGTAATAGGGTTGTGCATTTACGGGTAGCACGGGAACCGGGTACCCGATTGAAAAAAAAAAAAAGACGGTTACCCAGGAACCTGATTGAAAAAAAAACACGGGTACCCAGGTACCCATGAAAGAAACCCTACCCAAAATTTTGGAAGTGGCTGTTTAGGTTGTTCATAAAGGTCTGCCACATCGATGCGCTAATACAGCAAGATACAAGTGTGTGCAGTGAGCTTTACAACTTCATGGTGTAAACTACAACTTTCACGAGCATCATAAATGCGAAATATATATGTTTTGTTTTCCCATGTAGCCTGGTTTTCATTTGTGACATCCTACACTAATGATATATGTAATACTTCTTTTGTTATTGTCTGGTAAGTTATTAAGTAATTTGCAAAATTGGTTGTGGGTACCCAATTCCATAATCTGGAACCGGTTCCTGACATGAACAGTTGGGTGCTCGGCAACCTCGTACCCAGGGTGTCGAGCAGTACGCGCCCACCACTACCTGCTCTCTCACCCTGGTATTGGATCATTTGCATGTGCAAGATTTTTGCACACGTATGCAAATGAGGAACAGTCTGGTGCCTGGATATGCGTTACACATTAGTGTTCGTTTTTGTATGCGGTGTCTGGGGTAAAAACAGTCAATTCGTAGCAGCGCGAGCACGGCGTGAGTTACGAAAACACGATTTTTGAAATCAAACTGTTACGATCTTATCGAGACAACATGCAGTATCATATTTCATATTAATATGAGCAAATTGGAAAGGAAACTAGTATTTTCGAGAAGGCGTGGACGAATGATCGCGAAAACACGTACTGCACGTTGTGAATATATAGCACCAAGTACACGATAAAAATCCATTACTAGCCAATTGCGGTATCCAATCAGGATACAGGAAGAAAGTTTCCTATCCAGGGTTTACTATTGGAAACGCGGTTGGAAATAAAGTAAGCACTGGGGACGAGGTTGGGTGCTCGGGTACCCTGTTCAGATGCACAGCCCTAACCTGTATTTTCTTTGTGCTCTCATGCATTGGAAGGATATTAATCTTACTCTTCACAAGTTCACCATATTACCTGGGGGCACTGAGGCAATTGGTTTCTCATGGTGGTCTTCGGCTTCACCTGATGCATGTTTTCCCTACAATTCTTGCGAAAAGGATTAGTAATCACCAGTACCCTTGGATTTAGTGGTGGGTACAGGCGAAGATGGCAAGGCACATACTTGTAGATTCTCTCTTCCCTGACCGTCCTTGGATCCAGAACGACTCCCGGCAGATACTCATAGCACAGACCGTTGTTGCATCGGGCGTACAGCTTAGATCCGCATCCTGCTTGGTGAAGAAGTACAAGCGTCCTGATCTCAGCCTCCCGGTCGATGAGGTGCTCTGTCTTCTTGCCGTAGATTCGAACCAAGACCATGTCTGACTTATCTTTTGGAAGGTAGCCCCCTATGAGTTTGTTGTCGGAGATGCCTGCTGTGAAAACCTGTAATAAGAAGTTCATCAAAATTTAAGTACCACTCACATAGAAGTTGAAAAAATGCAAGGTTTTGCACAGTTATGCACCAATCAAATGACGCACCCCATATGACCCCCAGGAATGGTGTGTCATTGTCCAACAGTGGGTCATCCTTAGGTGGAATCCAAATGGATAGTTTCGACACTATTTAGCAACATTGAACTACATGTACATTGTACACATGTACATGTACCTGTGTGCTGATACTGACACGACAGAGAAAAAGTGACGCACCCAATAAACATGACCAAAACGTGACTTGACTCACCAGTGTCACGTCACAGCCATGTAGAACATAGAAGTGCCCTACTCTTGACGCACCATGCAGGAGGGTCACTAGGTCCGTCAAACCGTCGTACAATTGATGGGTGCATTATCTGCATCATTGATCACATGTATGTACCATGTACATGTGTACATTTCAAAAATACCATGAATTCCTACCCACACAGTCTAGGTCAACACTTCACCTAGTTAGCAAATAAATGTTTTTACAATTAAATATCCAAGTTATAGTGTCGTGTACATAAAATTGCCATATTAATGTTGTGCGCATTCGGTCGGTGTACACCATCAGCTGATGTGCGCTATCGGTTGATCGCGTTACGCTATCGGTCGATCGTGATGCTACATGTACATGCATATTCAGTCGATCCCGTTGCCACAAGTCGAACCATGGTCGAACAACTTTTTTCTTCTTTAATTCACAACTCTGGAGGATTTTTTTTTTAAAGGTTCATATACAGTCTGAGATATATCCTACAGAATCGACCAACTACGCATATCGACCGATTGCGCCCAACAAGTTGTAAACTGACATGTGTACATACATCTGGTCATGTAAGTCAGTACGTAGTCATACCACGAATGTCAGAGAACTTGACGTTGAGACATTGACTCGAGACAACTTGACTTGCGACAACTCGACCGTTGAGACAACTCGACTGTTGAATCAAGTTGACTCGGGACAACTCGACCGTTGAGACAACTCGACCGTTGAATCAAGTTGACTCGGGACAACTCGATCGTTTAGACAATGCAATCATTATCCGAAACCTACCCGATTTCTTATGTCCACCCATCCCGTATGCCAATGAACATGATGAATGGGATAGCGCCAACATTTTCCTGAACTTGTAAAATAAGCCAACCCCGTCCAGCAACCCCAGTTTGCTCGTACTCCCGCCCTGCAAACAGGATGCTGGGAAGGGCTGATAGAATTTACGCTCTGATTGGATAGATTGTGTGTGACCTGTGACCTGCAAGTCATGATCATGGCCACGACCCTGCAAGATTTTAAACAGCCATTAAGACCGAGTCATTCATCACTGTTTAATTCCCATTCATAAATGCCCTTTCTTGTTGAAAAGTGTAATAATGTAGGAAAATCAGTAAAACATATCCGTTTTGTAAATTTTCAACTCTTGTCAGTTGTTCATGAGCTCCGTTTCGAATTCACAAAGGGTCGAAATACATATTACTCCACATCCCACATCCCATACCTGACGGCCAAATGCTCTAGCATAAATGGGAGTCCCGGCATATTCCCGCGCGTCAAGCAACCCCAACCCAAATATCAAACCCAAACACAATGAAAAAGCCCTGGTAGGGCCTACTAATATTCCCCGATATATTGCGAGTAGACTTGTCTCAACGGATGACTTGTCTTGCCATAGCCCCACTAGTGTCGCCGCGGTATGCTGCGCTGAACCATGGAGGAATATTCCTCCATGGCTGAACCTAGCATAGCGCGGCCACACTAGTGCAGGGCTAGTCTTTCCATTAATATTTAAGTACGCACAGTATGTATGTGCAGTTGAGTTGTCCCAACATGCCCAACGATCATGTTGTCTCACTGGTCGGTGTGGTGAGCTGTCCCGGCCGAGTCGAGTTGTCGTGCTGTCTGATGACCCCCCTGCCCTCGACGTACCACGCTCATACAATTTGTAGTGTCATGTCATGATGAGCGTCTGACTAGGCATACGTCATGATCAGCATGCAGCAGCTTGAAACTGAAAGCTCAATCAGCTCAAGGAGGAATAAGAAAAATTGCTGGCGAATGTCCCCATGTCGTGATGATGTATACATGTATATCATTGTCATTGTCAGCAGTACTAGTAGTAGTAGTGTCGCTGATCATTCTGCTCGGTGACTATTATCATGGAGCAAGGTTTTCCTTGCTCCATGCTATTAACGAGTAGGCCTAACTAGGCTAACCTTGAACTTTATCTGTTCCTGGTTCCATTCTGGCCGCACTATACTCAACAATTTCAGGGCCCCTTCCTCTAAATTACTCTCATCTAGCGTGATGTCAACTCGCAACACACAATTATTTGACATTTTGTCTAATGTCGAGGGTAAAGATAGGTAGTTATGTACGCCTGGACACAACAACGGCCAGATATAGATCGGCAGCAGCGAAGTACCGGTGATGCAAGTTGCTGCCGGCACGATACGTCCGTCGACGTCACGTGGCCGCGCCGATGTTTTGATGAGCGCCCTCCGATGAACCTTGAACTATAGGCGGCCGTTAAAAAAAAGTGGGAAACCCCTATACGTTTACGACGTGTAATGTAGTTGCGCAAAATTATTCACTATTTTGCAGATTTTTAGCCTATGTGGAATGGTAAGTAACATTTTGCAGGTTTTGCGTTAACTTCAGTTCAAATTTTAGATCTAGTATAGGCCCCATATTTTTGGACACTACACAGTACACTACTGTTAATCATGATTTTCTGTAAATTAAACAAGCTCCATTATTTTGGGCCCTAATTCGGAGTATCACTTGATTGGTTGGTGGATTATTTCAATGCATATGTGACACTGAATAATTTGAGTAGATTCCAACCACCAAGGTATTATTTGTGGTGTCCCCCTGGGGCCCCACACTGGGACCACTATATTATACTATTTATAATTTATGTTAATGATACGCAATTTTGGTGTTTTGTTGTACAGCCTTTTTTATTTTGCGGATGACGCAACTCTTCTTGCCTCTGGGAATGACTTGAATGCATTGAATATGAAGGTTAACAGAGATAATAAAATTGGTTCAGAGCAAATAGGTTAAGAGTCCATCATATGATGAAACATCCTGGCAAAATTTAAGGAACAGTACTTACCTGATATATCATTGTTTTTAAAAAAAAACTGTTCTCAAAAAAGCTAGTACTAGATTTTTAGGTCTTGAGACTGATAACAATATGCTCTGAAAAAAAAATGAAAAAAAGTAAAACTGCTGCAAACTGCTTACTGACTGGATGGACCTGAAATATATAAATCTTAAAATTAATGTGGCCTGACGTTGCGAACTTAGCAAGTTCTTCTTCAGAGGCATTTCAAAACATTTCTGTTTTAGCCTCTGAAGAAGAACTTGCTAAGTTCGCAACGTCAGGCCACATTAATTTTAAGAACAATATGCTCTGGAAGAAACAAATTTCTCATGTTTGTAATAAAATTTCCAAAACAAATTATGTTCTTGATAGAACCAAAATACTTATGAGGATAAAATAGGATAAAGTAGGGGCTATATTTCTATTTACAATGTATTGGTTAATTCGTATTTGAATTATGGAGTCTTGGCATACGAAAGTGGATTGTTTAGAACTCTACAACTGAAGAACTTGCATTAGGAATGCCTGTCATGCCAAATATAATGCCCATACCATTACACCTTTCTCACTGTTTTAAGTTTAAAATTCTTCAGTTTGAAGAAGTTTATAATTTTGCTTCACACTATTATAATTACTTTCAAAAATTGCTTCTAAAAAAATCAAGTTGTTATGATTTCCCCCTTGAACCAGGTATCCACTCGTGTGCTACCAAGGCGGCAATCTCATCCATTTGCAAACCACTTGTAGGCTAGACATTGTCTCTGCTAATTAAAGACATGTTTTGCCTATGGAATTGTTAATTCTTTCCCACTTTTTTTTTTTAAGAAATAAGACTTAGTGCATTTGTGAAAAAAACGGGTGACAGTTTTCATGAAGCATTTAAAATAGGGTTATTTAGACAAGGAATTTTCTCTGTGCCAATCTTAACTGTTTGTCCTGTCCATAAGGAGCAAGGCAGTAGGTGTTATCAGTTACTTTGTATTAAACCCGGAAATGAACATCTCAATTGAAGTTATGCTACCGAAACAGATTGTATAATTATATATTTGTTTGTAATTCGACAGCAGTCTTGGGTGCTCCTCTTTGTTCTCAATACAATATTTGTTTAATTTATTTTGACATGCTCCCATTGTGTGTAACTTTTTTATATGAATGGAAATTAAAACAAACAAACAAACAAACGAATTCAGAAGGACAACTTCATATATTATGACTTACAAAGTGACATCGCTTCTGCGACGGTCAATGCTACTACTAGTTTTACTACACTACAGCTCCAGCTCTCCGGGGTAGCTCAAAACAAACATAATACATTTCTACATGACCGCTGTATCATAGCATATGGTGGGGAGACTCGACACGTAATGTTGGATTTTCCTATATACTTTAAATAATGAACACAAATGTATCGAAAAATTGACAATATTTCCCCCCCCCCCCCACACACACTTTCAGATGCCAGTTCGTGGATTCCTCAAGATGCTGCTTGCCTTGTTTGTGTTCTGTACACTGAATCTTCGTCACGGCATTTCTGGCCTTCCTCTACCCGAACAACACACGTTCCGTGCAAGGGCGAGTGTTCGTAGCAGGATTGAAATTTTAGCTGCGAGTCGGTCCAAACGAAGTAGTAAGTACTTTTTGAAGAATACAAAATTCACAATTAAACCCTTAATGTTCATGGTTTCTAAATAATATTACTTAAAAAAAGAGGCCATATCAACGTTCACTCAGTCGTTTATAATAAATTTAGCGAAATGGATTTTATAGGGCGCAGCTAATATATAATAGCATTAATGTATGCACATTTGGATCGTTCAACTTCAGGAATATGCAGGTTGACAAGACAAAACAAACACAATACCAAACTTTAAAGAAAAAATACAAGTGTATTAGTTGAAAAAAATCTGGTCATCCGAGCATTTATGTGATAATAATCAAATTAAATAGATTTAATCTGATGGCCAGATACTCCATGATGATGTTCGCACAGATAGAAGACAAATTGGATCCAACTAGTACACAATTGCTGGGCCAAACAAAATCGGGAAATGGTAATACTGGCAGGCGATCTACCCTTAAAATGAACAATACTTCCCGTTGCTGATGAGCGGGATTTCCCCTTTTCAACCTACCATGACGTCAGCCATGCAAATGTTAAGTATGGCGCGGAGAAGGTATCTTCATTAAATAATATTAATCGTCGTTTTTGCTGCACCATTACAAACTTCTTTTGATGTTCGTGTATGTTTTTGTATCCGACTGGTTCATATGACATGGATATAACCTATAACACAGTTGTGTTCATGTTTTCTTATGTTGTGTGACGTTTTTGATGGTATTATTGAAAAAAACGGCTGGTCTTGTAACTCCATGATCTAGAAATAGCATACATAGGCGTATATATCGAGAAAAAAACCAGCCACAGCCACGACAGTCGGTGTGCAATAATAATAGCTAACATTCTTATTTTCCATTATTAGTAGTATTCCATTCATGCAGTCGTCCGCTGCATGCTTGGCCTATATTATGTTTAATGTGAAGAGAATATTGCTACTCTCCTGGACAATTAACCATGATAGCAATTAAATTGTTGGTTAAAACACTATGTTTAACAAGACTATATAGGCAAGCTTAGTAAAGCTGCTCCCAGTCTGATACGGTCTAAGGGGTCCATATAAATTCGTTTTATTTATTTTGTTTGTTCGTGGGTTTTCCTTTGTGGAGGAAGGGGGACAGGGCAAAATAAGAGATGTTGTTTTTCGACACTGGCTCGGGGTAGCCTCAGGCTAACGGGGTTGGTGCTAGAAGGTCCTGCGGCAGTGACCATGCACTGTGAAGTGCAGCACAGTCAATTTCTTTTAACAATAAATGAAATACATTGTGATGACAAAATGTCCGATGGTTATGGGTGACACACACGTTGACTACTTTACCCCTAGCCTCTGGTGATTTATATTTTTAAGGGGAGAGCATACAGTCGCTGACGCTTTTTTATTCATATGAACTTTTTGATGTCGAAATTGACGGAGGAAATTTCCTCCAATAAAATCACGAAAATGCTTGTAAGATGAGGGTTTTTTTTTTTGGGGGGGGGGGGGATGGGTGGTAACTTGGAGGGTCCAGAGATACGGTCATTGAATTAAGTTCTCCGCCCAAGCTGTCAAAAATTTAGCGATTTCTTAACCTTTCCATACAAAAACGCACGGCTGACCGGAAAATAATTCTAAAAATGACGAAGATAAATCAACTTTATCCTTTCCAAGTGTAACCGGGGAGAGTGAAATATATTAGTTTTAAAAAGCGGCACTCTCCTTACAACCGAGTGGTTCCACTAAAAAATGATTTGGGTAGAGCAAAGTTTTCTGTTGTCTCAATAATATCAAATGTTTTATTTACAGCACAAATATGAGACAATATTATATACAAATTATTAGGTATTTACAAAAGAATTACAGTATATATATATGAGCTTTGGGTATATCAAACGACTTTGTTGGGTGCATAAAAACGACAGTCAAAAGAGAAAATAGGCTAATGAAGTCGCTCCAAGGATGGTATCTGAAATGCATAAAAACAATAAATGACTAATGAATTATGGGAATAACTTCCAGATCCAAATACATTATTAACGATATTTAATTTAAAGAAATTTGGGAAAAACCGGTTTCCTTATTTGTAAATCAAACACTTTTTTATACATGCATCAGTAAAGGAACAAACTGTGGTATAAAATGACTGTTGCCCAAACAGAAGAATTATTTAAATGGCAATTATGCAAGAATATGAATATTTTATATACATGTAGTGTAATTTTAAATCCGAAAATAGAAATGCATTATTCACCAAGTTATGTTATAAAATAATGAAATAAGAATATAATACCATACCCTAATAACGAATTCCCGAATGATCATAGCACTTTAAAGAAAACCGATAGTTTGGGGAAAATGGGAAAGTCTATTTCAAATGATAAATGTGAACATAAATATTATAGCAACACTAAAATTTAAGTTAAAGTTTGCATACTCGTGTTGCTCAGAAGTTACCAATTTTTTTTTTTTCAAAAGGAAAAATGGAGATTCACAAAACTAAAGTACATGTACCTGATAACATTGTTTTCCGGAATTGCCGAAAAAAATATTAAAATAGTATGAAATTGTGTTTAAATAAATCGACGGTGTTTACACAAAATGTTCAAAGTATAAAATAAAGTCAACAGAAAATCCTTTTTGCCATGCCACTTATGCAGGAATTAAATAGAGAATCATTAGGGGAAAAACTGATTCTCTAAAATACTTGCAAATCACGACAACAGATTTATTTCTAAAGTTATTAATCAGTCGTGATCGCAAGGCAAATTTCCGGCCGTGTCCGTTTTGACGGCCTTAATTTCTGGCAATAAACAAAGCATACAAAAGACCAGAATGTTGCATAAATGATGGCAAAAAAGATTCAAGCATAAAAAGGTTTTAGGCATAAAAAGGTTTTAGGCATAAAAAGTGAAATATCAGACAAGGGATTTACTCACCACTTGGGATGGTCTACGTTCATGCATTCTCCGTGTCCGATGTCAAAATCGAAGATCAGCAGTTAAAATAGATGAACATATTTTACTGCTATCACAAGTATCAGGGAGCCTCACTCAAAATTTGCAGATTTAAGTGGAGAGTGTAAGAGCTCGCAAAATGATGGTCTGAACGCTACAAGGTGTTGGATCGAAATCAAAGTTATTTCGCAGCAGGCCTTACAAGAAAACTAACCGAAACGCCCGGAATGTCAGCTATTTCTCTTAAAGCTATAGTCCATCATTTGTAATTAGTGTATTTTGTTCGTTTGAAGCAACAAAAGTGTTCAAAATCTAATGAAGGATACTGAACAACTTACTTGATGAAGTTTCAGCTTAGCTTCAGCTTCATATTCCGAGAAAAACAGCATTCTAGGATCTCAATTTAAAATCAAAAGTTGCCAAATCATGTTTTGAATTGCAGCTTTACGCGATGTCGCGCACTGATCCGACGAATTATAGCAACCGCGCGCGCCTGTGCGTCGTCCCAAAGCTTGTGCGCGCTGCGCCGAATAACAAAACGAACAACTAATTTAAATTTTCCTACGGTGCTTCTTAAGAAGCACCGTTGGAAATGCCTTCTTTCGTTGATTTCTTCAAAATGAGAGCTTGCCGGAAAGGATAATTTCACAGGGAGTTTAGTCCCCTTACTATCTTTCAACCAGTATGTTTTTCAACAATAATTACGCCAGTTACTTTTTTGGATAGCTGCAAATGATGGACTCGGGCTTTAAACAAAGCGCGGTGGAATGCAAAACTCGCCTGCTCGCTACGCCCATTGCATAGTTGAGCAAAATTCTAGGCGGCGCGCGCTGTAAAAAAAAAAGTTTAGTTGGCCGCGAGAGGGCGCTAGGCAAAAAGCATGATCGCAATGGCTGCTCAAATGTAAAATGACACAAACACGAAGTTAAGAAGTTATGATATGAATGAATGCTGGAGTAAGGAACCTGTTGGGTAAAAGTAAGTTCTGAAACCAGACCTAGTTACACAAGAGTTAGATGACATGGAAGAATAAAAGAGACTTCTTCTTGTTGACAAGTGAAAGCCAGTCGGTCATTTAGTCAGCTCAGACAGACATATCAACTTGAACGCATTCAAAAGCGTGCATGTCGCATTGTTCTTGGAGCTGACCATATGAGTGATGTTCATAGGCTTGTAATTGGGTAGGCCTCCAAACTTCGGAGGACAGAAAACTCCATCTCTGCTCCCAATTTGCTAAAAAAAAATGTACAAAATCAGACGGACATGCAGAATGGTTTCTACCCAATAATAGTACCCACAATATGACTCTGAGACAATCCAACATTTACCAGATTCTTCATCACAAAACCAATAGGTATGGCAATAGTGCAATTCCCTCTCTGACAAAACGTCTTAATCAGTAATATAATTGTTATGGAACCCTGCGTGTTTTTAGAATATTCTAAAATTGATAAATTTATATTCGTAATTGTTTTTATAATTTTGAAGTTCTTATTTATTGTTAATTCAAATTATTGCTTGTTGTTTATATTTTAGTTCATGTTATAACCATGCAATACAGCTTTCAAATGCGAATTTGTCTTATAATTTACGAATATGAATATGAATAGTCAGTGAAGAAGATACAACGAGGACACTCAAGACCGACCCACATGCACGTGAACCGTAAATAATCTACACTTTTCTCCCCTCATTAATTTGACATTTAAATGGATAGATCTAGAAGACTGAAAATTACCAAAACTAAAATTATTCAAACCCAGGTGATGACTCCATCATCAAGGAACCATTTTACGGCACACCCAGCATCCAAGTCTACTTGCAGATGGGCCAGACTTTTCACATGCCATGCCCGATCCGAAGAGAAGGCGAGAAAGTCAGCGTCTTCTTGTGGTTTAAAGGAGGAGACCTCGTTGCCCGACATACGATTGTAGCGGGGGATACCAACTTCACCCAGAGTGATCGCTTTCAATTGTCTGGCACGTATGGTCTGATAGTCAGGCAAGTTGAACAGGATGACGGCGGAACGTACACTTGTAGGGTTATACCCTATGGAAGTTCCAAAAGCAGACGAAGCTCAACCGATGTCACTGTATTAGGTGAGTTTTAGGCATATTGGTGAATTATGAGATTTGAGGCTTTGCATGGTGGGGTATCGGTATCGTTTCGGTTTGCGGTAACACCATGTGGTAATAACTACTGCTTAGAAAATATTAGTTCTGAGAAGAACTTGTCCTGCTTATTATCAACTTTGCTAAGTAGTTTTTTGTTCTGTTAAGAACAGTCCTGCTGTAAGTTCTAAATGAACTTGTATTGGTGAATTGCTTCCGACGTCATGGCCTAGCGTGTCGCGTTTGCAAAAAGTCTTAGAGCGAGGATATTCATTCATCACATTTGCTTTTAACTTTCCATTCTTCCTTATTCTCCAGACTGATAACATCTAAGCCTGTCCCCAATCATCTTTGTTCTTTTTGGTTGGTTCGAGTCCGCAGATTTAGCACGAAACCATCGGTAGAGCCAGGACCATTAAGATTGTTCACACCTGTATTTTGTTTTAGTCCCCCAAAGGCAAATTAAGGCTATGGAAATTTTTTTCTGTCAGTTCCAACTCATTTACCAATTTATTTACCAAGTATTTCTCCACTGTGTGATTTGTGCACAGACCAGTTTATTGTTTGCCGTTATTATATGTCTCTGTGTGTATAGTATCTCACATTCACATGCTCCAGCATTGGTCTACTTTACGAATTATGGAAATATTAATGCAATATTTTTTTTATAGAACGATCATATATAGATATTTTTATGGTTACATTACAATTTATTGAACGCATAATGAGAAATACGGTAGCAGCCGAGAGTTTCACTATGAACCCCCTCCCCCCTTTTATTTCAGATAAACAGTTTCCCGCCGTTGATGACGCTTTGGCGACAAGGCAGGAACAGAATTTCACCCGCGGACAACGACACGAACTTCCATGCCCCGCTGCACTACCAGAAAACGGAAACCGCCGGGCCACAGTTTACTGGTGTTTAGACACCGGGGAGTCTGATTTTACGAGTATCATCGGAGTCAAGTTCTCAGACGGAGAAACCAACGTTTACCTTGAGGAATACAACATCACCGTCGATAGTTCCTTGGTTATCAACTCTCTGAAAAGCAACTACAGTCGTTTCTGGTGTCATCGCTCTGTGTCAGGATCACAACTAAAATCCGGGATTATCGATGTCAACGGAAAAGGTATACCATTTTGGGGTGGTTGATATAGGGAAAAGAGCAGTTGGGAATCAATTTTTGTTGCTAGTTACAATTTCTTTAGGAGGCTTTGATAATAAAAGATGTGCTCCTTGTGTCAAGATCAATATGGGTATATCGATGTCAACGGAAAAGGTGACAGGCCTATCTTTTGGGGTGGTTGATAGGGAAAGGAGCAAACGGGAATCTATTTTTGGGGGGGCTAGCTAGGAGGAGGTTTTCGATAATGATGTTGTGTCTTGTTTTGTCTAAAGTTGACTTTTTATTCCTGTTATCCTGTACCAGATCCGAGACCAGGCGAGATGCCCATGGTAACTACTCATGAGCCTGGACATGTTGGGAATGTGAAGCTCAGTGTGATACTAGGTTTAATTTTCGGTCTGTTGTCAGTAATTGCATGCTTAGTTGCGATTGTTCTATTCGTGTGGAAACACTCTGGTACATTTCCCGAGCCTGAGGATCAGATACAACAGAACCGGCAAGGTGGGTATCTCTGACATTCATGGTGAACTGCAAACAATAACAATTATTCTGAAAAGTTCATAGCTGTTATTTTGGGCCATGATGTGGTTTCAAAATAGCCCCTAGTAAAGCTCAAGATCACACATTGTCTAATAATGTTCACTCTAAAAAGTTCCGAGCCAGATTTGATCTGATACTTTAAGATTGAAAATGACACTTTGCAGGTCAAAATAACACTTTCCTGGATAATTATAGGTGTCATTTTAAACCAGAAAATGTCATTTAGATCATCTAGAACCCAGGTTCCGGGTCCAATTAGACCTTGCTCTTTTTAGAGTGTTGTTTGGATGAGCCCTTGACGCATAATTTTGCGTAAAGGATGGTTCAACTTTAAAAGATCATATCTTAATACCAGTGGTACATGCATGCAATTACAATTTTGGATCCATGTTTCAGAAACAAGTGTTGAACTGATTGCAATTGAGGAACACCAAGATGAAACCAGTATGGCGACTGCAGGTATCTGGGTTCTTTTTTTCTGATTCAAAGGGTTGTCTTTTACTGAAACATAAGGGGGGGGAGTAGAAGTTTCCTCTTTACATGTAGTTGTACGTGATTGTCGAACAGTTCCAAAGAACCCAAGGTTATGCAAGTGTAATTATTTATCCATAGACAGGCTTGTCGGTTTTCTTTTTTTTTACTTCGTCGATCAAAATCTGTTCAGCTGATTTGTTTCTCATTTCTTTAGATGAGGGTTTTCACGAATTAACACCTTTGACTGAAGCCACTGGAACTGATACATCAGTAGATTCAGGTGAGACTTTCTATATTACATCGAAATCAAGTAATTAGTACACCTGAAAAACAAAAATCCCTTTCATATACAACTGAGTTCCATGTTGCACAAATATGCTGTGTTACAGAAGTGCCAATTCACAAGTTCAGTCACAAGTAAATAAGTCCATTCACACGTCCAGTGTCACATAACAGGTGAACAACAACAAATGAACTTGCAAGTAATAGTCACCGTGCATTTGAATAGATTGTGAGTTGAATTGGGAATGCATGACTTGTGGGGACTTGTAGGGATTTGTGATGGACTCTACTATAGCACTGCACACGGGTAAAGCATAACATAAGAATATTCAACAATAAGTGTTTGATATTGGAATGAAAGAATCCTGTGAACAACACGGAGTACTGAGATAAATTTGCTTAAAACTATATACCGGTACCTAAATTGAGATGGGGGTATCCAATGATATTATGCAAGAGAAACGTAAGGCAACATTATTTTGCTACGTTTTGAGTTATCAAGACGCCAGTGACTTCGATTGAAACCTGTTCTGCAATGGAAGTGTAATACATTTTCTGTGTTTTTTTTTACTGCAAAGATGTTACTATGCATGACAAGAATAGTGATCAGTCAATGTTAATACCACCAATAGTTAAGCAGTTAATATGAGTAGTGATGTTTTCCCTGCAAAATATGCCGGCTTTTTCAGAATTTGATTACATTTTTTTCCCGTTAGATCTGAAAGACGACAAATCGTCATGGTTGACTGCAGACACTGCAGCTAATACGCGTCATACAACTGGATTTTGTGGTAAGAGAGACCAAGAATTGAAATCAGTTTTACATTCAAAATGAAGCGCAGAAACGAAAGGGCCTGTTGAAATAGTTTTTTGTTGTGGTATTTAAATTCAGTAATTATTGAATCTGTCAGATCTGAAAGAAGACTAATCGTCACCACGCAGGTACTGCAGCAAATACACATAATACAATACGAATTGTATTGTAACTTTTTTAAGGCGCATAACGCAAAGTTTAAATACTTTGACGATTGGTATTGTAATGAGTAATCCTGACAAAAGCTAAATTGAATTGATTGAATATATGCACTTAATAGTTGCGAAAAATCCTTGGCAAATTCTTTCAGTTAGTCGGTATTTTTTACCTGAAAGAAATAAGGTAAATTCATACCAATGCTGGGCAAATATCACGGTCAACAAAGTTTAACCAAGACTATTATTTAAGTAATATTTTGTTGATGCATCCATCAGGAGAATCTTCTTCGTCGAGGACCAACGCGGACCAAACGAATGCATACATCAGAAGCAGTCCCAAGTCCTGCACAACTTTCGAGAGAATTGTGGTAATGGTGGTACCACATAAAGTATCAGCCTCGTCACAAAAACCTGTTAAAGTGACATCCAAGAAACCATCACTTACTGCACGGAGATCCGCACCGAAATCCAAACAGTATTTAACGCCGAAGAAATCTAGCCATCGTGAAGCTGGTAAAGGACAGTTTTCCTGAGACGTTTCAGAAAAAAAAATAATAATAAATAATTGATTTATATTGGGCTCATTCCATTCAAGTACACAAGCGCATAACAGCTAAAAATATACAAATGATCTAGTAAATTATAAAAATGTCACAAGTGAATCTATAAAAAGCTGGAGACTTTCACAGTCAATTCATAATTTCACATAAACCTTCCAGAACTCCCCATTCAAGAATATGTATGAAATCACAATAATCGGTAAAAAGGCTTAAACATCTTGACAGTAAAAATCGTTAAAGAATCAATACATATCAAAAACACACACATTAATGAAAAGATTGTTTAAAAAAGGTGAGTCTTCAGCACTGATATATTAAAACACCAAGGCTAGCAGTGTTCCTAACATTAAGTGGAAGTTTGTTCCGAAGATGTGGTGCACTATACTCAAAGGCTCAGTTGCCAATAGTAGCCTTGCCGCAACCTACAGGACAGTTCAGAAATATAAAAAATGGATAGCCTTTTCCAATATAGCATACCGTTTTGTGTTTCGACACACATGCAGGTGAAACACAGCCTGTGTTGCAGAAGGCCACTACTCCCGAGTGTGCAAAATCAGAACAAGAGAAAGTTCCTCTTGTAGAAATTGTGCAGCCGAAAGATGAAATACCTTCTAAGACGAGTGGTGAACAACAGCAAGACAAATTACTGGGGGACGAGGGAAACAACAAGGATCACCAAGGTTATAAGCTCATCTTCTTTTATTTATTCCTTATACGGACTAGACAAGGCAAGGATAGTAAAACTGGTACAAGAGCGTACACAATTCTTTTCAATTGATTCAGAAGTCTGCATCTGGTCTACACAATAGGCCGGAGTTAGCCTATTCATTGGTGCTATTGTATTGGTAATCCAATAGAATATCATTGCCCGGCTCACAAGTGCAGTCAATGAGCCAGTCAGTCAGTGAGACAGTCAGACATTTACAAAGATGGTCATCGGAACTCTTTTTTTTTTTTTTTTTTTTTTTTTTTTTTTTTTAACTGCCAAATATGAAATAAGTTTCAGGGTAGCTGCCTGTATATCTGGCAGGCAGAATGAAAGGAGTAGATTGTAGCATTTTATTGAGTAATTACATGTACAAAAGTAAAAACAAATGCCAATGCTGGTTCTTGAGCCAGAATCCTCTGGACTCATCATTTTGATTTTCTTTTAGCCCCATAAACTTAAGATAATTGTTAAGCATAGGTAAATCATATAATGCTAATTAAGTGACGAATGAATGTTACGGACACGTTGGTATTGTGAATTCTTAAAACATTACAATGAGCTTGATCACGTTCACGGACGCAGATTGGATGGAGGGGCAGCAAGCGCTTCAAGACAGCGAGACTGGTTGTTCCAGTCAGACATCAGTGGTCGAAGAGGAGACACCTCAGACAGCATCAGCACCTGAACAAGCACCGACCGAGATCGCTGAAACAGGAACCAAGACAATTGAAAAGAAAGTCCAAATGAAAATTTCGGATGAGAAGGAAGGTAATTTGCAAGGCCAATTAACAACATAAGGCAGATTTGCACAATTTAATGGAACGCAGCCATGCTTGCATGCTTCGGATGTTACAAATATAAGTTTTGTTTTTCTTTTCAGGTGTGAAGACAGCAAAACCTGATGTGAGCAGGACAACCGATAGACCAAAGCTGTCATCCAACCCAACTCAAGACCAAACCAAAGCAGGAAAAGTTGAAAATGACAAAAGTGAAGGAGACAATAATTTGTCACCGGGCCATCAGAAGGGCAAAAAGGGGAAGCTTGAAGCGAACAAGAAGAAAGCAAAGTGGAAAGAAAGGCCGAAAGTGGAACCGAAATGGAAAACAAAGTATCCAGTTAAAGTTCCTCTCACATCTGACGATGAGAAGACATCGAAGACTGGTTCTCAGTTAGAATCACAGCTGCAACCGGGAGACAAAAAAGCGCAGAAAAAGGAAAGAGACGAACATCGTTTAACACCAGAAAAAGGTGAATCACGAAACATTCATGTTTTGGAACCACCGTTTCGTGAGTTAGCTATAAACATCTTTAAAAATATATTTGGAAGTCCCGGTAATCTAGTCTAAACTAAGGCGCTTTACGAGCGCTACAAACATTGATGAGTTTGAATATATTTTGTTGTTGGAATAATAGCCTTGATAGATGTATAGTCGACTTAATATTTATATTGAGGCTTAATTGCACGAAATAATTTGCTTGAACTCTTTCCGTTTCCAGATCCAGAACAAACATCAAATCAGCAAGTCGCGGTATGTGGATCTGAAGGCATCGCATCCGTTGTCGAATCGAGTCCATCGAACCCCAACCGCCCAGTCCCATCTGTACCAGAACCAATTGATGACAATTTGAACGCAGTGTCCGGCGAAAAACTGTCGAAAACAATACCAGTTGCAAAGAAAAGGAGAGATCGAAAATCCCCATGCTTAACGTCTGTGCAAAATGCGAAGCCGCAGAAATCTTCGGAACCCCCTTCTTGCGAACAGATGAATCCTACAGCCCCTGCAAACAAGGCAATTGAACGAGGTAGGAGGTACTGCAGTGTTTTTAGAACTACACAAAAGTCACTATTACTTTTCCTTCAATTGTACATAAGAAACCTTGCATCACAATTTTTCTGGAAAATGAATTTTGTGGTTACTAATAAAAATGTCACCTTCGAGAAAGTCATAAGGAGATTCAATCCAACATCTGTCAGTCGTATTTTGGTGTTAAAAGCCAGGAAAAAATGGAATGTTTTATCAAAACCAAGATTTTTCTTCTACGCTTCTGGTGTTTTTTTATAAGGTGTAATTTTGTCTGTAAACTCTTTCTTTTGCAGGTGGTGATGCCACCATGTCTCCTGCCGTTTACCCAACCATTTCTGATCCCGATGTAGCTCCTACCCAACCAAATAAAAACTACCATCTAAATCCCACACAGCCCATTGCTGCTGTTAAACCTTTTACATGCAACGATACTGCATCACCACATTTCTCTATAGGGGCTGCTGCTGCATCTGTTGCCACTCCAACACCAGTCCCCGAAACAACGCCGTATAAGGACGATACACACATGAGTCACGTTGGTACTCCCGAAGATACGCCCATACCAAGTTTCACACAAACAACACCTGATAACTCCTCTGATATGCCTGTATCGACAAACTGGGAAGATCCACAATCTGCAGCGGGCAGTCCTGAAGTACCTGTACCCTTACCGAACCCACTTTCAAGCGATGATGAACCAATGGATTCGAAGAGTGGCAGCGAGCATGAAGAGATAGAAATGGAAGATTCTGTAGAGCATCAAGCAGTGAAAGAAAGTGGTAAGATATACAGAAATATTAATGGAATGACATTGCAAAAAAGCATATGATCGGTTTTTTTTTGTTAAATCCGTTTTGGCATTAACACTCTTGGCATTAACATGTGGTCGAAGCAGTTTCTGATAAAGATCCGAACTTAAAAATGTCCATATTTATCCTTCGAGAAAGTTTCAAGTGGAGTAAGAAGCGTGCTACAATTTTGTCACGGATGATTCTGTTCGATAGGGCAGATAATTTCAAAAACGAAATTGTACATGTACCCTGTTTTACTATAGCGTTTGGATACGTTTTGATCGGAGGTATACGTTCTGTGTTGTGTGGCATTTATATCTGAAACTTTCAGGAAAGAAATATTAAGAAAGAAGTGAGTGAGTAGTGACTGACAGAATAATTGTCTCTTTGGCTGTATTATTTGTTGTAGAAGACGAAATGGAGGCAGAATCGGCAGACGAAGAAATAGACCGCAAAGTCAAACCGAAGAAGCCACGTTTATCACAAACGCAACGAATTCTAAAAGATCAGAATCCGCACAAACAAGGTATGTTGCACTACACTCTAAAAACAACATTGGTTAACTTAACCAATCATTGGTTGAAATAACCAACAATTGGTTAATATGTGTCCAACCGATCGATTGGTTGGGACACATATTAACCAATTGTTGGTTATTTTAACCAATGATTGGTTATGTTAACCAATCTGTTTTTAGGCTGTAGGTAGAAAATAAAGATTTCTAGCTCACAAAACGGTCGAGTACGGGGAAACAAAATTAATTGTGTTGGAGCTTTTGGCCATAACTAAAAACTAAATGGACCTTTACATTATTGTTCTAGCCTAAGAACATATACCTGAATTTTTTTAACATAATTATGTAAACTTAAAATGTGTTTTGAATTGAGAGAATACAAAATTATGACTTCAAAAATAATGGTAAACTTGCGTTTTCATTCTTCCGCAGATGACCGTCGCCTGAAGCGGTATCCGAATCTCAAACGGTAGACTAGTAATCAACTGCAGCTGGTTCGGGTTCTTGTGTACTTGTTAAGGGAAAACTATGCTCGAGTAGGAAAAACTGATAACATAATCTTGTATATAACTACGATCATAATGTGAAATATTAGCCTTAATATTGTATTGTCGAGATTTGTTTAATGTTGTGTTTGTATAAATGACATCTACATGTATACATATATTTGTTGGTTCGTATTATATTCGGGCAAAAGACGACCAGGGCGCACGCCGCAGTATCACATGCTGTCTCTGTTCCATTTAGGGAAAAATAGGCACGACTTTAAAACATACAAAAATAGTGAAAGCTCAAGGGAAGAGGCGATTGGGGTGTGGGGGGGGGGGGGCTTCACCGGTAGATTGAAATACTTTGAAAGAAATCGGAATGGAAGGGAAGCTCAAGTAAACAATCGATGTATGCGATCGAATAAATTCCACTCTAAATCGTCATGTGCAGTCTTTTGTCGATGGGAGAAAAATTCAATCAAAATACATGTAAGGGAATTCTCCCAATTTTGGAAACAAAAGAGGAAACACAATTTTGTTTTAAATTGTTGCCAGTTAATGTTAACGTAGCCCATCTCTTCTCCGCTGCTTTAATAGAGCCCGCCGCACACGAGAGTTACGTGCTGAGCAAAATGTCATTCGAGGCCGTTTGCTCATCATGTAGCTTGCACAATATCCCGGTGTGCTGTGACTTTCCGGTTATTTTTTTTTTTTTGCCTCGCGAGGCCCTGAGGCAAATATCTCCCATGTTTGATTTATCTCGCCTCGCGAGGCAAAATGCATACTGGCTGGTTAATCTTTTTAGCTCAGCGCGTAGCTCAGCAAAAAAAAAAAAAATCACCGCACACGGGGATATTGTGTGAGCTACGTGCTGAGCACGTAGCGTAGCTCTCGTGTGCGGCGGGGTTAACGGTAACGGGTCCTCGGAGTTATTAACAATTGCAAAATACTGCAATTGAAAGCTTTCATGAACGGTCATGCAAGTCTGTTATTATGTTATGAGTCATCAAGGGCGTCGCGAGGGGGGAGGGCAAGGGGGGGGGGGAGGTGGGGGCTTAGTCATATTGCTGTTTATTTATATGGGTCGGAGGGGGGGGGGGCAAATGTCCGTGCCCACCCTCGAAAAATGAGAAAGCGAGATGTACAGGGATTTGGGGGTGGGGGAAAAGTGTTGTTCCCCTCTAAAAAAAATCCTGGCAACGCCCATGTGACTCATGGGATGTGAATGTTCCAAGTAATAGTCATGGAAAATATCATTGAATTGTGCACAGCCTATGATGATGATGATGATGCGTATTAGGGTGTGGCCGTCTGATAGGCCTTGGCATATGCTTCTACTTTTATAGGCCTATAGGCATATATTATTTCTAGTTTATTAGCCTGTATTATTTCCTCTTTGTGCGTATCACGTATGCTCCGTACAATGTATCGTTGTGATGTTTTGTTTTGTGGTGTTCAGTGGCCAGGCTCTACCATTATTATGCCGTGCAAAAAAAACGAAAAGCTGGGGGGGGGGGGCTTGGCTTGCAAGGAAGACTCGTGTGGGGTGAGGGATGATGCCCCGTATTGCGCTGCCGCTGTCAGTGGTCCTGTGTCACACTGGGAGACAGAAAGGGTGTGATGTCCCTTGCCTCAGAGTGATGGCTTACTGGAGTATGTTCCTATGTTTCAGATGCCAAGACTGATAGGGGATTGGTAATTGAAAGCCCTAATTTTGTCGTGGAATTTCATTATTTTATCCAAATTTCTGTCGGGAACCCTGATTCCATTCCAAATTCAGTTCTCAGTCGATCTCAATAATGTAAACTCGGTAGATTCAGCAAACAAGTTTGTTATAATAGAGAAAGGAAAACTATAACTATATGAAATGGATTACAGGTTTTAGTAAATAATTGACGCTTAAGGGGTTTCAACCTGCATACACCGCCCCTAAACCTTACTAAATTGTTTTTAAACATAAACATGATGTACATAGTAAAAACCCATGTCTTGCTTCGTAAGCTGTATATTGTTTAATCATACGAGTCATGAAAGTATAACGCTTTTCTGAGCCAGCCTGGAATTAAGTCCAATCACATTCTATGTTTTAGATTGTCCCAGCTACATAGTAAACATGCTGGAGGTCACGCAGTAGAAGATCCTAGTATGGATCAGGATAGGTCCTTCAGTGTCACTTGACAGGCCTCAGGTGCTTGCTCAGAATTGCGGTGAAAGGATTACACAAACTTGTGCACAATCTAAAACCCATATTGCTGTGAGGTCAGCCTGGAATCAAGACTACTCACATTTCTATGTTTTTTCTATTGTCCCAGCTACATGGTTAACATGCCGGAGGTCATATATCAGCATCTATTCATTGATGCCTGGACAAAAAACAACTCTTGAGATGTGTGGCTAATGTTTGTGCTCTTTTTGGATGAACAATTTATTGTTTGGGAATAAACAAATATCCCGGTTAATTACATTACGTGTGGTTTGAAAATCATGCACGCAATGGCATGTTATAGGTGACAATTGGATGATGGCTCAGAAAAGGGGATCAGATTATTTAACTCGTAGATTATTTTTTATATTGTATTGAAGTTATTAAAGTTCTAGTCGCAAAGTACACTGTCAAAACTGTGTTTAGAGTTTAAACACTTTTTTACCCACTTGTTTAAGTTTGTGTTAAGATTTATTGATGTGTGTCAAACGAAAGCCCATTAGTACCATGAAGTATAAATTGTGAAAAATAAATATAAATGATTTATCGGAATGAAGTCAAATGACAGTTTCAATGCACACTTTCATCACAATGTCATTATTATCTGTATACGAAAATCGAACCGTATACTTTGGACTCTCTTATCAGTTATTAATGTCACTGTCAGGCTTCCATACTGTACAAAGCCATAAACATGTGTCAGACTAGACATGTGAAAAAAACTGAAGTGTTTAAAATCTGAGCACCATTTTTACAGTGTCGTTTTAGCGCTGTCATCGGTTAAGTCGAATTAGCAAAACATGCAGCTGATTTAATTATTGATGTTGATTTACTGCTTTATCTAGTTGGTTCATGCTATGTATAATTGGAGATTTGGTTAAATCCTTGTTTTTTTTTACTAATTTGTAAAATGTAATTTTCTCTGTGTATTATGTACCGTACTTTTTAATAACCAATCGGTTTTTAATGTATTTTCCTGCAATTTGCATTGTTTAAGTGTTTCAATCCAGGACCCCCAGACGGGGCTTTGCCGTGAAACGAGAAAGAAAATTAAAACAAAACTTCTTAATTATCAAACATTTACATAATTAATAATACATTATCATTACACTTCAAGAATTCACTTTGGCCCCGAGTTGACTTTTCTCAGTCCGTTCCTTTTCTCAAACTAATACGCCAAGGCAAGTCTAGTAAAGCGGGTTGCCTACACAGTAGACCCGATGTAGCCCATTCGTTGGCGTATAATATATACACAGCAATCCTATTTCAAACTTTTGGGCCAAGGCGAGACTGAAGCAACTAAGTGAAATTCAGTAAGTCGGATTAAAAAAGAAAGACCTTGAACAATAAAGCATCTCATGACAGGACAGGCAGGTAGCAATCAAAAATCGTCTAAAACCAAACCTTCATGAAAATGTAGGGCCTTCATTGGAAAGAGAAAGTGACGTTCCGAAGAACAAAATATTTCAGTGTGTAAAAAGCAAGCAAACAAACAAACAAACAAACAAACAAACAAACAAACAAACAAACAAACAAACAAACAACTAAACACCCAACAAACAACCCAACAGACAACCCAAGCAAGTGTGTGATTATGTGACCTACCGAGGCAAAATGAGGAATGTTCCCCAAAACCCTGTTTTGAGGTTTTTTTTTCAATTCCCGAAGCCGGATATACTAGACAAAATATTGTCAAAATCGACATTGATTGTTTTGTATTTATGAGTAGCCAAGGAATCCAAGAAAAAAACTTAATCTACGGAAATAAATGTGATATCATTGGAAAGTCAATGATTTGCGCTTTTAACATGATGTACATAATGTCAAAAGTCA